TCACAAATTGAGCATAGGGATCTATTGCAAGAGTCTTTGTGAGCCTGTCAGCTTTATTTGCATTACTTCCAATGTGCTTGATCAAGATTTTGTCCTTTTGCACCCAGTCTCTTAGCATATGGTGCTGAATCTCAATATGGCATGCTCTTCACATTATAGCTTCAGCTTTGGCTAAGTCAACAGCTCCCTTGTTGTCAACACTTAATTTTGAGCTCCTTAGCCTTGCTGAGCCTTCACTAATTACTCCAGCATCTATTAACAGGTTGTTGATCCAAACCAGTTCACAAGCAGCTTTACTAGCTGCCAAATACTCCACTTCAGTTATAGATTTTGAGATGGACATCTGGTGCTATGATCTCCATGATATTGGAGCTCCATTCATGGTAATAATATAGCTGCTGGTGGATTTGTATGCAGGGTCAGCTCCAGCCCAGTCAGAATCTGAACTGGCTGCTGGTTTCAAGCCTTCAGGATTCATATCCCTTTTGAAGACTATTTCTTTTAATTTTGTGCTCTTGAGGTAGTGTAGGATCTGCTTGAATGCTGTCCAGCTCTTCCTATTGGGCCTGCTGTTGAATCTCACCAGATAATTGACTGCAAATGCAATATCTGGCCTTGTACATGTAACTAGGAACTGTAGAGAGCCCAGGCCTTTCCTGTAATTTGTAGGTGTAGCCTGCTTGTCAACTCCATCTTTAAGGGTCTGATCTGGTGTGAATTTGATGCTTATTCCTTTCTTCATTGGCATTTTGGAAGGTTTGCAGTCTTTCATTCCATATTTGGTCAGTAGATTCTTGATATACTGTTCCTGATTCACAAAAAGGTCTTCATTTGGCTGCTTTTGAACCTGCATGCCTAGGTAATGGCTCTGTTCTGTAACCTCCTTGATCTCAAAGCATTCCTGAAGCTTCTCAATGAGCCATTCTGTTTCAGCTTTGTTGGGTCCCATTATACAGCAGTCATTAACATGTAGGGTTAGGTAGATTTGCTTCCTCTTGTGATAGAGTAGGCCTGTATTGTATGGAGAGATCTGGAATTCTAGAGATTTCAGATAGTCAGTAGCTGCTTGATACCAAAGTCTAGCAGCTTGCTTCAACCTATAGAGTCCCTGGTGTAAGAGCTCTACTAGATTACCCCACCTGTGCTTGAATCCAGTGGATAGTTGAATGTATACACATTCATCCTCTGGAAGAGTTTCATTTAGGAAGGCTGTCACAAAGTCAAAGACTCTGACCTTCCAGTTCTTGGCTGTTGAGATAGCAAAGAAGGCTCTTGTTGTAGGTTCACTGATAACTGCTGTATAGGTCTTCTTGTAGTGAACATCTTCTTGCTGTTCAAATCCACATACAACCCAACAGGCTTTGAATCATACTGTGCCACCTGTGTTATTGAGCTTTCTATTGAATACTCATTTGCCAGAGAGAATCTGCATTTTGGGTTCCTTCTTGACTAGAATTCAGGTGCCTTTCTCTTGTAGTTTGGAGACTTCAACATCTAGAGCCTCCTTCCAATAAAGCCACTCTTTGGAGTGTTTGGCTTCAGTGATGGATTTTGGTATGTCTGTATGTGTGCTGAGCACTGGAAGCTCAGCTTCATTTGCCTCTTCTTCTTCTGTTGCATCTGAGAGAATTTCTTGCTCTTTGCCCAGGTATATGAGCTCTAAAGCCTCTAATTTGCTGTCTGTGAGCTTCTTCATGATTTCTGGCTTCTCCTTTGCAAGGTAAGCTAGTAACTTGTGTTGCCAGCTGTTCAATGGATCTATGTAATTGTACTCCTCTGGGAGTTCAATGTATTCAGCTTCAGTTAGTGAATTTGTAGGGATTTGATTTAATTTCTTGTCAAATATAACATCTTGCGAGATCATTATACTGTTTGTTTCTGGGTCCCAAAGCCTGTAGGTGTGCATGCCATGATATTCTACAAATTTGACCTTCTTGGACCTAGGTTGGAGTTTTGAGGATTTGTTCAAAATCTTCATATAGATGTCACATCTCCACCTATGAACCCATCTGTAATGGGGTTGGTGATGTGTCCAGGCTTCAAAGGGTGTCAATGGCTTTGTGTTCTTGCATCTGTATAGAGGCACTGAGGTAGGTGATAGATTCACCATCATGAAGACTGTGGTGAGAGCTTTGCCCCATAACTCATTGAGTAGTTCTGAGTCTATAAGTATGCTTCTTGTTTGCTTGCAAAGAAGTTGTATTTCTTGTTTACTTGTTCCATCTTGTTGAGATGTATATGGGCATGTAATCTTCTGTTGTATACTCTTGCTCCTGTAGAATTCAGCCAGTTGTTGGCTTGTCAATTCAGGAGCTCCATTGGACAGTATAGTGCTGATTTTTTGTTTGGTAGATACTTCAATCATGTTGATCCAGTTCTTTAGGGTTTCTGGAGCTTCTACCTGCTCCTTCAGGAGGTAGATCCATCTGTATCATGTGGCATTGTCTGTTATAAGTAGGAAATACTTTGCTCCACTGTAGCTTGAAGAATTGGAGTCTGTAGATAGAGTATGACCACCATCTGCAATATCAATAAAAATTTTAGCTCCAGGCTTTGTAGAGTGTATTCTAGATTTAAATGGGTTGCAAGCTTGCTTAGCTTTAGTACAGGTTTCACAGAACCCTAGCTTCTTTACTCCCTTTATTTGTATTGCCATTCTTGGATCTCTAGCTAGAATAGCTATATTGTGGGTGTTGAGATGCCTCCAGTGTTTGTGCCAATTGGCCATCATATCCTCCTTGATTTCTAGTGTCTTTGCCAGGTGATTTGGTGTCAAAAGTGCATCATCTCTATCTTTATTCTCTAGAGTTGCTGTTACATAGCAGGGCTCTAGAAGTTTTGTAGGTACTGGAAACACATATGCCAGTAAATTGTGTATTCTAGGCATTTGTAGGACTAGAATGTTATTCTTGTTAAGCATGGCTTTGAAGCTCTGTGTTTTATCTGCTGATTCTAGTAGGAAGATGTGTTCTCTGTTGACATAAAGCTGTTCCACTGTAAAGCTGTCTTGTATAAGCTTCCCAAAGCTTATGAGATTAACCTGGAGGTCAGGCATGATTCTAATCTCCTCAATGCTCAATTCTCCATTGTTAGTTTGGATACTGGCTGTGCCAAATCCTCTGGTGACTGATTTTGAACTGTTTGTCATAAGCAGTTGTGTTGCATGGTTCTTTGGGTCCATTTGAACTAGATCTATATGTGAGGTTGTGTGGGATCTGGCTCCAGAGTCAAGAATCCATTTGTCTGTGGATTCGCGCACTTCTTTTATAGAGAAGGCTGCTTTGTGAACTGAATGGATCTTGTCTGTTGCAACTGTAGCTGTTTTCTTGCCTTTGTCTTTAGAGTCTTCTTTAGGCTTGTTAGGCTTCAAATTCTTGTTAGATTTGCAAAATTTAGCCAAATGGCCAGGTTTGCCACAAATATAGCAGTTCCAGTTCTGCAGTGAGCTCTTCTCTGAATTGAATTTGGAGTTTGTATTCTTATAAGATTTTTGGGGATCTGAGCTTGTTGCATTTGTATTTGACTTTATAAATCCACCTTTCTTCAGATCTTTCTTGAAGATTTGGTGGAGAATATTCTTCAGTAGGCCTTCCAAATTCTTCTCTGATAGATTTGTTCTGCTCTGGCATGCCATATCAAATCAGTTCTGTATGAACTCTCTCCATCAGGATGTAATGTTCATCTTCAAGATATCATGTAGAGTGTGGTCCAGTTGTTTAAACCCTAATCTCTCAAATTTTCCATAAATTGCTAGAAATCTCTCTATATAATTCCTTTCTGAGCCAGTGAACTGTAGTGTCATTCTCACTAACTCTGTAAGTAGACTTTCCTGCTGTATCTCAGATCTCTCTTGAAAGACTGTTCTTACAGCTTTCCAGAGTTTGTAAGCACTAAGACTATCTGATTTCTTGAAGTATTCTCTGGCTTGTGCAAATATTGTGCTGTTGATTAGGCTGTGTAGCTAATTGTTCTGAATATTTTAGTATTGTGAAATCTTCAAGTGCTCTGGCTGTAGTGAAGTCTCTTGCCTTTCCAGGATAATTCTCTCAACATCTACTTGGTGAGCTATCTTTAGGATAGCTTTGCTCCATGCTAGATAGTTACTGGCTCTGGCCAGAATTATAGACTTCTTCACTGTCTTTGTAATCTTTATGAATTGGGTGATTGCTCTGCTGATTTGCATATTTGTATCTATAAGATTGCTGACATATTCTTCTAGTTTCTTATTGAAGTCTATTTCTTGATTCTCTTCTTCTTCTTGTTGAGCTTCATGCTCTAGATTCTCCTGCATTGTTGCAGGTGTGTTTGTGGTGCTTGCTTGACCTGATAGAAGATTTACTTACTGTGCCAGCTGTTGTATTATCTTCTGTTATCTTTGCATTAACTTCTGTTGTCTTTGCATCATCTTCTGTTGATTCAGCATCATTCTGTGCAACATTTAGAGTTCACTCTTCTCTCTAGACTCCTGCTCATCATTTGGCAGGCTGCTTCTGAGCCTACTTGACTGTCTAAGCTTGGTTTGGGGTGTAGAGAGGTTTGTTGGAGCTTTCTGGTTGGGAGTTTGGTGCTCTGGTTTGTCTGTACAGTTCACTATGGCTTTGGCATTGCCAGGTGCTTGATTTGCTTGCTAGATGCATTTAGCAGGTGTTTTGCTCACTCTCTGGTTGTGTGCCAGAAAGCTACAGGGTTCAACTTGCTCTCCAGCTTGGTGCTAGAAAGTTACAGAGGTTTGCATGTATAGAAGGTGTCTATCTTGATGTACACTCTCTTTAGTGCTTGTAAAACCTCATTATCCACAAGAATAACTGTTCAGGGTGTTGATCATAAGCTTTAATAACCAATTGAGCTGTAAATCAATCTTATACACTTGCTCTTCAGCGCAAAGGGCTATAATCTGATGGAGGACTTGTATGCTTGTCATTCGCTAAGCTACCTAAAGGGGAATCTTTGGCTAATCTATGTGGGTCACGTGAGGGAGGTGCTAGTTGGATTACCTAACACTTGCAGCCTCAACGGTTGCGCAGGATGGATTGCACCAGCGAGAATCATGGTCAGTGCTTGACGTCCTTGCTGTCTGCCCACCTCGCCGGCGGCTCTATCATCACAAACAACGCCCCTGGGCTTTTCTCTCGCTTTGGAATGCTGGGCGGCTCATGGCGCTTCCCTAATAATCTTTATCCCAAGCACCTCCTTTCTCTCTTTTCCCTTGGTACCTAGCAGCCGGGCTACCCAACAGGATATCTTAGCATCAGCGTGCACTCCTCTGTTATCATGTCTGGATATCAGCCAGACTACCTCAACGACAATAAGTACTGCCACAACAGCCTGCATCACCTATCCACGTCTCCTGCTAACCCGTTAGCAACAGCACGCGCCCCAGCACCAACAGCCCGTTCTCTCCCACTTCTCAATCCCCGTCCTTCAAGCCAAACGTCAACCGCAAGAAAACCAAGCGGTGGGTCAATGCAAAGACCTACAGCTACGACGGTGACGACTGGGGGGATAGTGGGGATGATGACATCTACGACGCGTATTTGGATCCCAACCACTCTCATCCGCCCCCTCTTCCAGAACACCACCCCCATGACCGATCCGGAAAGCAACCCGCCATGTTCTCAGAATCTGGCGATCAATCGCCATCTACATCTTCAACAACCAAGGCCCATGATAAACCTGGGGAGCTAAGCCCAGTTGTGGGACGCGATGCAGATGCAAATCCTGCGAACTCATTGCCCATCGTTCGCCCCGTCGAAATATACCGGCGATTGAACGAAGAACGGGAGAAACAGCGACTCAAGGCCGCTGAGGCATCCCACTCATCTCACGACTCAGAGGCTGCTCCCCACCAACCTCCACTGCCGCCCATCGATCGGATGACTGCATACAACCCATCTTCCCCGACGCACCAAGGAAATGTGGACTCCCCCGGGGACAATACTCCGAGACCTCGGCTTGAGAGTCCCCAGGAGCAAAGGCCCTTGGAGCCTAGGATTGCTAGCCCCGTCGGCACGACAGTGGAGGGCAAGGTTTCATTTCCCTCACCGCAGTCTTCGCCTGATCAACCATCGGATATAAAGTCATCTGATGCTGACGCTAAATTACCCGAATTAAGGCCATTTTCTGGCTTTGGGGATCCTTTCGTGAGCTCGCCCGGCTGCGAAGTTACAGAAGATGTAAAAACCCCTGGTGCCCAGGATTTGAATCAACCGTCCGATCTCGACCGTAACCCTTCACTTGGATTTCGTTCAGTGGTTCACCAAGCATTTGATTTCCCCGATACTCCCGCTAGCGACTCCGGGACTATGTCACGGTCAGATAGCAACACGACATCTCTTATAAGCCCTATCATAAAATCCGAGACACTCTCTGTAATTGATGAAGGCCGTGCTCCGACAATTGCAGAAGAAGATGCGAGTTCGACAGCCAAGCGCCCGCTAACCCCGCCCCCTGCCAGTATCACGCCTGGCCATCGCCGAAGTTTATCACCCCCTGACCCAAAGAACAGCCCTGCGAGACGAGCTGTTGTAACGCCTGTCGATCCTACAATCCGTCCTCAATCCGCCTGTACATTAGAATCTCCCATTCAACAACAGAATAACTCTCGATCAAGTGTGGATGTCAGGGAAAGCGAGCAGGGAGGAGGAGCCAATGATTTTCAACATCCGACGACTGAGGCTGCTCATGACACAGAGCCATTGGAGAAGAAAGAACCATATACAACGTCTCAACAAGGAACTAACCCTGAGGACGAACAAAGAAATATCCGGGCCCCAATGGTTGATACTCATTTCCAGTCTTCACAAGCTACCCCTACGTATTCGGAAACGATCTCGGCTTCCAGCATCAATACTTCAAGTGCAAAAGAGTTAAATGACCGCCTACGAGATGAAATTATCCGGTCACTGACTCCTAATCCTTCCAATCAATCCCAGGACACGGCGCCGTCAACGGATTCCGACGATAACGACGGGCCTCAGAAGCGACAAGGAATCACCTTATCCCCGAGCGAACACAACAATCACCGAAATGAGCAATTTGGCTCAGATTCCTCCAATCGCCCCGTGTCGCAAGTGGTCTTTCTTGGGCACAGAAATACCGCAGGTGCAGCCGAAACGAGTCTAGTCCACTCCCAATTTCAGGAGACTACGGACGTCTCACGAACCCCTGGCCCTAATGCTGCTCCGGCATCCCACTCAGTACATCCTACCCTGAAGAAGAAATTCTCGTGGGAAATGGATTCTGAAGATGAGTCTGAATCTTCCGAAAGCAAACCAATAATAGAGGAGCATCCTGTAGCCACCCCTACTACAAACGAGGTGCATATCACACCCACAACCATCCGGAGGGTTGAGGATACTGATACTGCTTCTCCTCAGGGCGAGGTATCTGACCAACCAATCCAACACTCACCACGCGCGACTCCCGGTGAAGCTGTAACATCCTCAGCTGAAGGCGTCAATCTAGAACCAGAACCAAATTCAGAACATCGCAGACACTCGTCATCCGCCTCAACCCCAGGCGAATCAAGTGATAGTAATAATGTTATCTTGCCTGATCCTGAACCTTCGGGCGCAAAGATAAGCGCGACTGCGACTGATGGTGACAAGCTTCTTGGTTTCCGAGAGATCATGGCTATCAAAACGCCCAGCCAGAAAATCGCTGCTTTCAATCGCACAAGAGACCAGTTTGCTGCCATGGATACTGGCCTCCAAGCCTGGCTGAACCAAGCCTCTACAGACCTGCCGGAACATGCTGATCTTCTCCGACAGAACGGCGCGCTACCATCTGTGCCTACTACAGCACACAAACCGATGACGTCTCGCACAAAATTCCCGAAACTCTCTTCCGGCTCTGGGTCATCGCGAACCCACATAAGACACTCGTCTGGCACTCCGCTCAGCAGCATGATGCATACTCAGCAGGTGCAGGCCAAGGGCAAGGACCTGTTGCACACCGCCGGGGTTTTAGGTGGAAAGGCAGGCGATGCCGCAAAGGGCCTGTTTGCAAAGGGAAGGAGCAAATTTCGACACAGCGGAAGTGCTGAAAAGGTAGATATTTAAACTTGATCCGATACAATCACGATGCACATCTTTTGTCTTTTGATATGGGCAGTTCACTCACCCAATGCTTTTTATTTATCTTTGCACCTAAGGGTCTTCCTCTCATTTTCTCTCTCCCTCCTTTTCTTTTTGGAGAAATCAATTTTATTTCCGTTTTTGATTCCTCTTTACCTTTGTACATTTCCCTAGGAAATTGTAATGAGATACAGCCCAATGGGAATGGAATGACATTTTGGCAGGATCAAAAGAAGCCCATTTCTTCCCCCCTCTTTTTCTCACTACAATCCGCCGGACGACTGTGTTCGACGAATCTAATAGAATGTCTATCGCTGTAGGACTGTTGCCAAGAGGCGTCGGCCGAAACACTGAGCCCGCCTAGAACCCCGATTTCCACTCCCCAAAGATGTTCTGAGGATATGATAGAGACGGATAGTTTACAAAGAGATCTTCCACGGTTAAGATCCATTAAATTGGACTTATCTCCGTTGGAAGATTCTTTGAACCTCTGGTATCCCGAGAGAAGGTCGTCGGTTCGGTCTTTACCTGATGACAAGCGAGTCGCCAGAATAGGCGACGAAAAGGTTCGGTCAATGTCCAGTCCTGCGGGGGAGCGCAACTCTCTAGTCCTTGGGGGTCAAGATTCCGGTCGACCTGTCCCTACAAACGACCACACACAGGTGGATGGCAGCTCTTCCGAAGTTAAAGACCTTACGTCACGTCATGGATCCATTTTGATACCTTTACCTGGATCAGGGATCTTGGGTTCATCCAGTCGTACCAACAGTAACGATTCAAAACGGTCACCCGGGAATCCAAGTAAGGGCATAGAGGCGCACGGTTCGCAGCATCAAAGCACTCAAGGACCTCAAGAAGAGTCTACAACGTTGACTGGAGCAGTGTTACCGAAACAACCACGAGGTTCTACACGTGCTTCTTTGTCTCGTAAAACCAGTAAATCGTCGGGTATATCTACCGGCGAGCAGATGCTTGTTCTTACTCCTAATGGGTTGGAGTTGATTCCCAGTGGCCCACCTGTAAGTGAAGTAACGTTTCTAGATCAGGAGGAAGCAAGCAAAACGGGGTCATCACGGAACTTCGACGTCAGCAAACCTCCCAGTCCGAGTCCTCCGGAAGGCTCAGTTGCACTGGGAATCGAGGAGCAAATTATCTCACGCAAGTTTTCTTTTGAAGAGGGAGGGGGCTACAACACCGAAGTTGAACGGAGGCTTGTCTCTGAAAGACCTAAAGGAGAATTCTCCAACTCTCGCCCTGGATTCCCAAAGAACAAAGAACTCCATCAGCCCAGTCCTATGAAAGCAACAGCCCCTCTTCTCCACCCGGACACAAACTCAAGCCGTCCGTGCTCCCAAACTTCGACCAAGGCTACAATCTCCCATCTAAGACATTTCTCTGTTCCCACAACCCATCCGGCCCATCAACGGCCCAGAGCCACTCAACGTATGAGTTTGCGGAGTGATGGTACCCAGCCGAGTCTTGTGTGCCCACGAGTTCAAGGAAGCCATGTATCAGCATCTCAAAGCACTGTGGCTAACATCGTCGCTGCTTCTGATAACTCTCGGCGCTCGACCCAAAATCAGTCTGGGCGGGTTGAGTTTTCACATCGCATCGGCCTGCCGCACAACTCAAGTCAAGCTTCCCCTCCCTCCTTAACCCCAATCTCCCGCTCTCGATTGTCCATCTTTCTGTCAAAACTCCATAGCAGTCAACCCAAAGAAAGGCCATCCCAAATAGCTCAGCATCAAAACTTTTCAAAGAATACCAGCACGGGGGTGGTGCAGTCGATCAGCAACAACTTTTCGCGGCTTAATACTAAAGCTGGACCAACCCACCATCATACTCCTGATGGCATCAAAGTCGTGGATGAGCGAGAGACGAAGGAGGATGATACTAGCATGAGGAAGAGAGGCCTTAAATTTTTCAGACGATTTGGCTATGCTGGCGACCTGGGAAGCACTAAGAAGTTCACTCCTATGGGGATTGTAAGCTCTCCAGCCTGCCTGTTCACTTTGCTGTTATATTAATGGCCTTTTAGAAGTCAGTTCAGAAACCTACCAGGCTGAAACAAAGCGCCGAAAGACCTCTGATACCTTCAACACACCCAGAAGTGCCACCTGTCTCAGGGAACAATGGTAGTATGCAAGCTCAGACTGCCTCTTCATCTGGAACTGGACGCTTTTATCAGTCCTTGAATGCTAGGCTACCTAACATCACCGAGGGGTTGACTCTAGATGAACATATAAATTCACCTCCAGGGGGCTCGCAGTTGCATTCATCACCCAACACCCAGGGTAATAAGGATTCACTTGCCCGGACGAGGCACTCAGTCAGTAGTTACCCAGTCAGAATTGCAAGTTCAGATGTCAGTGCTACTTCTGGTCACTCCTCCAACCATGCGTCGATATCTTCTACGAGGACCTCAGGGACAAATTCACCAATGCAAAGCTTGCGCCCTCAAATGCGCAGCATGACGCTTCCAAGCTCCGAATTCCTACACACTAACGAAGACAACTTGACTGGAAACACTCCACTAGGACAGCAACGAGCGAGTTTGCACACTTCTGGTTTCCCGCACGGTTCACCCCCAGCACCGCGAGCGCCCAGTCAGCTGTCTAACGCTGTGCATGACATGCCGCCTCCGCCTCCGCCAAAGATCCCACCTGGCTATGCATATCCTGGTGCTGCTGCACCTTCATGTATACGCATACGACCCCCTCCTACAGGCCAACGGCTCGGGACTGAACACTCGGCGCCCCTCTTCCACATGGCAGTTGCACCCCACTCCTTTGACCCACCACAAACTTCTTTTGCTAGACGGGAGGTAAACATTGAGCCTGTTGAACTTCCAACTCATGATGACTCAAGTGAGGAGATTGTGATGTCCAGCACCTCTTACCCTGGGCAAGAGTGGCAGCCCAGTGGCTTAGGTAATTGGGATTGAGTTCCTTGACCACTGCCAAAAGTTATCAGCATATAACCCCCTCTGTTCTCTCTTGTTGCATACCTAGCCTACTGCTACAGCTGTTGTTTTGCTTGTCTTCAATCAGTTTGCTGGAATTTTACATCGTTATATACCCCAGTTTGTAGTAACTAGGTCACGTAAAGTTTCTTTTTCAAAATTAACCCAATATTTCATAATTATTCTATGGTGAACATTCTACAGTATTATAACTACCCTCTACATGTAAACCTCAAAGGGGGGGGGAGGGGGTTCCATTCTGTACTGACTGTGTCCTCCCTTTCATATATGGTACATATGGAGAATCGAGGGGCCATTAAGGATGTTGAGAGCTTCATATCAAGGCTGGTATTAGCCCTGGTATGTGTTCTGGTGATAATCGCCAGATGCCTGAAGTCTACCTGGCACAGCTGTGCATCACTGTGCGGGCCCAGTGCGCCATTCACAACTTGCACGCCTTGAACTCAGGAAGGGTCCTAGTTCAACCCCCGACAGTCCGCCACGCACTTGGAAGACCCCAAACTGAGACTGAGGCCATCCAGGTCTAGGTACGAGTGACTAGGGCTAGGAGAGTACTGACTTTTTGGTTGATGACATCTACGGCCCATCAGTAGGCCTAATCCTAGTAGAGCCGATAATTTTCTGGAAAAATTGTAGAATCCATTTTCTGAACAACAAGCATATCAACAGACAGTACATTCAAGTGTTGTGCATGTGTATAATATGATTATCCCTCTGACTATTGACTTGTTTCTAGTACAAATAGGAAAGCCTTCTAAAAATATTCAAGCTGGAACAGGAGTAAAACAGAGCCCTAAGGGCTACTACTAAGTTATAATACATATATTTTGTGAGGATTCAGCTTGTATCCCCTCATCAAACGCATTTTCGCCAGAGCCAAGACGATGAAATAATTCAGTCTCCATTCGCAGAGCTGCATCGGGTGTTTCCAGAATCTCTCCCATCATATCACCGTCAGGAAAATCCATTTCCCAGGGCGGTTCCGTGGCCACTCCTCTCATGTTTGCCACAACAGCTGTGTGAAAATGCCAACGAAGAAGGTGGTCGTTGACTCTATTGATATCCGCATCGTTTCGGCATCGAGGGTCGAGGATACGACCATCAATTCCAAGAGTGTCGGGCATAAATGACGTAATTAGGTAGCCATCCTTGCAAGAATTAGCAAGTGATGAAAAACTGTGCAGCCAGGCACTTACGTCTGGGTTGATAGAAAGTGAAAAGTTATCAAAAAGTGCGTGGACAACACTTGAAAGCAGGATACCGTTCTGTGGCGAATGGATCTTTGAAGTCCCAATGAGATAAGCTGCCGAATTGTCCGTGACAAGTTGCTGGAAGCCCCTTTGTCTCCATTCAATTACTCTAGCTTGGGGAAAGATGTGCGCGACTTCAAGGCCAGTGTATCTCCCGAGATCAGCCAAAGGATTCCGCATGCCACTTATCATGCAGTCACGGTCACGGGATCTTACAACTTGTCGAAAATACGCTCGCTGTCTCAGCTGAATTAGCAAGTCACCCTTGGTATTTCATTTAAGTCTAACGCGGTTCTCACCTTCGGAGTCAATTTGCTATCTGCCGTTCGTGATAGAACTCGACGAGGGTATGGCTCGGCGCTGAGAGAGACAGGAACTGGAGTACCATCGGGCCCGAGAATTATGTAGCGCCCGGGAGCAAGATTGGTTGCATCCGCAGCAATCTGGTTTCCAGCAGAACCATCATGATTAAGTGCAAATATACGCCATTGCGCATTTTCGGGCGGGAAAACGAGGAAGCGCGAGCAGAAGTTGTAAAAACGGCGGTGTGTCAAGGAGCCATTTTGGAAAACATCTAGACATAGCTGTCAGAGTGATTAATGGAGGCAGAAATGACCCCAGCAAGCAAACCTCCAAGAATTTGACCTTCATTGTCATATAGGTGAACATTGCGTGTGTGAGAGGCTTCGAATGAGGGCTCTTCAAGGCGTCGAGCCATATTGCCTTGACGTGCTATGTACTTGTATGAAGTTGTGGAAAGTGAGTTATAACTGGCCGTCGAGTACGGATGTATGAGGATTGGCTTTACAAGTCAGATTCAATTCAGCAACACACTGGGGAAGAGCGTGTGTACCAAATAATCCAAACACGAAGCATGCAAATACATACTCCATACTCCGTACTCCGTACATAGCGGTTACCTAGCAGATATGTTTACAGTACTCCGTAATACTGCGTCATGTGGGGGTTGCCCCACAGGGCTTAGCGCTGGCCGAATCAGGTAAGGTGCGCTATTGCTGCTTTTGCATGAGGGGCTACGGAGTACTCCGTAGCTATCTTGCCTGCTACTACTCCGTACATAAACATGTACATAGAGAAGCCGCACCAACTAACCTGTTCACTCTCTGCTGAACCTTTACAGGTCAGCAGAGAGGAAAACTCTTCTGTATCAAGATCAAGGAAGATCTGAGCCAATAAGTTGAAGGCTAATTACACAGAGACTGGTATCTTAACACTTTCACTATATACACAAAGTGCTACGCACATTCATTTTTCCAAACAGTTCGGGCCGGGGAAATAAATATCCGCCTGTATGCTGACTCAGTCGCGCCAAGGCCCCACGTCAAGCTATGTGTTACATAAGCCTTAATGGTACTTGGGTGGCGGCGAAGCTGGGATGACGGCAACGTTGCGTCTTCTCTCGCGATAAATACATGAACGACTCCGTGCAATAAATTAATTTGGGATTGCAAATGTCTGCAGGGCCAGTTCGCTGTAGTATGATATGACATGATAATTAGATGCTGCTACCCGATGTTTCGCCGTTCTCGTCGATAATCCTCATCAAATCAAAACCCCCCGTTATCCCCCAGCCATGGGAGTCATCCCAATCCAAGATCGAACGTCCGAGTTTCGATCTATCCTTGGCCAGGCCCAGAAACGACTGGCCGCATCGAAAGCCGACGCTCATCGCCAGGCCCTCCTTCGCCAGGAGAGCCATTCACAGAATGCAACGCCCAAAAAGTCAGAGTTTGCCAGGCGTGCGGCAGAGATCGGAAGAGCCATCACCGCAACAACTGCGAAGCTACAGCGACTCGCGCAGCGTGAGTTATAACCCTGACCTTTTTCTTTTGCTTCCTTCTCCTTTTTCTTTTTCTTTATTTTTTTTCCCCCTTCTACGCAACCGACAGTCACACGAACTGATATATTATATGGAAATAGTGGCAAAGAGAAAGTCTCTCTTCGATGACCGACCTGTCGAGATCTCCGAGTTGACCTATGTCATCAAACAGGATCTCGCATCCTTGAACTCTCAGATTGCTGCTCTCCAGGCTCTCACGCTCTCCCAACACCCCAAAGCTTCCCGAAGTCTTGCAGACCAGGAAGGGCAGCATAACGACAATGTACCTTTTTCTCCAGCTCTTGCTTATCTTTTTGTTTGTCTTACTGACTCGGCTGTCTAGGTTGTGGTTATGCTTCAAGGGAAATTGGCCGATGTCGGTGCCAACTTCAAGGAGGTTCTCGAAGTGCGCACCAAGAACATTCAGGCCTCCCGGTCGAGAACAGAAAACTTCATCTCCTCTGTCTCCTCCAAATCCCAGCATGCACTGAATCCCCAACGATCCGATTCTCCTTTATACAACCCACCGAGGAGCCGCAGCCCACAGCCAACCTCATCTGATCTACTTACGCTGGAACCTTCGCAGCTGATGATGATGGAAGAAGCGCAGCAGCCGTCCAACACGTACATCCAAGCTCGAGGGGAAGCAATCGAAGCTATAGAACGGACGATCAACGAGCTCGGGGGCATCTTTGGGCAACTAGCAACGATGGTGAGCGAGCAGTCCGAGATGATCCAGCGGATCGACGCCAACACGGAAGATGTCGTGGATAACGTGCAAGGGGCGCATCGAGAACTGCTGAAATACTGGTCGAGAGTGTCGGGGAACCGATGGCTTATAGCAAAAATGTTCGGGGTTTTAATGGTGAGTGCGAAGTTACATACCTAATGCGATGCCGGTCTGTTACCCTGCTAACATTGAACGACTTCTTTTTCTCATCAGATCTTCTTCCTCTTATGGGTTTTAATATCCGGATGACGCCGGTTCCCTCTTTCTTTTGCCTTTATTTCTGTTGCCTTTCCTTTTTCCTTTTTCCTTTTTCCTTTTTCCCTTTCGTTTTTCCCTTTTCCCGTCAATACCACTTTTCACTGTATAATATTATTATTTCTGCGTGCTGCATCTTCCAATAAGCAGGGATCACACATCACCCCAGGGCAGTCCTTTCCTTTCTCTTTCTGTTTGCCTCTTCAATTTTTCCTTTTTCCTTTTTTTTTTTTTTTTTTTTCCCCACTTTTTTTCCAGCAGCATTGTGGATTCCCAGGCGTGGGCAATTGCTCCATAGATGGCTGTGTTGCATTTGATATCCTCACTTTTTGTAATAGCCCATGCACGCATAGAGTCCATCAGTATACGGACATGGCGCAAAGACCGAGTTGGGGTCTATCCCATACATACATACATCATACTCCGTACATATACATACGTACTATACACGTACAGAGGTCATATCTCCGGATGAAACAGGGCCACAACTGCATCTGTGTGGGCAGAGTAAGGGGAGCACGGGCCAATGTGTTTACCTTTTGACTCAGAATCGGGGTCAGCCAAGCGTGCAACCCCTTGCTCCTCCCCCTTGCCCGCTGCCAAAGAACAAACCCTTGGGGGCCGGTCCCTGCAACCCCAACAGACATCTTCCGTACGGAAGCCGGTACTGTGCGTATATTACGGAGAACTGCTCTGATCATATGTACATATGTCGTGCACACAAGGTTGCTTTCCCCAGCCCCGTCCTAGTCGGGCTAGCCCCGGCCCTACCAGGGTTCCCGGCCAGTGGATAGACCAATCAGAGATCCAAGAAGCACATCCACCCGCTGCTGATTGGCCGGGTCCCTGGTCTATCCATTACCATATTAGGTTTAAAGCTTCCGCCGTGCTTCCATGCCAAGACCAGGCACCCTGTCCCTGATAACAAGCGGCCAGTCGTCACGTCTTCCTTTTTCGTTTTTCCGGCCCCTCGACTCTCCAACTTCACTTCATGTCATCCACCAATCCATCATCCATCTTCATCTGTTGCACCGCATTTCTCACTCTTCTTCTTCTCCTTCTTCTACTCTCTCTCTCTCTCTCTTTTTTTTTCCCCCTCTCATTCTCTACTATGACTGATGATTGAACGAACTGCAGCTGCTTGGCCGGGTGCGCATCTGGCAATCTCCCCATAGTTACTCGCCTGAGTCCACGAGACACCATCCCTCCGCAATCCCAAACACCCATCTGAATCAACCTAGTTGATCCCTCCAGTCCTTGACCCCATCGCCCATCAAATCCTTCTCTCATCCTCCCTTTTTATTCTTTATTTTTTATTTTCTCTTTCATTTTTTTTTTTTTTCTTCTCACTCAATCCCGGCCCGCCTAGTATTACTTTTCCATCATCATCTCCGGACCTTTCCCTTTCGCTGAAACGCGCATGTTTTCGCTCCATTGCTTGGAAAACATGTCTCGTGCGACTCAATGATTCCCGTCCATCTGGCTCCCAACCACCTCCCCCCCTTTCGCTCCCTTTTTGTCCTCTGCGAGGAATCGTCCATCTCTGTCTCCTCTCCGCGCCCTATGACCGGCACCGTCGTTGGTGCCATCTCCCCACTTTTCTTCCCACGCCGGCCATGTTGCTGAAACCAGCGACCCCTCTTTCCGTTCTGCTGCTGGTCGCTTTCCTTCTCCTCCTCCTGTCTGTCCTATCAACCCCCGTCATCAAATCAATCCCCATCGCCACCTTTGAAAATGTCCGCTTCGGCGTCTTCGGGTACTGCCAAGGCAGCGACTGCAGTGGAATTCGTGTCGGCTATCCTGCTGGTATGTTATGCTATCGCCTATAGATAAAAACTTGCTCCTGTCCCCGGATGGCAACCCGCCACTCATCTCCATCTATCCCATGCTGACTCTCCCAATCCAATCGCAGACGGCATCTTCGGTGATTCAAACAGGGACGGAGATTTCAACCTCCCTGCCACCATTCGCCATACCCTCTCGGCCTTGTTGATAGTCCACCCTATCGCTGCCTTCCTGGCTTTCATCTGCTTTGCGCTGGCCGCTGCTGCCCATCTACACTCACCGTCTCACTCGCCACGTTACCTACTGGGTCTCCTAATCCTCCTGCTACCGACGCTTCTCGTCTCTCTACTAGCGTTCCTGGTCGATATCCTTCTCTTCGTCCCCTATCTGCAATGGGGTGGCTGGATTGTCCTCGGCGCAACCATCCTGCTCACCTCCAGTGGTGTCGTCACGTGTGCAATGCGACGCACCTTGGTTAGCAGAAAAGCCCGGAAACGGAGGATAGCTGAGAATGCGGAAATGAGCGGCGAGAATTACTATAACCGCCAGATCGTCGTCAAAGTCGACGTCCCCCCGAGTTCAAGTCCCGCGCCCAGCCAACCTCAAACCACCGCCGCTGCGACGACTGGAAATGGTTTCAACCCGTCAAACGACGACGGATATCGTCGAAACGGGTCGCCTGGTCGACTCTCCCCTCCAGAGCCTGCAGGATATCCACAACCACCTCGTCTTTCTCCCGAAGATAATGCCGGCGTCCCCCTTCAAGATCCCTATGGCTCATCTTACCCCACTCAGTCTAATCCTAATTTGCGGAATCAGTTCTCAAATACAAGCATGCGATCCATCAGAAGCGATGGATCATCCTATCGCCAGAGGGGTCGCGCCCCGCCATACCCCCCTCCCAGAGGGAGGGGCCGACCTCCCGGCGGGCCTCGGGCCTTCCCTCCCGGTGGAAGGGGCAGGGGCCCCCCGCGCCCTGGTCCGTCAAGGAGAGGTCGTGGTAGACCCCCTCCCGGGTATCCTCCCCAGTCGAGAGGCTACCCTGCGAACGATTACTTGGGATATGGTCCTGGACGTAGATACGGTGATCGAAGTGATTTCGACCAAGGCATTGAGATGCAAACACCACCTAACAATATTCCTGGTGGACATCGTGACCCAGCAACCGATAACCTCAAAAGCCCAACCAGCATTTATAGCGCTGATGCGTAAGGGATCTCCGTTAAATTTGGCTTCATTCCGTTTTTAATCCCTTTTTGATGTTACAGCTAACCCACAGCCTCGCACCTAGTCCCTATGTTCCGCCGCGAACTAACTGGACTCCGCAAGAATACCCTTCTCTAGAACTACCAACTAATCAACGCCCGCCGCTCAGCCCGCTAGGTCCCAGCACTCAACCCCGCGATATGACTCGCTCTCCGCCTAACATCAACCCACATCCACCTAGCAGCTATTATGAAGACGTGGAGCCCCGATTCGCATTACCAATGAACGGAGTGGAGTCGGCCGACGTCCCTTCCTCGTTGGTACCAGGCTCTTCTGGTGAGCCCCTTCTGCAAAATTCATCCGATGGCTTGCCTGGTGGCGCACGCTCATCCGCAGTTAGCGAAGCCAGCCACTTCACATCCATTTCGCAAAGGGGGATAAACCCCAAATGGCGACCAGCGGATTCCGAGAACCCTAAACCAAAGATCCACCAACGTCAGGACGTTCTGCTTGGTAGCAATCCAGATTTTGCGCTACCGACAGGCAGAGCCCGTGCTAATACGGCAACCGGCGGTAGAATGCCGGCTCCATCAATGCCAACGATTCCGGGAACCCCCACAGGATATAGGAGTGAAGCAAGGTTTCCTTAATCCACGCCATTTATCTTCGGCAGCGTTCAGCAACATCACCCTTCTCCGATTACAACCATTGTGATATTGACCGTATCTATATTCTCTTCCAACCTACGCATCTGGGCATGCATAGTCGGTACATTCATTATCGATGACTTTACCCGCATATCGTTCGATGTAATCCCCATTCGTAGGACTAAGACATCCCCTTAGTCTCTCTTTCTTTTTTCACTCTTTTAAGGCATGGCACGGCTTCGCTTTCTTTTCTTTTCCTTCCATCCTTTTTCCCTCTCTCTAGTACTTGGCATGGCATGATCCTTTGTATTGTGGAGCAAAAATTGCCATCAGGGCCGAATTTTGGTCTTGAGTTTTCGTATTTCCTTCACTCTATCTAGGGATTCGATATCCAGCATATTCTGGCACTCTTCGCTTTGCTGCGCCCTTTTTTTTTTTTTTTTTTTTTTTTTTTGTGCCCCACACCCTCTCGTGGCTAGTTGCGACTTTTGACGTGTATATTTATAGCCATTTCCTTGCCCTTTTCCGTTGCTATATGGTGAGATTCAAAAATGTACATTACATGCATGTACAAATTTTATAAGATGGACCCTTAATTTATTACCGAATCGCAACTTTCTTGGATATCAAACATCAGCTGAAAAACCACTTGGTGCCAGTTCCCAAATGGGAATAAGGACAGCGGAATCCATAAAGACCACCCCTTTTCTCCCTCTCAATCACCTTTGATCAGGACAACTCCCTTTCTTCACTTTGGAGCCTTCCAATGGCTTGATTTCCAATGGAATTTCCCAAGATACCTGTTGGATCTTAACTTTGAGTGGTTACCAACAAAAAGCAACAATACGATCTAGAAAATATCAGAAAGTCCCCTTTCATACTATCCCCACTCTCCCATGTATTGACACACCGCAGAACGATCTGGAAGCTATTGCCTGGGGGGACGGCCTGAATAAAAGCCCAGGTTGCCCCTAATCCAAGCACATCGCAGATTCAATTGCAATTGCAACCTGGTCCTAGTCCTAATCGTCTTCTCTTCTTCTTATTACCCGAACACTCTTGGTCCAATCACTCAAAACGCTAGTTACAGCTCTAGTGAAACGTTCGATCTACCCATTAGCACATCCATCCATACATTCACCCTACACATCGGGAGGAGGTTGAACAATGGACAGCAAATCCCAAACACAGCCAAAGGAACAAATTGCAACTAGCTCCGAAATGACAAAGGAACTAGCGACCCATCTAGCACTGGTCGACAGAAGCCCCACCGATGTGGAGAAACCAGCGAGAAGTCGGATGATAGAGCAACTGAAAATCTCCCCGCTGCATTCCTCAAAAGTGCGCGCTACGTTCGAGGTAAACAATAAAAGTGAGAATAACGAAAATCAATCCGAGGGAGAAGAAGTCTTTCCGCAGTACGGCTTACTGGGCCAGCGTCTCCAAACGTATGGGTACGGAAGCGAAGATATTCCAGTCGGGGAACCGGTAGATAATTTGATCTATACCAATAGCAATGCGCCGTGGTCGACTTTTATCTGTGGGAGCCAAGGTAGTGGGAAAAGCCATACCTTGTCATGCATGCTGGAAAACGTCCTTGTAGCTCCATCGCGAACGGGAAAATTAGCGAAACCATTAACGGGCCTTGTGCTCCATTATGACCGATTCTCCAGCATCGAAACTGGTCAGCCGTGTGAAGCAGCATATCTTTGTTCGTCCGGAATTCCAGTCCGCGTTCTTGTATCTCCAAGCCATTATCAAGCCATGAAGAAGCTGTACGAGAATCTGGAAGGGCTACCGGAAGGCGCGCCAAAGCCAGTTGTATCAAAATTGAAATTTGTGGAAAAACACCTAAGTATCTCGATGATGAAGACTCTCATGGCCGTGGACAGCGAGAGCCAAGAGCCATTGTACATGGAGGTAAGTCCAATGCAAGAAAACCCATTGATAAGACTTCGACTAACAAAAAGTAGATTGTGACCAAAATCCTCCGCGAAATGGCACAAGAAGATGGGAATAGTAGCATCGATTTCAACAAGTTCAAGTCCAAATTGGCTGAGCAAGCCCTCGCTCCCAATCAGAAATCCTCGCTAAATCTAAGGATGAGCCTACTTGAGTCCTTTCTCGAGATCGAGCAAGCATGGGGTTTCCGCCGAAGCGCAAAGGCAGCGCGATCCGGCACCGCTCGCCAGCTCGATGAAAAGTGGAAATTCAACGAGGGTTCCCTGACCATTGTGGACCTTAGTTGTCCATTCGTAAATGCCAACGATGCTTGTGCCTTGTTCAATATATGCCTCAGCGTCTTTCTGGAAGGTCGGGGGCTAGGGAACCGGATGATAGCACTGGATGAGGCCCACAAGGTACGGGAAATAGCCACAAGCAGCCATAACTTCCCGTCAGTATTTTCACCAACTAACGAGTTAATGGGATTAGTTTCTTGTCAACACCAATCGAGAAGCCAACGAATTGACGGAAAGTCTTTTTACCATAATCCGTCAGCAACGGCACTTAGGGACCCGGCTAATCATTGCGACACAAGAACCTACTCTCTCCCCAAAGCTGCTGGATCTCTGTGATGTCACAATTGTTCACCGATTCACGTCACCTGAATGGTTTAAAGCCCTCCAAGGCCATCTAGCGGGAGCGGTTGTCGGCATTTCCTCAGAGGAACGGTCAAAATTCAGCCCGAACAGTTTATTTACTAAGATAGTGTTGCTGGACACGGGAGAAGCTCTAGTGTTCAGCGCCAATGGGGTGCTGGATATTCTGGAGCCTGAGGGAAACTGCAAGAGAAACTCCGAGAGTACAGGATTAGAACATGACGAACACAAAGATGAAGTACTGGTGAGCAAAGATAATGCTTTCACTACGTGGAAATTGGGTCCACGTTATATTAGGATGAAGGTTCGCATGCGGACCACTACGGATGGTGGGCGGAGCATCCTCGCGAAATAGATCTGAGCAAGCGGTGGAAAAATGATCGAAATGATACCTTGATCACTCATTTCCTTGGCCATTTTCTTTCATTCACAGGGGAACGAACCCCTTTTCCAATTCCTTTCTTCGCGGACTATCATCGACAAGTTTTTCCTTTATTCGACTACCGGTTTCCCCAATCTGACATTCATAGAATACTTCGCCAGACATTCACTTCCTCTCTTGCAATTTCCAGTCATAACAGTTGAATGGTGGCCTCGCGACATAGCGGTGTCCTCGTCGTTCACTCTTAAAAGACTCTAAGGCAAAAATAGCTTAAAGGTGAGCTTCAGGTTTAGCCTTTAGGGCTAAGCATTGACTTGTTAGCCACATTATACTGATGGAAAGTGGTAAAAACTTAAGAGGAAAAATCAATTGCCCGTTACTGTCACGTTCATGAGCAGAATCAATCACTTAGGCATATAGACGCTCGGCACGCGTGCCTTCGCCCTTCTCGTAAGTGCGAGCTGGCACGGAGAATGCCCGTGAATTGGCCACCAAGAGCCCCGCTGCGTAGCTATCTCTCACAGCCTACTTTGAAAAATCACCCTGACTGAAAATGATGATATCTGGAGTTATTGAAGCACTGGGCGGCTAGCTCCCGAAATTGTATTCATGAGGCTTCCGGGATTCCATGGACGCATAACGTCGAGCTACCGCCACGCCAGTTACAGGTATATGCAGTCTATAAGCATCAAAACCGTGCAATGCTAACAGGATGACATCGTAGCCGCCGCCCGCAGCCGCTTTTTCTTTTTGCCCCAACAATTAGTTTGCGACAGACATTCAAAGGCTCAGGGGAGGGGGGAATGAATAAGTATACCGGAATCAGCGCCTTCTTACTGCGGCCATCAGGTGTCAGAGGACAGAAGAGATCATGGCGCTCTTCGAATATGTTAATCAAAGCGGGCGATGGTTTGCCCCAATCCCAAGGGTCACTAATATTTGAATCCCACAAAGGCCGATCCCCTGTTGCCATGGCTATCCAGTGGCTAGTGAGAAAAGTTCATGACCCTGCGGCAAAATCTCGTGGCGAGCTCAGTTGCTGTCGAATCCACCGTCCTGCAAAGTGGTTGATGAGCCGGCTTCCGTTAAGTGGAGCGTCTGACAGGGTCATCGTGATGCTGGCCGGGATAAACCATGAGATTGCAAGCTCAAGCTGGGTGGGTGATTGGCTGGGTGGTCGTTCGATCCCTGGCCGTCGGCCCCCCCTCATGGCATCACATCGCCATTCTCAAAAAATGGAGGGGTTTCCGTAATTACTAGAAGGATTACACATCGCTGTCTGTTAACCTTGGCTACATGCTTAACTGCATAGTTCACAGCCTGTATTGAAGTAGACCATGAACGAGTTAAATAGTTATACCGTGCTTTATTTCCACCTGAGAGTCCTTGGGCTGGCAGTTTGCTCCAGTTCGATGGCTGTGGGGGCCTTCCCGCTCACTGCGCAAGCATCACCGCCCGGATCCATGCACCGAGCGCCTCTCGCGGCTTTGTGAGGTGACTGGATGACACAGGAGAAAAGTCAAAGCGGGGGGTGCTGACACGGAGGGGACCGCCGTTCAACTGAACACATCGCTGGAGAAAGCCAGGTCACTCTCTCGATGATTCTGCCCACATGCCAACACCAGATATTATTTATATCATTTAGGAACCCATAACACTATCATGGCAGCCCCATTCCTCGGCCAGCTTATGAGCGACTCAGTCGCGGACTACATCGGAGGAACACCTCTGGTGCGTCTGAACCGTGTCCCCGCCGCTCTTGGAATCAAAGCGCAGGTATATGCCAAGCTGGAATATTTCAATGCCGGCGGCTCCGTCAAGGACCGCATCGCCAAACACATGATCGAACAGGCAGAGCGGGATGGCGTGATCAAGCCGGGAGATACCCTGATTGAAGCCTCAAGTGGCAACACGTAAGTCCTCCTTGGGATTAAAAAGAAAATAAGAAGGCAGAAGGAAATGCCAAAAGAAGTGGGCAAAAAAAATCCAATTGTCAGGCTTGCCCACGTGTGCTAAAATACATCCCAGAGGTATAGCTATCGCGCTCATGGCAGCCATCAAGGGCTACAAGTGCATCATCACTCTGTCTGAGAAGATGTCTCTAGAAAAGGAGCAGATACTCCACGCGCTGGGTGCCAGGGTCGTCCGCACACCCGCCGGCGTGCCCATTGATTCACCGGACTCCATCATCAGCGTAGCAAAGCGCCTCCGAAATGAGATCCCTCGTTCTTTTATCCTAGACCAATACACAAACCCCGCGAATCCTGCTGCCCATGAATTCGGAACGGCGGAGGAAATCTGGCATCAAACACAGGGCAAAGTCGATGCGGTGATCAGTGGAGCTGGGACTGGGGGAACCGTCACCGGCATCGCCAAAGGGATGAAAAAGCATAATCCGGACGTCTTTCTTGTTGGGGTTGATCCAGTAGGATCAATCCTTGCGATCCCCGAGAGGCTGAATGAGACCAAGGGAGAATACAAAGTCGAAGGTATCGGGTATGACTTTCTGCCTGATGTTTTAGACCAGACGGCGCCGGACCTATGGGTCAAAACCACCGACAAGGACTCCTTCAAACTCGCCCGGAGGCTGGTGCGGGAGGAAGGGTTGCTATGCGGTGGATCGGCCGGCGCCACCGTTGCGGCCTTGGTTCAATTCATGGAGCAGCGTCCGGAATTCAACAAGGAGGAGAAACTCATTGTGCTGATCCTTGCAGACGGCCTCAGGAACTATCTGACCAAATTCGCGGACGACAATTGGATGAAACAGAATGGTTACGCAGTCGATGCCGGCGCATAACAAACAAGCCGGTGTCTTCCAAGAGGGCTCCGGCGCCGCCCAAGGGAACAGCGAAGACCGAACTCCGAAGGATGAAAAAGAAGTACATGCATGAGGTTGGCATTTTCGCCAATGAAAGGACGTGCCATGGGGAAAGCCATGACCAGTTTCCAGGTACGCAAACACCGCAGGAATCCTTGCGAGGTTATAAGCGATGTCATATTAGATTCTCAGGGAATGTATAGAAAAGAGAGATGAGAGAGAAGGGGGGGTTGGGGTTTGAAGAATCCGTGAAGAAATACAAAAATTATAGCAATTCTCCTGTCTCATCAGGGATTCCCAGGCTTGGCCAAAATTGAGAATGTCGCCATCTGCAGCTATGTAACCGGCTCTTCATGCGCAGCGGGATCGACCAACTGGTTTAACAAAGCACCGTGTGGCCAAGTTGGCATGTCGCACGCGTTTGAGGTTCATCCATGTTTTGCTTGAAATGGCAATCCCGGCAGGTATGTCGGCCCGATGTAATTCCAGATATCGGGATAACATTTATCCATGCCAACCAGAAAATCCATTAATTTCCTTTTTTTTTTTCCTGTTTTTCTATTTTTTTATTTTTATTTTTATTTTTTTTATTTATTTATTTTTTTTTTTTGGTGCTCGAAAGTCAATTCTAGCCCCACAGTCGCCGGGGGCGTGCCAGCCACAGCCTAAATAAAAAAAAGCCGCAGGGGAGATATTTTTGGAAACATAGCCGAACCGATGACACACGGACTGCGAGTGTGAGAGAGAGAGAGAGAGATGTGGATGTGTGTGTGTGTGTGTGTATATGTGTGTGGATGTACTCCGCACAGAGTGGGATATATGACATTCTTGATATGGCCCTCAGAACCAAGTGCCAACGTGTGCCCTTCACGCCGTCAGGAGGCTCGTGGAGGAGCGGTTCGTGATCAGGAGAAAGCGCCGGGTCGATTCGCTGGCCGCGTTGCTCTCTGCGGGTTCTCTGTTAGGGCGGGTCTCCCCTGTGCTGACAGAGACGCCAAGATGCTCCTGTAATTTAATCGCGAAATCCAACGCAGCTGTTTCATCCAGCAAAACCCCCCCCCCCCCCCCCCCCCCACCCAATAATTTTAAAATATGCTTTTTCTTTCGTGGCTATCTCGACGTACGGAGTTTGGAGTATTACGGAGTACGGAAAACAATCCGGCCATCTTGGCTAATATTTGTGTACTCCCATATCTGTAGTTATCGCCCTTTACGTCAAAAGTCCTTCCCATATGTTCAACGGAGTCTTCAAACCCAGTGCAGATAGCCCAGGATCAATCGCGCCAACCCCTGAGAAAAGGTACGCCTCGGCTACTCTATCTTCGCCTCTCCAAACCCAAGAGTCTGGGAGTCGTGGCAACTGGAAACTTTTCGCATCAAAAAGTCCCAGGCCCTTCTCTACTTCCCTCAGCAACTGTAAGCTTTTTTTCCCACGAGGTACAATAACGTTGGCCAAGTGGCAGATGGAAAGCAATCTCGCCCGTTGCTCTGTGGAGGCGAGAAAGCCTCCATGTTGCCACAAACGGTAACACGGACAACTGGAATGATGTGCTCATAATATCGCATGGCTGCTAACTTGAAGCAAGGGTGATATAGATCCCGCTGACGTTTCGGAATCACAAAGTCCGTGGTGAGGGTGTTGGGAGGAAATGAAAGATCGGAAAAGATTGCTCCAGAGCATGGGGCGCCCGTACAGCGTACTCTATATATACAACCTACATTAGATCATGATGGTGAACCTGGACGTGGTTTCCTCCGAGCTTATCGATTGAGCATATTGAGATGGCTTGAGGGGCAAGTGGTCTTTACGACTCGAGCGCGAGGGGGCGCTGTGCTATGATCATATTCTTGTTCTCTCGGTATTCACATGGAAAATGGTGTTGTTGCTCCCGGGACTTGCAACTCACAAAAGAAGCAGCAGCACCAAAGGGGCTACTCCAAAAGAGATCGATGATGAGGTGAATTACGGGATGAACGTATGAGACGGATGTATTTGTCGTGGTGGGATCGGCGGGTTCAATTTTACCTTCCTTTTTTTTACCTGTTTTTTTTTTTTTTTTAAAGCCAATCGGACCGAAGAAACTTCCTGCTGACAGGCACGCGAGGTGGTCGAGTCATGTTCAGCGCTCACCCTTCGCGATTGACTTGCTGACAGCTCACATGCGATCTCGCTGGTGATGGACCCGGACGAAGTGATAAACGAACGCAGCTACGGAGCACCTCGGAGGAAGATGATGATTGATTACTTCAGACGCGCTGTCCTGTCGCACGCCGTTGCACGATTTCAAGGCAGCCTTATTCTATGCAGAGGGCAGGATTTGACAGGTCGAGGATATCCGGTCGCGAAGGAAAAAAAAAAAAAAAAGAAGAAAAAGAAAAAGAAAAAAAAAGAAAAAAAGAAAGGAAAGAGTTGGGGTTCTGTTCAGTTGAAACGGCCCTGAAATCTTTTAAATTGACCCACCTCCTCCAGTCTCCGTATAAGATTCTTTTAAGGGATAGACTTCAACGGTCTCAAATGTGGAAATTCTTGAATTCATAATCTTCGCATACCTTCTTGTCACATATCATGGAAGAGAAAGAAGCAAAGGAAGAAGGCCCTGAAGTCAGGCCTGAGATCTGTCTTGTGTATACTTCTGTGCTCTGTACTCCGTAGTTACCCTTGCTCCGTGTACTCCGTACTCCCTACATATTTTCCCACAACACTGCAACGCCAAAAACTCTTCAACCAGAGAAAAAAGATTAAGCCAGCGAAGCCAGCGGAAACTTTTACCAGGAAAAATAATACGCCAACCGAACAGGGCGCTGGTTGGCTCAAGTTTGGCTTCCTCCGTACTAGCGGTAAAGAAACCCGGAAAATTCCCAGCGGTAGGGATCGCCGGTTGGCCGACTAGCGGGCTAGGGCGAGCTCAGCCGCGCCTTGACACCGCGCAATGCAGCCCACACGAGCCAGCTTGGAGCAGCGGCGCATCGCGGTTCATTTCACTCCGTCTGTACAGTTCAGTTACACATACGGAGTACACCATATAACTATGGTGTTAATGTACGGAGTACTCCGTACGGAGTATGGACATACATACATACAGCGTACTCCATACCGTACAAGAACCTCTCGCGCCAACGGGCTTGGGGGTCTACATACCACGCGGGGCCCGCCAGCCCGCCCAACTCACACACACCGAACATGAAACCGCATGCCCAAAAAAATCCCACATGTTTCGATACGGTATCGGGGGTGGGTCTGATACCGCCTCCCACCGCCCTGTCCATACGGAGTGCATACAGCAGCAGCAGCAGCAGATACAGTACAGGATACAGCAAGCAGACAGGATAACTAACGGTTGCTGGGCTTGTTCCTTTCATCAGCCCCAACCTAACCTAACCTAACCCACCCAAGGTTAAGCTGCACCACTGCCGTCCGGCGAACCTCGCCCGCCTTTCCCATCGAGGCAGGGGATCATTTTTTCTCTCTCTCTCCCTTCTCTTCTTCTTCTTCCTTTAAGTCTTCTTGTCACCTCTCTCTCTCTCTCTGTCTGCCTCTCTCGTTCAGCTACCTAGGCACCTCTTCACCTTCTCCCTCTTTTTTCCTGCTTTCTTTTTTTTTTTTCTTTTTTTTGTTGTTGTTGCTGTTGTTTGTTCCACTACCTCCCATATCATCCACCCCTTTGTCTGCACGTCACTTCGTCTGCGGCTTGGACGTTCCTCCATTCGCCCTTCGCCCTGTGACCTCGAACAACTACCTGGCTTCGCTGTCAGCAGGCCTTGTCCTTCCCACTACCAATCCTGACCTCTCGCTCCCGCAACCTACCCTTGGCCGACACTGGTTCCCCATACCTCACCCTCTGATCGTTCCTTGCGATCTTCGACGATGGCCTACCAGGGCGGCGGCGGTAACTCGCCAGGAGGTTACGGCGACCATCGCCTCCAGGATATGCCTCCAAATGGAAGCGTAAGTTTTTGCCCTGCTGTCTCTTTTTGTTTTCTCTGTCTTTTGTCGAAAAAGAAGGAAAAAAAAAAATTGTTGGCGTGAATTCACATCCCTGCCTCTGGCATGTTTCAGAGTTATATTGATTTGCTCTGCTGACAATCCACCCCCTTTTTTTGGGCCTACCTTCGCGGTATTTAGCAATACCACCTGCCGCAAGATGATGATGCTTCGCGCTCTTTGCTGAATCAAGGACCCTACGGTGGTCCCTTCGACGATCCCCATCAGCGGACCGCCTCCCCTGCCAGACCAGCTTCGAGATACAGCTTGACCGAGTCTTACGCCACAGACCCACAGAACATGAGCCAGTACAATGACCCGATGTACGGCCAGCAGACGGACAATCCCGCCGCTGGCTTCGGCGTGCCTGGTCGGGTAGCCTCCCCGTACAGCCGGAGCGAAACCTCCTCCACAGACGCATGGCGACGGAGGCAAGCTCCCCAAGGAAACCTCCGCCGCTACGCTACCAGAAAGGTCAAGCTCGTCCAGGGCTCTGTCTTGAGCGTGGACTACCCCGTGCCCAGTGCCATTCAGAATGCGGTCCAGGCAAAGTACCGCAACGACCTCGAAGGAGGAAGCGAGGAATTTACGCACATGAGATGTGGGTAGCCCCGTAGATTGATTCTCAACACAGGGATATCCACTTGCTCACTGACGGTTCCACACAGATACCGCTGCTACCTGCGATCCTAACGACTTCACCCTGCACAATGGCTACAACCTTCGTCCTGCTATGTACAACCGCCACACCGAGCTCCTGATCGCAATTACGTACTACAATGAAGACAAAATGTTGACTTCTCGTACCCTGCACGGCGTTATGCAAAACATTCGCGACATCGTGAATATCAAAAAATCCGAATTCTGGAATAAAGGTGGTCCCGCCTGGCAAAAGATCGTTGTCGCTTTGATCTTCGACGGTATCGACCCTTGCGACAAAGACGTGCTAGATGTTCTTGCTACGATCGGTGTTTATCAAGATGGCGTCATGAAACGTGATGTTGACGGGAAGGAGACCGTTGCCCATATTGTCAGTACCTTTTCTTTTCCTTTTAGATCTTAAAGCGATTTCGACAAGCCTCGTCCTAACACAGACACAGTTCGAATACACCACACAATTATCCGTCACCGCAAACCAGCAGCTCATCCGTCCCCATGATGATGGCCCGTCGACTCTCCCACCCGTCCAGATGATGTTTTGCTTGAAGCAGAAGAATAGCAAAAAGATCAACTCTCACAGATGGCTCTTTAATGCGTTTGGTAGGATTCTCAACCCCGAGATTTGTATTCTCTTGGACGCTGGTACGAAGCCTGGTTCGAAGTCCTTGCTCGCTCTTTGGGAAGCTTTTTACAACGACAAGGACTTGGGTGGATCTTGCGGTGAGATTCACGCCATGTTGGGTAAGGGATGGACAAAATTGATCAATCCGCTCGTCGCTGCCCAAAACTTTGAATACAAGATCAGTAACATCCTCGATAAACCCTTGGAGAGTTCCTTTGGATATGTCAGTGTCTTACCCGGTGCTTTCTCTGCATACCGATTCAGAGCTATCATGGGTAGACCCCTTGAGCAATATTTCCACGGTGACCACACTCTTTCCAAGCAGCTTGGTCCCAAGGGTATTGAGGGTATGAACATCTTCAAGAAAAACATGTTCTTGGCTGAAGATCGTATTCTCTGCTTCGAGTTGGTGGCCAAGGCTGGATCTAAATGGCACTTGACCTACGTCAAAGCTTCCAAGGGTGAAACTGACGTGCCCGAGGGTGCTCCGGAATTCATCTCCCAGCGTCGACGTTGGCTGAACGGTTCCTTTGCCGCCAGTATCTACGCCCTCATGCACTTTGGTAGAATGTATAAGAGCGGACATAACATCCTCCGCATGTTCTTCTTCCACATTCAAATGCTTTACAACACGTTTACGGTTTTTTTGACTTGGTTCGCTCTGGGTATGTAATCAACGTGAACTTGAAACGCGGAGCCCGTCCTGTGCTAATGGGTTTATAGCTGCTTACTGGCTTACCACTTCTGTTATCATGGATCTCGTTGGTAACCCTAATCAAGAGGGTCAGAGAGCCTTCCCCTTCGGAAACAAAGTTACTCCCATCCTCAACACGGTTCTCAAATATCTATACCTTGGTTTCCTCCTACTGCAGTTCATCCTCGCCCTAGGTAACAGGCCAAAAGGGTGAGTGAAGAGCGTCTTATTGAGTCTTTGCCACAATGCTTACCCCGTCGTAGGTCTAAACACTCGTACATCACGTCGTTTATCCTCTTCGGTCTTGTTCAGCTGTACATTGTCATCCTCTCAATGTACTTGGTCGTTCGGGCGTTCTCTGGAAGCGTAGATTTCGAAACCGACAAAGGCGTGGACGGTTTCCTGAAGTCTTTCTTCGGCTCCGACAGTGCGGGTATCATTGTTATCGCTCTTGCAGCAACTTTTGGTCTCTACTTCGTTGCCTCGTTTATGTACATGGACCCATGGCACATGTTCACATCCTTCCCGGCCTATCTGCTCATCATGTCCTCGTACATTAACATCCTCATGGTGTACGCTTTCAGCAACTGGCATGATGTTTCTTGGGGTACCAAGGGTTCAGATAAGGCAGATGCATTGCCGTCCGCACAAACGACGAAAGAAGATGGTGGCAAAGCTGCCGTTATCGAAGAAATCGATAAACCACAAGCTGACATCGACAGTCAGTTCGAGGCAACTGTGAAACGAGCTCTTACTCCCTTCGTTGAACCAAAGGTCGATGAAAAGAAATCTTTGGAGGATTCTTATAAGAGCTTCCGTACTCGACTAGTAGCTTCATGGATTTTCTCAAATGCTTTGCTCGCTGTGCTAATTACAAGCGACAGCGTTAATAAGCTTGGTTTTACAGTAAGCTATCTCCACAATGAAGGGTGGTTTTTACATGATCATGATATACTGACACTGCTGGATAGTCCCAAGCCACAGATCGAACCGCCAATTTCTTCCGAGCTCTTTTGTGGGCTACGGCCGCTTTGTCTTTGATCCGTTTCATCGGAGCCTGTTGGTTCTTGGGCAAATCAGGCATTATGTGCTGTTTCGCCAGAAGATAGTCAAGGTGGCTTCATCTTTCGGACTCTCTTTTGTTTTACGACCTGTGTTCTTTCAGCCTGGAAAATTGACGCCAGTAATCTGCTTTCCCGCCCTGACATGATGATATTCCCTACACAAAATATGGTCCTGTTCAATATCCACCAATATTCTGCCATGCCCCTTTTTCTTATTTGTTTCACTGGTAACTATTTGTGCCTGTATTCTATTTTAGATGATGGGTTATCCTTTCTCTTTGTCTCTGCTATTCCTGCTCATTACTCTGGGATTTCCCAAAGTCTAGGTAATGTTGGTAGCTTCATATCTTTTTGCTTTCCCTTCCAGATAACCCTGTTTCCACGCATTAATGTTTTGACTTTTGCTTACTATACCTTGGGCTACTTGGTTCCCCTATATTACCCAATGTCTGTGGCATGTTCTATGAGACCCCATGGCAATGTGAGTTCCAGACAGAGTGTTTCTCAAAATACGTCACTCCTTGACTATGTAGCCGGGCCCTCGTGTCCGAGCAGTAAATAACCTTCAATGTCTGCTCGACCGATTTTCCGGCCAATGAAAGGCGCATATTGCGGCCATTTCTAATAGGTTATGCTGGTCTTGATGTTGGGCAGGCAACTTCTCGGAGTTGGACAAATATATCACGTGCACTGCCCAAAGTTTTGGTGACTTCATTCGGCGTCAAGTGTCAGAATCCACGCCGCCGCCGCTTGACAGCAGACAGATTTGAACAGCCCGATTGAAATTGTGTTTCTGTTTTCCCTTCCCAATTTTTGAGGCATAATAGATATATATTTTTATATATTTTGTTTTTTACTCTGCATAATTTGCTAGTAGACATCTGGCTTCCGTCTCCAGCATATATTAGTACTCACGACTTTTAACGCCGCTCTCAACATCTCCACCACTCGGTCCCTTTTGCAGCCTGACCCCCGAGACTTCCAAAAGGAATATATATACACCCACATATATTTGGTCCCATAAAGAGGTGCAAAAACTGTGTATATGTGTTCTAGAGCTTGAACAAGCAAGGCTCTACTGCAAATAATACTAACAGTTCGCGCATCTATTTTGGGCCGGCACGCTCTGGCATTTCCCGCCGCTCCTGACATCGGATAAACAGGCACACGCCCACACGCAGCTCACACCTTTTGTCCTTTTTTTTTTTTCCGAATTTATTTTGTTTAGCCTTCTGGCTTGGTTGGGGCTGCCTTACTAGCGGATTCCCTAGAGTGTTTGGAGGGAGATTTTGAGTCAAGATGTTGAAGATATGGTCAATGGTACGTGGCGTGATGCTCCTTTGCCCCTCTCTTAGCCCATATGGATGTTGACGGGGATCCATAGAAGCAAAAACAGCAACAAGCTGAAAATGCTGAAGGTACCGGTGGTCCGAAGAAGAAGAAGGTCACCGCTGCGCAGCTGCGAGTGCAGCGAGGTGTGTTTATGAACCTGCACGGCCCCCGCACCAGGTATTCGTCAGCTAACGCCTTTTATCGCAAATGTACAGATCTAGCAGAGCTCTCCCTCGGTTCAACGATGAAAATGAGCTTCCCAAATGCCGACGATATCCTCCACTTCATCCTTACCGTTGAGCCCGACGAAGGCATGTACAAAGCAGGCACGTTCACCTTCAACTTCAACATCAACCAGAACTTCCCGCACGATCCACCTAAGGTGAAGTGTAACCAGAAGATATATCATCCAAACATTGATCTAGAGGGGAACGTATGCTTGAATATTTTAAGAGAGGACTGGAAACCTGTGCTGAATTTGAATGCGGTGATAGTGGGGCTGCAGGTACGAGATACAGGGTTATTGTACTACGCTCCGGGCTTCTCTTGATGACTGATGGCGCCTCCATGAAACAGTTCCTTTTCCTTGAGCCTAATGCATCCGACCCGCTGAACAAAGAAGCCGCCGAGGACCTTCGCCTGAATAGGGAGCAGTTCAAACGCAACGTGCGTAACGCCATGGCCGGAGGGACAGTGCGGGGGATTACATATGAGCGAGTTATGAAATAAACAGATGATAGATATGAGGACTTTAGGACATGAATGATGAAACTTAGCCGTGCTCTATGCCTGCTGTGAAGGAATATGGACACAAGGGCTATTAGCAACGTAAAATGACCCGTATGCGTGTTCAACTCATACGGATATCCTAATCTTACAAAATGGGAGCTCAGGTTAGATATTACGAGGAGCGATGTCATCTGCGATTTGCTTATTTAGAGAATATTTTGCCTCGGTTGGTTATTCCTAATTGGTTATGTTAGTTGGGAAGCTGCCTATACGGTAGAGAGCATCGTAGATGAAATTCCAACGGAAATAGAGCTGTAAGAGTGGAGAGTAACGAATATGCATTCTTTCTTTTTTTGTTTTTCGTTCTTTTCAAAACATGTTATATACACAGCTCGTTCGTGTTACAAGGCATGACCCACCGCCACCGTCGAATCCCCCAGCGGAGTGTTGTATCCGTTCGTCGGTTTCGTGGACTTGCTCCCTTGGACATCTTTTGAGCCCATGGGCAACAAAGTGCATCATTCGAGGGCGTGTATGGAGGAAACGTCTGGGCAGAACGAATATGCTGAAGGGAAGGAGGTCGGTGAATCGATTAGAGAGCAGCTTCACTGGCACGCTCTGCTTCTAATGTAGCATAGAGGTGGTCACGGGCCCGGACGCGGGGGAGGTGGTATCCTTAATGTCATCTCTGTGTTAGAGGGAGATTCCCGATCTGTGGGAGAGAGGTATCATTTTGCGAAGCAATTATTGTCCTACGTACCGTACCACCAGAGGTAACCGAAAGTTGTTCCGAGGCCTGGAATTGAAGGTTAATAAAGATTCGCTCACTGGGAGAGTCGCTAAAGATGGAGGTGTGTAATCGGGGAGGTAAAATCATCCCCGGGGAATTGAATGAGCGCAGCTCCCAAGCATTGAGATGCGCAATGGAACTTTCGATCAGGAAGGGAATCGCTCACCAAAGGCGGTGCTAATGTCCAGAACGAGGCCCTTGCGGAGCATCTACACGAAATATCATCAGCAAATTGGCGCCCAACGTAGTGTTGACATCGACCCTCAATTCCATAGCACACACACACAGACACAGCACCAAGCTAGGGAATTGCGCTTACACCAGTGATTGGTTGGATGGCCATCTTGGGCTGGAGGGAAGAGAAAAGCTATCGGGAGACAGTGAGAAAAAGGAGCTCGTGAGGATCCCCAGGCAGTGAATTGCAGCGGGCTTGTCGTGCGTTGTCTTCGTGCTTCGTCGTCGGTTTTGCTGGTTTCGGCGGCACAAGGAAGGTCACGTGGAAAATCGAATTTCAATCAGCCCACTGCTGAGTCAGGAATTATGTCAGCGGATCAGGGAGCGAACGAGGAGCCCCAAACGCGAAGCAGAGCAAGCCATGACAGGCAGAGGAAGACGAGGAACCGCCGGCCGAAACACCAGCGAAGAAGACAGAAGAAGAAACCCGGAGATGAGCTAATGGAGCCTGGGCTATGGTGGTAATCTTCCAAGCTAAGCTTTGAGTGGGATGACAACAGCTTGCATTCACTTGATCCCGCAAAATACATGCCTGCCATTCAACGCCAGTCCTATTGATCCATTGAACGGAGACTGAAAGGCGCTAGATGGTTCATTCAGAGCTACTCATCTAGGTGAAGAGGGGAAAACTTTCTCTCATATCGCGCACCCATAAGATCGAAACAGCAAGTTAACCTACTCCAACTCTTTCCATATACCCTCCACTGTCGATCCTGGAATCATGTCCTCCAAGAACGCGTCGCTCAAACGTCCATCCCCGGACTCAGACAATCCACCAGCAGTTCTCTCGAAGAGGCAGAAGGTTGAATACCACCGCGTGCATCGTCTGCAGTCTCCCCTAGACATTGAGCCCCTTGACTCCGCCGTCATCGCGGACGATGCTTCCGTGGACCAGTTGCTAAATATGGCCATTGGAGTTTCACTGCGCGAAGCTGGCTTCGACCATGCAGAGCCCGTTGCGCTGGATAGCTTCAGAAATGGAGTTGAAGAATGTATGGAATTCCATTCTCGGGTGTGGCTACGTGACAGCTGCCTTTTAAATTTCACACTGCTAACCTTCTTGGAGATATGCTTCATTTCCTATCTTACATTCGTGCATCAATGGCTTCCTGCCGCAGAACACAACCCATCCCGCAGGACTTTGAGCATGCCCTCGATCAGCACGCCATATCCTTGGATTCACTTCGTCCACACCTCAAATGCCCCCGCAAAGCCACACAAACTCCGGCCATCCTACCCTCTCCACCTCCCGACGAAGGAACTCCACAAACGTATTTACCATTCTTAGGACCGGAGCTGAGTGCCACCGACGATAAAAGAACGTACTCGTACATTCCAAAACATTTCCCCAAATTCCCGAGCAAGCATACATACCAAGACACGCACGTCTATACCGAACGAGAGACCGACCCAAGAAAAATTAGAGAGAGAGCAACCGAAGAAGGACGTCTAGGCGAAGAGGCATTGAGGAAATTAACACATGCGGCAAAAGAATCGCGATCGAGGAACCAAGTGGAGGCAGAGAAGACCTTATGGGGAAGAGAGGAGGAGAGCATGGAGTCTATGTTTGAAAAGACGCTGGCTGCACTTCTTAAGAGCCAGGCAGAGGAGAGGGCAAAAAGAAGGAAGGATAAGCAGAGAGCTATGGATGCGGAGCTAGATACGATAGAATTTGGGTTTTCGGAGCCTGTGAGGGAAAAGACTCCGGTAGAACCTGATATCGAACCGCCAAAGCTTGAATTGGGCCCTGTTGTGAACTGCGAACGTGTGTATTGGCTTAAGAGCGAGGCAACAGACGGGCGCGGAACGGAGCGTCAGAAGAGTACGTCGGCAACAGCTAGAAAGGTGTGATCGACCGAGCTCCTTTTTGTCCTATCGCAGCAAGGCGTTTGGGTTATTCATATATTGGGCGAGCATTTCCATTGAAAAGCGTTGCATATGCGGTTCCAGATACCCCGGGGAATATCATTGTTGTAAACTTCTGTATGGATCAGAGTCATTCGTTGCCTCATTCATGTATTCGTAGCTCATAATCCTTTGCTTTCGCGAAGCACGACATCTTTATATTTATGCCCTTCGAGCGCTGTAGTTTCTGCACTGACTCCATTTGCGCACCTACGCCCCAATAGTAGTCAGCCCAGCGCTTTACCCCATTCACGCACCAGATTAGGACTTACCGTCTGAAGATCCTCACAACTGATTCGCATCTCACCACCCCTGGCGCTTCTGGTACGCCTTTACGTGGCGGATTGCACGAAAACTGTTGCATTGCGAACAGCGGACAGGAGAGGAGGTCTGTTGGCGGTCCTTTCCGTGCTTTAGGCTTGAAGCCGTGGGTGGTGGTGTGGATGTGAATAGGGAGCGACGCGGCTGGGAAAGGAGTGACGGGCGGTGCCATTTTCCTCTAATAAATCTGAAAAAGGATAGCTAGGTATGTGTGGAGAGTGTGGAATTGGGTTGAGGCTTAGGAGAAGGGAGCCTTGAAACCAGAACCTGCAACTGCCGCCGGTTGAGGCGGACTGAGTTTGATCGCAGGTTGTTCTCTTGTTCAACACCCTAGCTCTAAACCCTCGACACTGACGGTGATAAAGCGCCCCTTTAGATAATTGAAGTCTGCGGCAATGAGTGCTCTGCGGTGTGCTGAGCCCAAGCATCTCGAAGAAGATGGGCGCTGAGTTTTTTGGGGCAAGGTTGCTGGCGGAAGTCAAGGAACAGAATCTCTCCGATGTCAGTACTGGCAGTGATAAATATGCAAGATTGAGCTCAACAATTCTCACCTCTATGCTTTTGCTTGACTTCTACTAACGTGCAAACTCCGCTTTAGATCCTACGAGAGTTTCGCGAGTCTCGCGGCGACAGCGTTGTAGGTCGAATTCTACTCGGCATTGAGCCCCTCGACGACATCCTCTCCGTCCTCGCAAGGAGCAATACTCTCCCAAGCAATCCGGTAATAGAAATAACCAGCCCCTTCTCTGCCGATGGCAAGACATCATTGCTCTATCACATCGCCGCTCTGGCAGTGTTGCCGGCGCGAGCTGACGACGACGTTCACGTTGGAGGCCGTGGTGCAGCGGTGATATGGCTAGATACAGATGGACGCTTCGATGCCCTCCGTGTTAAACAGGTGATAAATCACATTGCTCAGGAGAGAATTGTGTCTTCCCACGGTAATAGCGATAAAAGGGACGACAAAAAGGACGAGATAATGTTACGATGCCTCGTCGACGAAGCTCTGCGTCACATACATGTCTTCCGACCGCAGTCCTCTGCTTCTCTGCTTACGACCTTGGAATCCATAATCGAGTATATGTTTAGCATAAGACACTATTCGCGGCAGCGTTGTGTATACGCTACCATTCTCGATAGTGCCAGTGCGTTTTGCTGGCAAGATTGGCGTGAAGCCGAGATCTCGCGGATTCCTGGCGCAAGGAACGAAGGACAAATCCATACGCAACACGAAGCGTCGTCTATCCGGCAGAAGAAGGATATACATGTCCCCACGGAGATCGTTTCCTGCCTTCGTGCTATACAAAGCACGTTTTCGTGTTTGGTTTTCTACACCACCGCCGGATTTTATCCCTCGCGCTCGATCTCCCCTTTGTTGGGTTCGTTTAAGCCATACCTTCCGCATCCATGGCCTACATTTCCTACGATTCGCCTCATTGTACGACGAGACGTCGTGCGGCCGTTTGGAGAATGGATGACGGTTGATGAAGCCAAAGCGGATGCCGCCTCGAGACAAGCGGTTGTTCTGAGCGGTCGGTTTTCCGGGTGGATCGACCCATCTAGTATACCTGCGAGCATCAAGAGTGAGCTCAGTGCTAAAGGAGCGTTTGGATTCAGGATCCTCAAGGAAGGTATTGAGTTCAATAGTTGATTACTCCAGAGTAGATTATTTGAACAGTTATAGTGGCAACCCATTGAGAGGTTGTGATCTAAATCTACGTATCTGTAGAGCTTCACGTCTAGTGATAAAATAAAAAAAAAAAAGAAAAAAAAAAAAAAAAAAAGGAAAAAAAGGGGGTCTACACCTGTTCAAAATCATATTATGTTAAGTAGAAAATAGCTCTCGAATCGCCTCGACACTGGTATTTCCCCCGCTGAACACCACGCCAATATCCCAGCCTTCCTTGCCCGACTCTTTCTCCACGAACGTCCTGAAGTCTTCGTTGAACAGAATAACCGCCAACCCTACAACGGCACTGGGCTCCACCACCACTTTCATTCTCTCGAGCACCAGTCTCATAGCGGCCTTTATCTGCTCCTCTGTTACGGCGTACACGCCTCGGACCTTCTCTGGGTTCGAGATGACAGACCAAGGAATGGCACCGACCGGTGTGCGTAAACCGTCGGCTATGGTGAGCGACGAGACCCTCGTGATGAGGGCTCCGGCAGCGAGGGAGCGACAGCAGTCATCAGCACCCTGATACGATGGCTCGGCGCCAAAAACAAGGGTTTTAGCGGAAGATTCGCTCTTCTCGGCGGAAGAAAACCACGTTGCGACGCCGGAGTTCAATCCCCCGCCGCCCAGGGGCGTGATCACGGCATCCAGCATGGCATTTTTGCCCGCCACATCCACATGCACGCTCAATCCGGGGTTATTCTGGACCAGTTCTTTCACCTGCTGTTCGAGCTCCAGCCCTACAGTCCCTTGACCTAGTATTATATCCGGATGATCGTACGGCGGCACAAGGATGGCGCCCGTGTCGTCAATGACATGTTTCACGACCTCTTCGCGCTCCTGGCTCGTCGACCCGCTGAAGATCACCTTTGCACCGTGGGATTGTGTCCCGGCGATCTTCGAGGGGGTGGAGATGCGTGGCATGACGATGTACGCGGGAATTTGCAAGGTAGCAGCGGCCAGAGCGACGGCCTGGGCATGGTTTCCTAGTCACAACAGCAAAGGACGATCCGCGTTAGCAAAATTTGAACGTCCTCAGCAGTAGCCGAGGTCCGGTAAGTTCGTATTTGGGATGTGCGTGCGTGTGTGGGTATGGCAATGGGATGTATACCAGAACTATGCGTCACGACTCCTCTCTTCCTTACTTCCTCTACGCCCAGACAGTCGCATAGCCTCAGAAGTGCGTGGAAGGCGCCCCGTGCCTTGAAGGCACCGATTTTCTGCAGATTCTCACATTTGAAGAACAAATTGATCTTGGGGCTGGCCGGCGTGCGTCCTTCGAACGGTGTACCGCGGAGGGAGTCGGCGGATTGCGGGGTGGATGCGAGGCGGTTGAGAGTGCGGCAGGTCAGGACAGGGGTGGTGTGGACGTGGGGTCGGATCACAGCGTGGGCGGCCTGGATGTTGGTGGCGGAGAGTGGCAGCCAGTGGGATTGGTCTGTCATGTTGGCGGTGAATTGTCCTCTATGAATATTGGAGTGAAAAAAGGAAAAGAAAAGAAAAGAAAAGAAAAGAAAAGAAAGGGAGGGGGGGGAGCAATGGAATGATTGACAATTTCACGGCGCGACAAAAGACAAGGGTTCTCGGTTGAAACGTTCTGTGGTTGCGAGGGAGATTCAACTACGCTGTGGTCTCGGCCCTTTTTTCTCTCCAGGTCGCGGGGCCGAATACGAGGAATAAAACGTGAAAGCAGGGATCCAAGGAGCTCCAGAGGAGCAAGGATGAGGTTGAAGACATAAACTTTTAAAGAAAATGAATTAATAGCTCTTTCTCATTATCACACGTTAAAAAAAAATATTTGGAAAAAAAAAAAAAGGTTGAACAAAAGAAACTATGGACCGGAAGGTATCTAATGTTACAGCTCCTATTTCTGATTCTCCGGACGGAGGGACCTATGGAAGAAATTAGCATCGATTGGAGAGATTAAAAAAGAGAGTTGAAAAGAAACAAAAAGGAAAGGGATTTTACCTAACTGCCTTTCCGGCCCTCCAGATCTCCAAGTCACGGATGTCCTGCATCTCTTTTTCGTATCTCTCACGATAATCAGGCTGGGAGTTGTAGTCGAGGGAGCGCTTGGTCTCGCTTCCGTCTTTGACGCTGTCGTACAGCTCATTGAAGAGAGGCTTGAGTGTATCCTTGAACTTGCTGCTCCAGTCGATGGCGCCGCGGCGAGCGGTAGTGGAGCAGGCGGCGTACATCCAATCCATGCCGTTGGCACCGATCAATGGGTACAAGCTCTGGGTGGCCTCCTCGACGGTCTCGTTGAAGGCCTCGCTGGGGCTGTGGCCACGCTCACGGAGGACCTCGTACTGGGCGAGGAACATGCCGTGGATGCCGCCCATCAGGCAGCCACGCTCACCGTAGAGGTCGGAGTAGACCTCCTTCTCGAAGGTGGTCTCGTAGAGGTAACCGCTGCCGACGGCGACACCGAGGGCGACGGCCTTCTCCTTGGCCTTGCCGGTGACGTCCTGGTAGACGGCGACGGAGGAGTTGATGCCACGTCCTTCCTTGAAGAGGGAGCGGACAGTGCGGCCGGAGCCCTTGGGAGCGACGAGGATGACATCGATGTCTTTGGGGACATCAACCTTGGTGAGATCCTTGAAGACGGGGGAGAAGCCGTGGGAGAAGTAGAGGGTCTATTGTCACAGAGTAAAAAAAAAAAAAAGGCAATGTTAGACTGAATCGAACCAATAGTTTGATTGATTGGGGAGTTAGGGGTTATTGTTATTACCTTTCCCTTGGTCAAGAGGGGCTTGATGGCGGGCCAGGTCTCGCTCTGGGCGGCGTCGCTGAGCAAGTTCATGACAATGGTGCCCCTGTTGATGGCCTCGTTGACGTCGAAGAGGTTCTTTCCGGGGACCCAGCCATCCTGGACGGCTTCCTTCCAGGATGCACCATCCTTGCGAACACCGACGATGACGTTGAGGCCGTTGTCACGGAGGTTGAGGCCCTGGCCGTGGCCCTGGGAGCCGTAGCCGATGAGGGCGAGGGTATCATTTTTGAAGTAGTCCTTGGACAAATGTTAGAGATGGTCAAACTGAAAGAAAAAGAAGATTAGGAAACCGGGGAAAAAAGAGACATACCAAGAGCTTCTCTCTGGGCCAATCCTCACGCTCTAATTAGGAAAAGAAAAACAAAATTTAGGTCAGCTATAGATCCAAAAAAAAAAAAGAAAAAAAGAAAAAAAAAAGAAAAGAAAAAGAAAAGAAAAGAGAAAAGAGAAAAGAGAAAGAAAAGACAAAAAAAGAGAGAGAGAGAGGGGGAGGGAGAGGGAGAGGGAGGGCAGCGAGCAGTACCGTAGACGGTTTCCTTTGTGCCAGCAAAGTCGATTGTCTTTATGCCACGGGCCTGCTGGGCGAAGGGGGCAGCAATGGGAGCAGCTTTGGCGGCGAGGGCAGGGCGGGCATTGGTGGCGGAGATGAAGGTACGGCGGGAGGCCTTTGAGGCAGAAGCCGCGAGGTTGCGGGAGAAGGAAGAGCGCAGGGCTCTGGCAGCAGGTCTGGAGGCCATCGTTGACGGGCGGAGGGGAGATTAGAAAAAAGGGGGGTGGAGCAGGGAAGCAATTGACCTGGGAGGACCGGGGGATGTGGGTTGATATATGACCTTTTTTGGGGGGGGAGACCTTTTGTTTTTTTGAGTCAAAAAGAAGAAGAAGAGCAGGACGAGAAGAGGAAGAAGAATTGAGCAGGTTGGCGAAGTTGGCCAGCCCCCAAAAAAATAAGAAAAAGCAAACCAAACCAACTCAAACCAAGTCAAGTCAAGCTCCAACAAACAGCAGCTCTCGATTTTATTTTTTTATTTTTATTTTTTTTTCCGTTTCGTTTTCTCGAATTCTGCCGATGTCGGAACTCTAAATATGCAACTAAAATTTCCCCAACATGACTCAGCAGCAGCTCTTTTTCTCTGTTCCCCCAAATTTTTCCCCTCTTTTTGTTTTCTTTTTCCCCAACAGCCGCCTTTTGGTTCTTTGTTTTTTCCCCAATAGTTATACTCCATATAATATATATATAATATACGATCATCGCAAAGTCCGGTAAAAAAAGATAGATTGGAGGGAGGAATTTTTTATTTTTTTTTTATTTTATAGGTAGCAGAGTAGGGAAGTGCTCCGTTAAACTGCATGGAGCTTTTTTTTATCATGCAATCAATTGTGGAAGACAGCAGGAAAACGGCTGTTCTGGCCCGAGCAATCCCCTGCACAACCCTTGCAAGGATGGCCAGTCTGGGCTGCCAGCGGGAGAGCAGAGTACTCTGTACGGAGTACGGAGCAAGCAAAAAAACAATAAATAAATAAATAAATAATAATAAAAAAAAGAAAAGAAAAGAAAATAATCCCACCACAAGCAGAAAAAAACGAGTTAGTTATAATCAGTGGTCGCTCGCCACATTCACCTTCGACACAAAAATATAAATATATATATACAGAGTATATAACTATACTACTCCGTACTCCGTACTAAAAATAAAAATAAGAATAAAAACAGGATTAAAACCGAATTTAAAAAACAAAGCTCCCCCTTTGCTTGCTGGCCCTGCTGGGGCTTCTCTTCTTGTCTCGCCATCATGCTGCCTCCCGACTTCTTCCAGAATATCCCCCAGATCTCCACCCGCCGCGCCCTGCTCGTCCTCGACCTCCAGAACGACTTCGTCTCCCCCGACGGCGCCCTCTTCGTCCCAAACACCCCGGAGTTCCTCGCCCGCATCCCCGACCTCGCCTCCCACTTTCGCTCCTCCGGGAAGGTCATCTGGGTGCAGACCCTCTTCACCCGTCCCCGCGACATCTTCAGCCCGGCCGCCGGCGGCGACGTCGCCCTCGTCAGCTCCGACAGCTCCAGCGACCCAGAGGCCTTCCTCGCTGAACACCAGCAACACGCCAACCCTTGCTGCCTCCCGGACTCCGCCGGCGCCCAGTTCCCCCCCGCCATCCTCTCCGCCATCGACTCCCGCGCCGACACCGTCCTCGTCAAGTCTGACTACTCCGCCTTCCAGTCCCCCAACGTCCTCCTCTCCTTTCGCTCCCAGTTCATCACCGAGATCTACATCTGCGGCGCCCTGTCCAACGTCTCTGTCTACGCAACCGCCCTCGACGCCGTGAGGAATGGCTTCACCGTCACGCTCGTCGAGGACTGTCTGGGCTTCCGCCGCTTCTCCAAACACAGAGACGCCCGGAGACGCATGACCGAGCTCCTAGGCGTCTACACCGTCAATAGTGCAGAGCTGTTGAGAGAAGGGGAGGGGGAGGGGGAGATGGGACCCCTTCGCCCCGACCTGCCCGCCGAAACGACAACAACAACAACAACAAAAGAGGGCATCGCTCCGTCACAGACTATCGAGGTCGATGACGCTGAGCCCCCCTCTCCCCTGCTATCGAGAGCCCTCCGCCGTCTGCGGACAGATGAAGACGACGACGCTCACATCAACGTGGACCAGAACCAGAACCAGAACCAGAACCAAGACCGGAACCCACCCCGCTCCTACAGTCACACAACCAGGGCGAGGCCCGCCAGACGGCAGAGGACTTCCGCGGTCCCTACCCTCGGCCCCGGTGACACCATTGGCTCGGGAGACTCAAAGGTCATTTACGACCTGCCTCTCCCAGAGAACTCCTTCCGGAAGCTCCGGGACGAGGTGAACTGGCAGAAAATGTACCACATGTCCGGCCAGGTTCCCCGGCTGGTTGCAGTCCAGGGTGCCGTTCAATCTGACGGGTCAATTCCCATCTACCGACACCCTGCAGACGAGTCACCTCCACTGCTTCCCTTCACCGCGACCGTAGACGCGATTCGAGAAATCGTCGAAAAACACCTTGGACACCCGCTGAATCACGTTCTGATCCAGCTCTACCGCAGCGGAGAAGACCGGATTTCTGAGCATTCGGATAAAACCCTCGACATCGTCCGCGGCTCGTCCATCTGCAATGTCAGCCTCGGCGCCCAGAGGGTCATGACTCTGCGAACAAAGGCTTCCGCGACCCCGCGTTCGGAATCTGGAGATGCCGGTCGCCAGTCCCAGCGGGTTCCGCTGCCCCACAACTCTCTCTTCATCCTGGGCGAGACTTCCAACATGAAGTGGCTACATGGAATCCGCCAGGACAAGCGTCCGGAATCCACCAAAGGCCCCGAAGAACTGGCCTTCAATGGAGAACGGATCTCCCTGACCTTCCGGCATATCGGCACCTTCATCAACCCCGAGCTGGATACCATCTGGGGTCAAGGCGCGCGCTCCAAGACTCAAGACAACGCCGGGAAAATCATCCACGGAGAGGCGTCTGAGACAGAGCGACTGATTCATGCCTTTGGGCAGGAGAACCAGCAGACGGTGTTTGACTGGGATGCGCACTACGGCGAAGGGTTCGATGTTGTCAACTTTGTCACAGTCACCAATTCAGCCAAGGTCGTTCTCACCGGCGATGAGGTTTCGAATCTCCAGGTTCTCCTGTGCCTTGTCGAAAATGGAATTCGTTATGATGTATTGCAATCCGCGAGTGACCTCCCGCCTTCAGTCCGAGAGACTCTCGATCCCTCACCTGGCGACGATGTACCGATATACCTCGACTCCGACGACAAAACCTGCATTTCCGGAAGTATCAACATACTAACCCATATTGGCACCCATCGCCGGGCCCAGGATACCCCTGACCCAAGCATACCCATAAACGACTCCGGACCGCAGGACCGCCTGGAGCGTGCAGGCAAACTCCTCGACGCTTGGCGCACTATTGTTAGTCGTCCGCCATCTCCATCTACGGAGGATCTGTTGGTTTCTCTCGAACCCCTCACACCACATCTTGACTTCGTTGCATCTTTCCTTCCGGCGGGCCAGACATATATATCTGCTCCAATCACCTTTGGAATCGACGACTGTGCGTTTTGGCCGGTGCTGCGGAGCATTGCGCTGGACAACAAGGGGAAGATGCTGCTGGATCGATACCCTGCGTTGGTAGGGTACTACTGGAAAGTAGGAAGGCGGGCCTGTGTGAAGAGCGTGTTGGAAGAGATGAAGGCCCGTGTCTGATGGATATTTCTCTATACGCCTTATGAGTTATGATGTCTATGGGTGACGGCCTTTTTTTTTTTTTTTTTTTTTTTTTTTTTCCTTTTTTTTTTAACACATATGAAGGGGTACAAGTGATTTTTTGGGGGGTGTCAAGTGAGGCCAGAAGAGTATGCTATATACGCATGACACGCAGCAGTGCCGCCTTTGCTCTAGGGATGACTTTTTGAATGGCCACGCTTGCTCACCGTACCCATCCACATCTCTTTCTATCTGTAAAGGACATGGAAAGGGAGGGGAGGGACGCGTCTTCACTTCTAAATAATCTCTGAGGGTGCAGCCTTGGAGAAGGTAGGTTTGTTGTCAGGATTTCCCTTTCCAGCCTCGTAGCCTTGCCTTAACTATGAACCAAGAAGCCATTCAGTGAAATAAATCATCCAACAGCAAGTTTTGATATTTTGAACTGAAAAAATAACTCTCTTTCTGCCACCAAAAATGTCCATCACTAACGCTGAAACAACCGCTCTTGATATCACCGGTCGTTGGGCCTGTCAAAGCCAACTAAATTAATATGTATGAAGGGAACAGTAATATGTGTCCTGGCTTGTTCAATATGCAACATCACTTTTTAATTGCCCTCCTTGCACTGTCTCGAGCGCAAACGAAGGTCTGTCCTGTTGCCAACGAATGTGCTGTACATCCATACGTCTCCCCCACGGAACGCACGGGGGCCCCGACATTCGAAGCTACGAATCTACATAGCTAAGAACATGCCCTGAACGAGAGACAGAGCTGAAAGAGACCTCTTATCTCTCTGTCACTCAAACCGGTGACGAGCACGAATGGTTTAATGTGGACAGCTTACAGGGGGTCGTGTTGAGGTACGTCAGCGTGGCTTTCGGCTGGGCACCAGCGTTCTCCCCCGCCAAATAGTTCACGACGACATATGTATGTATATGGATACGGGCAGCCCATGGGAGATCTACGGAACTACAGAGCTGGAAGCTATTTTTGGACAAGCCGGCAGAGGCTTTATTGATGGCACTGACTGATGGACGCATGGAGATGATTCTGAGATGTCCACGACGACGGACGATCAGTGTCTCGGCAGATGGGCAGGAGAGTCGGGTGGTGTCGGTGAAGATGCTTGGGTGCTTGCTGATGGTGCACCCCCCCGGGGGGCGCTATCGATTTGTTGGATATTCCTTGTCAATACGGGTCCAAGGTCAGGAGATTGGGACGATCAAGGTTGAATTTGGGACCGGGGAAGTTGCAGAGTTCAAAGACATTAAGGCACAGAGGAAGAGAAATGTGCGACAAAGAGACGGCACGGTAGGGGGGTTGAGAGATAGATAGAGAGAGAGAGAGAGATACACACACAGACAGGAGAGGGGATCGCTGATGAATGGGGATCCAGACCCTTGGGCGCAACCACGCAAGACCATTGCTCGCGGCGGTGGGACGACACGGCGCAATGCAGGGTTCACGACGAGGGAATCCCATGGATGCGTATGGCTAGGAAAGGGGAGGAAGGGGATGATCAACATTGAGAGACGGACAGGTTGAGGATTGCGGGCAGCGTGTTGTTGTTCTGGAAGTGGACATTTGCAGCTGAGGGGGACGGAGTAGAGCGTTGCCCGCATCTGCCACTGGGGGAAGCTGGCTGCTTGTCGACAGGCGGTTCGAGGCGTTGGGCGGTGGACAATGAAGCGGTGTTTTTGTTTCACAAAGACTGACTGATGGAGCGAACTGGCTAATCAGTGTTGCTGGAATTTCAGCATATGGGGCACAGCCTCTGGCCATTGTTGGGAGAAGTCCAAATGATGACGCTGCCCGCAGTGGCCGTGGGAAGCACACACACACACACACAGAGAGAGAGAGAGAGAGAGAGAGAGAGAGGGTGTGTGTGAAAGGCGAAGCCAGAAGATGCGCTGTTTACTCTACACTGATGATGATCGCGATGATGGAAGCTTTTGATGTGTCTGATTTGGGGAGCGATACAGCGTAATTGGTACTGGCTCGTACCGTACTGACAGGGCTTCGAGGGGTGTGTCTGCGTATTGGCGTTCCTAGCGCATTACAGCTGTCGTGGGTGTGATTTGCGGCTGCGAAACGCAGAAACAGGCAATCGGAAATGAAACGATACGGCGGATACGGTAACGACGGGGATAGGCTGGCCGCATGGGAGGGCGGTTACGGCCGCTGACTGGCTGGAAGGGCTAATTAAACCGTACCGCCAAGACGTAACAATGTAACGGTGATGTATTTCCCGCTGTTCTGCGCTTTTTCTGACTTTCCGCTCTCTCTCTCTCTCTCTCTCGGCGACTCGATCTTCTCTTCTCTCCCTCTTGTTTCTTCTTCTTCCTCTTCTTCTATTTCTTTTTTTCCTGCTTAAGCGCTCATCCTGCCCACCATCACCACCATATTGGATCCATCTTCTTCTCTGGCTTGATCTCTCTCTGTTGTGCCTTTTTTTTCCTTTTTTTTCCCTTTGTTTAACCCATCCCTGCCCAACAGTTGTTCAACCGCTCTCTCCCCCCTTTTCCCCCATCGACCGCCGTCCCGCAGCGATGTCCACCTCCACCCTCTCGAAGTTGATCTTCTGAATGTGAAATCCACCAATTGTCCAACTCTTGACGCTCGTTTGACTGCTTTCTGCTTTTTGCTTTCTGTTATTCACTCCATCTCTCGCCTGGCGCTGTTGACTGGCTCGCTCTCTTTCACTTCCCGCCCGATTCGTCTTCGCTGCTTGATGATATACCCATTCTAACCCTCAATCTCCCCCCTACCGCTCACACCCAAGATGAACCCCAATCATGAATGTAAGTGCGCACGCTTTGGGGCCTCCGTGGTTTATTTTCACTGACACTCTTGGTGTGGTGCTCTAGTCTCACGCGCCATCTCATGGCGCCACCCCTTCCGCCGCTGTGTTGTCGGCTGCCCTGACAAACCTGATCCTTGCCCTAACTGTCCCGCCGGCCAGGAGTGTGTTAGTCGACCTGCCACCTGCGACTCATGTATGGTAAACGTCTGTGTGGAGGCTCTTGATTCAGATCCATCCCCCGCCCCATCCGGACCAAACGTCGGCGCCATAGCCGGTGGTGTCATCGGTGGACTCTCCATCCTCGTCGTGCTTTCGGCCATTGTATGGTACTACCTGAAGAAGCGAAAGGCAGACCAGTACGACGACTGGAGCCCGGAATTCGCTGAGAAGCAGGCCGCCTTTGCAGCTGAACGGCGAGGGCGAATGTCGGCCGTTGGATCCATTGCGTCCACCGTCCTCACCAGAGCCTCGAACGTCATCCAGATCGCCTACATCCCCGGAGTCACCAATCGCTCTCCGCCCGATTCCCCTTCCATGGTCCCTCCCGTGCCCCCCATCCCTGCTGTCCAGGGCAACTACGATCAGCGCTACTTCATGCCTGGTGATATTCGTGACTCTGTGTGGTCGAGTACCTCCGAGGAAACCCGCAGGAGTATCGCTCCCAGCCTGGCACGCAGCAGCGTCGCCACCACCATCTACCGCAACAATGCCATCGTCAGCCCGATTCCCGCTCAACAGGCCCTGCGTGCCAAGGCTGCCATGGTCAGCGTCAAGTCCGGCTCCAGCACACCCGTTCTCTCCTCAAATCCTTCACCCACCACTTCAACGCCCGCTGTACCCGCCATCACCGTCACACAGATCAACAAGGCCAACGCTGTTGCCGCCAAGCTGGAACAGTCAGAAAAGATGCCTATGGGTTCCTCGATTGTGGCACGGACGGCGGTTGCTCGACCAATCAACGTCACGAAACCAAAGGGCAAGAAACCCGCAGAAGATGAAAGCAAAAACTCTCCAGCCACCCCAATCGACGAAGATGCCAGTTCACCCCAGGAAAAGGGACAGCCTGGCCTTGTCGAATTACCGTCAAACGAGAAGGTTGTGCGCCAAGAACGAAGACCCAACGTCCGAGAGTCAGTGCAGTCGACAGCATTCACAGTAATCGACGACTCGCCCACTGAGAGACGTGGTCCCTTTACCGACTCTAGCGCTGTCGCCACACCTTCTGCGACATCCTCCGCCATCCCCGAAGGGATCTCCAACCCCTCACGCCAAAGCATCGATTCTAAGAGCACGTCGACACACCGCCATCGAAGCAGCCAATCCTCCAACCGGATCTTGGATGGTCAAGCCCAAAGATCAAGCGATTCATCCGATCAAACTAAAAGATCGAGTCCATTCTCGGATGATAATGAAATCAAATAGAGTTTTCGACAACGTGACCTCTTCTTCGTCGTTCGTTATCTACCTTTTGCTTTTACCTTGTATATGTGATTCTCCATGACTGCTTGTCGTGGACGAGACTATTATCTCGTAGAGAGAGCATGACGAAACTCAGACATGGATCCGGAACTTTTTCATATGGCGTCGCTTGTGGCATTGGTGTATGGCTTATAATTCTTGTTGGAGGATACATCTCTTTTGTATTATTCGGACTTTTCTGTCCCTATACCTTTTGGTTCAATACACCCAGTACTTGGTGATTCTCGCTAGTATATTTTTCCTTTCTCATACCCAAGGCTGCTTCTATGAGCCGATGCAGACGGTACACCGTGCATGTATTTTCCGTTTTGCACGCTGCTTGAAATAATTTAAATGAAAACGCTTCTGTACCACTTCTTCCAATAGGATGCTCTCACCTTTTCGCTTAGTTGCCTGATGGCCTGCGAAGCGGAGCCTACCTTCTCTCCTTGTCTTTGGCCGGTGTCAGGACACTCATCGATTTATTGGGACAGATATTTGCATGGGCCCTATAGGCGTACATTGCTTGGGTTGACAACCACAGACGTTCAGGACTATCCTCCCGGTCATGCAGACAAGTCCACAGTCAATGCTGCTTCGAATTTCCCCACAGCTCAATCCAAGATCTTGGAAACCTTAAATACGAGGGGACTTTCAGGCATCCATCCAGCAAACTCCCAGTCCAAGAGCGAAGCGAAGGAGCCACATGATTTCGTGTTCCGCCCGTGTCGCAGGATAAGAGGAACTAAACCGGATCCGGTTATATGAGAACGCGGTTGACGTGTCAACGGGCCCAGTTCGCTCTGCTTGACCTTGCGATAAGACCTGTCTTGCAGCAGAGTGGCGAAGAGATTTCCCCCCGATTGGAGGCCATGCTTGAGGAATGAGGAGTAAACTGAGTCATTCTGCAGGCATTTGAAGCTCCGTTGCTGAATTTTCTGGGAGAAATGGCTGGCAAACCTCAGATATGGAGCTCGTTGTGGAGCGGAGGCCTCGTTTTTGGATGCGAGATCAATTGAAACTCAACGGGGATGGTAGGGCCTTGGTGTGCTCAGAAGACCTTGCTGGTGCGTGCAAAGAAAAGTATAAAGTCTCCGTCGTTTCCTCACAGTTTGCTTTCTCTCCTCATTGCATCAAACACTCTTCTCTGCTCTGCTGGTCATTCCACATTCATCCACAGCCTGTTGTCCACCTTATATCACACCACCAAAGACACTAATAAAGAAACCTACCTCAACCATGGCTCCTTGGACTCCCCCGGCCAACGGCTCACCCTGCTGGATCGAGATCCCCGTCACAAACGCCGAACGAGGTATCCCTCTCCTCAGTTTCCTCCCCTACTCCCGTCATCATCCACACTGCTAACTCCCCAGGAAGCGAAAAACTTCTACTCCAGCGTCTTCTCCTGGACCTTCATGGCCGTGCCAGAGAAGACAGAAGCCCAGCTTGCCGCTGAAGAGGGCTCTCCCTGCAATGAGACAGTCGCGATATTCCGATACCCGGACCAGAGCCTCGGGAATCTTGGCGGGGGTCTGAGTCTTGTCTCAGAGGAGGTGATGCAGCGATACAAGCAAGCCGACGGTAGCTCGAATTTTAGTAAGAAGGGCGGAAAGCCTGGTATTACTATGTACTACATGGTGGCGGATTTGGATAAGTCCATGGAGGTATGGTCTTGTGCTTTTCTTGCATCTTTTCTTCTTTGCACCCGTCCAGTGGAGAGGCTAATCAGTTCCACAGGCCATAGTGGCGAACGGCGGGAAGAAGCTGAGCGGCGAGTATCCAGAGGGAGACCATGGAAAGATCATGTACGCAGAAGACTCTGAGGGGAACGTCCTGGGAATCTACAAGTTTGTCGGGGCCGGATGCTAAATCGTTAGCCTCATGAAGACAAGGAGCATCTGACAGGTTAATGGAAGGATGAAATAAAAAGATGAGAAATATAGTATGTCTCTTAAGGACTCGTAGTTTATTAACCTAGTGGAAGTGGATGTTATCGTTATGCAGTAGTATTAAATGAATCACTTTTTTATACAATTATATCTCATAACATCGTTGATATACAGCCCAAACGATCGAGTAGTTAACCGCCCACGAAACACCATTCTAGCCAAAATTAGCCACTATGCTTTTGTATTTATACCTTTTTCTTCCTCCTCGCCTTTGCTGGTGCTTCGATAATGTCTTTCCAGACATCTTCAAAGACAGATTTTTTCTTCCCAATCTGGCCTTCATAGAAATTCATCGCCCTAACCATCTCCATCGCTCCTGTTCCTAATGATACACTTTTTCCCAGTATAATGCACTCCGACACACCCTCGACCAGATCGGTCCTACCCGCACCACCAGCATCAAAGAGATGATCAGCAGTTTTCTCAAAACTTGCCAATTGTAGAACAGAGTCTCGCATTTTAGCCAGTCCGAAACGTGTGATTCCTAAAACTTCACCTTTGTAAGTCATCACATCGGCGAGCAGCTGCATGTGACGCGGATCTATGCCCATGTCCTTCATCACATCGCTGATTTCATCAACAATAGTGGTGCGCGCCGCTTCGATTCCTAAAACGTCCTTGGTTTCCATAATATTATTGGTTCGCGTGCGGGTACCGAAAATACCGTCGGTAGTCATGCAGGCACGGAGACCGTAACCTTCAACAAGTAAGGTGTTAGTGGTGTTGGTTTCGTCCGTACGGATAATCGCACGCGAGCATTGAGGGTGACCAAGAACTTGGATTGTAGGCAGCAGGCGTTTCAGGTGTTTGAGGCGGATATAAGGATCTGAACCGGTGGCGGCTTGTTCGGCTTTGGTGAGTGAGGTTTTGGTCGTGGCTTGGTCTACAAAGATGTGAATGTGCGATCCGAAGGAGCGGAATTTCAAATCATCGGATCTGAAGCGTTTATGCTTCTTGATCGCGTTGAGGATGTCACGAAGTGTAAGTTCTAGCTGGAGAGCTTGGATGGTGGAGAAGTCGATTTTGATGTTGATGTATGCGACCGAACTCGTCCATGCTTCTTCTATGTAGTATATAATGTCTTTGATGAAGGTCTTTTCGACACGGCCTTTGACAATTTGAGCAGCTCTCACGTCTTCCTTATTGACAAGCTCACAAGTGATGATCGGCGTACTGATCTCCTTTGAAGCGTTGATGATTTCCTTGATACGGGGAACACCTTGTGTTATACTCATGCCAGCAACACCCGCAAAATGGAAAGTCTTCAAAGTCATTTGGGTGCCGGGTTCACCAATGGACTGTGCGCCGACAGCACCCACAGCGTGGCCGGGTTCAACCTGGGCCTTCTTATATTTGGTGAGGCACGACGTGATAAAAGTAGTTAACGTCTTTGCGGAGAGCTTCACCGTGTGTGATAACGCCATCTGTCCTTCAAGCGTGTCTGCTTCAGTTCCGGTTACAGAATGAAGCCTATCAGCCTTGGCTTGGATGTAATCTTCAATAGACTGCAAGAAGTCGCGGTTACTTTCGAGTTGATCAATGCCATGATCACTGCGGTCAGTATATTCGAGACTATTGCCGAGTAAATCAAAACGGTCAAGCTTGGCACGTTCAGGAGCAAGCATTTGGCGACAGAGGTCTATAACCTCCGACGGAAGTAAACCTCGATCTTCTTTGCTGTACGTGGTAGTTTCTGCGTGCGTAAACGTCCGGTCAAAGTGGACCGGTTTCGCTTTACCTTCCATGTCAACCGGATCAAGTTTATCATCACCGTATTGAAACTGAACGATGTTCGATGAGGAATTTCTTACGGTGTCATCGTAACGGCTCGACAAATCCTCAAGCGACTTCATGAGTCGACGGGACATGTAACCCGTTTCTGCAGTCTTGACCGCAGTATCAATCAGACCTTCGCGTCCTGAGATTGCGTGAAAGAAGAATTCAGATGGTATTAACCCGGAGAAGAAACTGTTTCGAACGAAGCCCTTTGCAGGTGGCTGACGAGCGTACTTGGGAAAATGCGGCAGGGTTCGATCCTGGAAGCCGTCTTGTACACGTTGCCCTGCAATAATTTGCTGACCCACGAGGGCAATCATTTGCGCAACGTTGATAGTAGAACCCTTCGACCCAGACGTAGCCATGATGAGAGGAGAGTTCCATTTGCTTAATTCCGCGATACACTGTTCACCAGCTTGTTGACGAACTTTACTGAGAATACCAGAGATCTGGCTCTCCATGTTCTGCTGTTCATCACCCCCGGGAGCCTTTTCGAGCTTGCCGGCTTTGAATAACTGAATCAGCGCGTCACACTGCGCATAAGCTTCTTCAACGAGCTGCTTCTTTGCCTGAAGCAGTGAATCGCCCGGATAAACGTCCGTAATACCGATGGAGAACCCAATGTTTGTAAACCACCGAGCGGAGAGTCTTGAGAGTCGATTCATAGCCTCTGCGGCTACTTGCGGTCCAAAGTCACGAAGCATGACATAAAACACTGAATCCTTTTTACCAGATCCGATAGTCGATTTGTCCATGACACCACACATTATTTCGGAATTTCGAATACATAGCCAACCGTCGTTGGGATCAAGATCTCTTGGGGTCCCTTTGGGTGCTCTGAATTCTCTGCATGCAGCGTCTAGGTTGACAAGAACAGGAGACTCTTTACTCGGACGCATCAGCACATTAAACACCTGCTTTCCGGTCCATAACATTTGCGGTTTTAGCACTGCTGGCGGAGGAAGATCGAATTTGGTACCCGGTTGCAGCATGTAGCCACAGGTCTGAGTGAACGATCCCCGATCATAAAAATTATCTTTGCTACTCAGCAAGTATGCAGCGGTGATGAAATCTTGGATGGCGGCGATGATAGGCTCTCCGTTCTTGGGTGTAGCTAAATTGTTCTTAACCCCCATCAGTTCCATTGCCTCAGCTCTGGCCTCCTCCGTCTGGGGAACATGCAAGTTCATTTCATCCCCATCAAAATCGGCATTATAAGGATTGCAAACACACTCGTTCAGACGGAATGTTCTGTGTGGTCGCACTTTGACAAAGTGAGAAAGAATACTGAGTTTGTGGAGTGAGGGTTGTCGATTAAACAGTACGATATCGCCATCCTCCAAATGCCGTTCAACAACATCGCCCTCTTCTAACTGATCTGCCATGAGGTTAAGGTTGCCATACTTCAAGAAGACCTTGAAAGTCGTGCCTCTTTTGGACAGGTAGTTTGCTCCAGGCCAGATCTTCGTCCCGTTCCGAACTCGTTCGCGGAGCTTTTCTTTATTGTATCTTGTCACTCTCTCGGGATATGTCATGTTCATCGCGACAAGCTGCGGTACAGCAACTTCATCAATTCTTAAATTCGGATCGGGAGAAATGACCGTTCTGCCGGAGAAATCAACACGTTTCCCTGAGAGATTGCCTCTAAATCTGCCCTGCTTTCCCTTCAGACGCTGGCAGATGCCTCTGATAGGCTTTCCAAAGTCCGCCTTCTGTAGACCGGGCACATCACTGTTAATATAAACCGCAATTTGAAGCTGCATATAATCCCAGCATTCAATAATAGTTTGTACAGGTGCACCCTTATTTATGGCATTCTTCAGATTGATATTGCTCTGAACGATGTCCCCGAGTTTCGCAGTCAGGTCATCTTCGGTACTTGCACCCTCTTGGCCCACTGACGGACGAATGGACACCGGTGGAGCAGGAATATATTGCCAAAGGAACATTTCCGGCCGCACCTCCTCCGGGTTCAAGCCGAGTAACTCGCAGTCTTCATCCGAGATACGGCGGAATAGTTTCAACACCCGGAGGGGATTAAGATCATCCTGCACCTTTTTAAAGTGTTTCTCGATATCCGTGTTCGAGCGTTTGGCCTCTTCAAAGGACCGGTCGAACACCAGCTTGCTCGGAGGCGGTACCTTTTTGGCAGAAGTAGAAGCGTTGAAAGCACGAAACTTATCATGTGTGATTTTCAGGGCGCTCGTTCCCGCCTTTTTAACGACACCATTGACGGCATGGCAGACATAGCACGTTCGAGTCTTCCGGCACCGGTCATTAATCCGCTTGTTGATTTGCATGCGCCGTAGATTATCGATTCCCTGTCTCCTCATCTCTTTCAGAAATATACGCCTCTCATTTTCAGGCAACAGGATTCGTGAGCAATCCTACGGTTTGAGGAGTGACATTAGCCCCAGCTTCTGCATGTAACAGTTGAGATCAATATCTACCTTGCAAATCTCCTGTAGTATGCCGATGACTCGCTTGAAGTATCCTACGTGGAAAGCCGGTAGAACGAGTCGGACATGACCGAAATGGCCGTTGCACTCCTGCAAAGCGCCTCCGCAGGTCTCACAAGTGCCGGATTTACTCGATATGCCCATGCGCCCATCCAGCGGGCCATGACGAGCAACAGCACGATCATTATCAAGGTCAAAAAGTTTTCTGTCGGAGACTTCGACGAGAGCCTGGCTTACGATATCTTGACTCGCTCTAGAGGATTTTTGGGTGATTGTTAGCTCGTCCCCATCGAGCCGCAGAGCGATGTAAATGGTACTTACAGAACGCCGAATTTGATTTCCTTAATAACTTTGGGAACCCTATCGACGACCTGGGCTTTGCCAGGGTCTATTGGCACACCCTCCACAGCTTGCATCGTGCCGGGATCAAGAGGGGATCATGGTAAGAAGCTGTCGATTGGGGGCCGCTCAACGCTGTTTTAGGTGGTATAACGGGGGTATTGCAACAATGGTTTATTCCTGCAGAAAGATGCCGTTTGCGGTGCAAACGATAACCACCTCTTAGGAGCCGTCGCAACGTCGCTTCTTTGGCGCTTGAATCCAGTCGATGGCGGGGTTGGCAACGAGGATCAGTCCGACTCCTAGGTGTAATACTATGTATATAATACAATAATAGCAACCGGTGAGAGACAAATTCGCTGGAGTAAGGCCTCTGATCTTGAAGCAAGCTAGCAGGACACAGCTCAACGCTCCCCGTGTTGTCTCGCTGTTCGCTGCCCGCCCGCGATGACTCCAAAATTTCTCGCTGCGGGCCGGCTACATCACGTGACCATATCTATCCGTTAGCCTTGGCATCATCCCCGGCTGCGGGCGGGAGCGGGAGGAATTGCGACGGAGAAAACGATGCAAAGACAACACAGAAATTCCCATTAATAGACTCAATCGCTATGAAGTGTAGTTTAACTTGTCCCATACGCCAGTTCCATATACCCAACCCCCCGGGAACTCTCCATCCTTCCGTACTCCAAACCCTACGGACATCATTCGGCAAGCCTGCACGCACGCGCGAGAGATCGTCAGTCAAAAAGCTCATTACAAAGGCTCCGGGATCAGCAGGGAATGCTTCAGTCCATACCTGTAGCTAACCATCGTATCGACACGATGACTGTCTGTGCTGAAGCTTCTCAATTGAACTTTCTCCCCGTTTTTAATCTCCTTGGCATCGCTATCACCCCATTCAAGAGGAACCTCAGAGTCGGCATCTGCATACACAAGAACGTTGAATGTGCAATTGCCGTCGAGCATAGGCAGAAATGTTACGGATGCGGTGATCTGGCGGAAGATCGCCTGGATCTCCTCCTGGATCTGCTTCTCGGACTTCTCCGGTTGTGCAGAAGCGCTCATATCACTGGATTAGGGGGGCAGAGCGTGTCAGCTTGCAGGAGCAACTTCTCCGTTACTGCTAGGGAGAGGTATAGTGATGCACGTACGTCGGAGAAGCATTCTCTTTGTCTGCTTTCTTCTCAGAGGATTTACTCCGAGGGCCTTTGCTGAAGATTTCAACCTATGACGCGATAGTCAGTCGCGCGATTCCCAATTAAAGCCAACGGCTGAGTGTGTGGTACATCAAACTGCCATCGTTCAACATGCTCTCCTGTTTCCTTGTCTGTGATAACGACGACGAGCTTTGATATCTTCCCACCGAGCATCCATTTATTTAGTTGTGACATGATCCGTTTAATATAGGCTTTGACCTGGTCGTCGGCAGACACTACACTGCCGGTCAGCAAGCTAGCAGACAAAGTAGAATCTAGACATACCAAGCATATTAAGCCCATACTTCTTAACTCTGCAAAAAATTTGTTAGCAACCGGATCATTGGTCACATTTGGCTGCTGCTGCTTACGCTGTGAAGTCGTCTGCGGGATATACACCTCGTTGAAACCTTCTCCGAGTTAGCGACGATGGATGTGGCCTGGTCGTCAAGTGACACCTACAGGATGGAATGTATCGAGTATTCAAACTTATCGACGTTAGATACCAGTCTTGGGTTATTGAAGGGCAGAGACTCACGAATTCTGCGACGAGCTTCGCTGAGCCTACCGGAACCCCTCAATCAGCCCAAAACAGATAAACACTCGGGATTTCACCGCTGTAACTAGTACCTTTCAGCGACAACTTGTGCACTTTGCTTTTGTCCTTTTGCGAAGCCATTGTCTCTGTGTGGGGCAGATCCGTTCCGTCCTGCTCCTAGACTCCCTTCCCGGGCTGCAAAACTCGTCTCAAATGGTCCCAGCAATTAGTTTGTTGGTTAACGCATCTCCTCTGGTCGCTGCGGTGATAATCGGCGATAAGGGGCTATCAGTCACGTGCCACTATTGAAAATCTTCAAACGCGGAAAACTGCCCAAACGCCCTGATTCGAGAACCGGAGATCAAGACAGGACGCCGTTGAGCTTCAATGCTGCTACCCCGATGCGAGGATGTCTGCAGTCGGTCAGATGGCTGACCACGGCACTGAGGCGGCCTGCGCCTCAGCTTTCGTGCCTCCCGTTCCAACCGTTCGCAAGCACTTCCCGTCTCTTCAGCAGCTGTGCGAGTAGAGCGGCCACCGCCGCAAGAAAGCCTCCCTCGGAGCTCGAACAACGCATCGCCGCTATTCCTATCGAACGATTTCGCAATTTTTGTATCGTTGCCCATGTCGATCATGGCAAAAGCACGCTCTCTGATCGCCTCCTGGAGTTGACTGGGACCATTGAACCTGGCTCGAATAAACAAGTTTTGGACAAGCTTGATGTGGAGCGTGAGCGCGGGATCACGGTCAAGGCACAGACTTGCACTATGCTCTACAACTACAAAGGCGAGGATTATTTGCTGCATCTCGTCGACACGCCGGGCCACGTGGATTTTCGTGCAGAGGTTTCGCGGAGTTACGCTAGCTGCGGGGGAGCCCTGCTGCTTGTCGACGCCAGCCAGGGCGTTCAGGCTCAAACCGTTGCGAATTTCTACCTTGCCTTTGCGCAGGGTCTAGAGCTAGTACCGGTTATAAATAAGGTCGATCTCCCCTCTGCGGACCCTGATCGGGCACTGGACCAAATGAAAAGTTCATTTGAATTGGACGTAGAGCAAGCCGTACTTGTCTCTGCGAAGACAGGCTTAAATGTCAAGCAGCTTCTTCCGACAATCGTTGAACAGATCCCAGCGTGAGTGACAGCGGCTACAGCCAGAAAAGGAGCATAATCTTATTGACAAGGTGCACAGTCCGGTTGGCGACCATACGAAACCTCTCCGGGTTCTTCTTGTCGACTCGTGGTACGATACATACAAGGGCGTCATCCTTCTCATACGCGTCTTCGATGGCGAGGTAAAGGCAGGCGACCAAGTCGTATCCTTCGCGACCGGTAAAAGGTATATTGTCGGTGAAGTCGGTATCATGTATCCAAATCAAACTCCTCAGACCGTCCTACGCGCAGGGCAAGTGGGTTATGTCTATTTCAATCCCGGCATGAAACAGAGTCAAGAAGCAAAGATCGGAGATACCTACACCAAAGTTGGCTCCGAAAAGCTCGTAGAGCCGCTCCCTGGCTTTGAGGAGCCGAAAGCGATGGTTTTCGTGGCTGCCTATCCAGTGAATTCGGATGATTTCCCCCATCTGGAAGAGAGTATCAATCAATTGCTGTTGAATGACCGAAGCATCACTGTGAAAAAGGAGTCTTCTGAGGCATTGGGTGCAGGCTTCCGTCTCGGTTTTCTTGGGACATTGCATTGCTCCGTATTTCAGGACCGACTACAGCAGGAACACGGCGCTAATATCATCATCACGCCGCCAAGCGTTCCTTGTAAGATCCTCTGGAAAAGTGGGGAGGAAACCGTCATCACCAGCCCCATCGATTTTCCCGACGACGACTCGTCGAGGATGAAAGTCGAAGAATTCCAGGAACCGTATGTTCTTACGACGCTGACCTTCCCACAGGAATATCTCGGGAAAGTCATTGAGCTCTGTGAAGGTAACCGCGGTGAGCAAGTCAGCCTTGAATTTTTCACCGCCACTCAGGTCATTCTCAAATACCAGCTCCCCCTTGCTCAGCTCGTCGACGACTTCTTCGGTAAACTAAAAGGATTGACCAAGGGATATGCAAGCTTGGACTACGAGGAATCCGGCTGGAGGAAGAGCAACATCGTCAAGCTCAAGCTCCTGGTGAACAAGGTACCCGTTGACGCCGTCTCACGGGTCGTCCACACCAGCCAGGTTGCCCGTCTCGGAAGGCAATGGGTGACCAAATTCAAAGAGCACGTTGACCGGCAAATGTTCGAAATTGTCATCCAGGCCGCCGTGGGCAACAAGATCGTGGCAAGGGAAAGTGTCAAACCATTCCGGAAAGACGTCCTAGCAAAACTCCACGCCAGCGATGTCACTCGGCGGAGGAAGCTTTTGGAGAAGCAGAAAGAAGGTAGAAAGAGGCTGCAGGCCGTGGGGAATGTGATCATTGAGCACAAGGCATTTCAGGCTTTCTTGTCAAAGTAATTGCATGTTGTATTTTCAAGCAGTGTATTTCAGATAAATGTATTATTATGATGAATTGTAAGGTAGAGCAATTTGTCAATATTCTTAGCCAACCACTGGGCTCCTTGTTAACAAGTGACTACCTACAAGCGGCACGCACAGAAACTGTGAAGCAACAAATGGGCATGGGATTTGATGACACAATGTGGTACAATACAATAGCAGTGGAGACCAGGACTATCACACTGATTTATGATCATTGAAAAGAAAAAACACCTCCCTACTTGACCATGTGTAGTAGGCAGACATCGGCAGAGGATGAACGGAGAAGATCCGAGGACTTATAAACGCGCAGAGGAGTGAATACATCACAGTTAACATAAACAGAAAAAGACACTCAAACCCAACAACTCCAAGCACATCTCTAGCGTGTCAGGAAGTGAGCAACAGTAAGACATTACACCGCAAAAAGAAATGCCACCAGATCCCGGTAAGATACAACACCATATTAAGCGCAAAGCCTGTCTCTCCTGCTGTTTCGCCACCATAAAACTAAAAGACACGCCCATCCTATCCATCCATGTATATGATTGTATGCAGAACTAGACGCCAAGCAAGAATGAAATGCGGGAGGGGTATCGAAATGCTTCGAACAGATAAAAATGTAGATAGATGCAATGCAAGTTTGGCGGGTATGATGACTTAATCGAGAGGATCATGTCTAAAGGTACAGTCTGAACCTTTCAGGCATTTGCCTTCTTTCCAGTAACGGCAGGGAACTAAACCTGCTTTAGGCTGTAGAACGAGTATGATTAGCACTAATCTAGGTAAATATACGGATGAAAGATGTCCTTACATGTTTTTTAGACTTTCCGGAATCGCCGTTCGCCCTGGAACGCTTATTATATCCGTAGCCATTATCATCTGCATCCTCGGTTTCCGCGGCCTCACGGTAGCGCTTCCGCTCTGGATTTTCGTAAGGAGTTGCAACCTGTTGGCTAAAGTCAAACGACTGGGCCATCTGCTGCTGTTGCTTCTGCTGTCCTTGCTGCGTGCCTGGGTTCAACTGAGCTAAGATGGCAGCCAAATCAGGGCCTTGGGTGGCCTGCACTTGCGGAAAGGTCGGAGCTGGTTGCATTTGTTTCTGAAGCGCCATGACATTTAGCAGCTTCTGCCAATCGAGGCCTTGAGTAGCCACCGGCGCGGCTGGCGGTTGTTGTTGTTGTTGTTGCACGGGGGCTTGGTTCGTCTCGCGAAATTGATTAAAAATTCTTTCGAGGTCAGACATGTTGGATTGCGGTGCGGGCTGCTGTTGCTGGGGTTGAACTGGGGGTAATTGATTGTGTTGTAGGACTTTGAGCAACGAAGAGATATCCATTTGTGCCGAAGGCTGGACCTGTGGAGCTGGAGGAGCTGCTGGAACTGGCGGCGCCGATTGTGGTGCGACGCCAGCACCAGGAGTTCTAGCACCAGTCGCTTTGGCGGCCATGGCAGCCATGGCAGCAAAGTATTTCGCGGATCGCGCCTATAGGTGAAAAATCGTTAAAACTGCCTAAACAATATGTGTGCGGAAACAGCGTACCTTGACCTGATCGCTGGGCTGTCCAAAGTCATCTTCAGGCTCATAGGCTTCTTCGTCCTTTTCAGGGGTTGGTGGTTCTTTGGGAGAGACAGGGACATCCTCAGGAGATGTATAGAATACGCTTAGAGTGTTGACCTCTCTCTGGTCCTGGTCTTCCTTCGCAGGACTCTTCGGTGCCTTTTCGCCGCCAGTCTTGACAAAATTCCTTTCGCGATCGCTGGCCTCAAGGTCGGTAAAATCTATTTCTACGGTGATGTTAGGATTGAAATAAGGAAGCACATGTTTTTGACATACCTGAAGGACAACGGTAAGCCAGCATGTCGTCGTCATCATCATCCTCGTCCAAATCGTCCAGACCGCGATGCATTTTGAGTGTTCGACCTTCTCCAGCAAGGTCACTAACATCGCGCTTGGCACTGTCATCTCGGCCGATTTCCTCTTCTGGATCATGAGTGAACAACCGAACTTCGACTAGACTATCATCAGGCTTCCAAGAGACTCGAAGTTTACGCCTTTCCTCCTTTCTGAGCCTCTTGGCCTTCTCTTCTTCCGTCTCTGGTGGCAACTCCTCGACTGGTTTTGCCGAAGTGATCTCTTTAGGCTTGCTCAAATCAGCCAACGTTTCTGCAAACGAGAAGGCTGGCCTCGGCGGAGGGCGTGGTGTTTCTTGTTCAGTTCTGCTTCCATTAATAAAGATATTCAAAACTGGGGATATCTGGGGACAAGAAGGGAACTTACTTTGCTTTTTCTTTAGCAGCAGCGGCGGCAGCGGCAGCACGGGCGGCATTAGACGTTCCCGGTTTCTTCGAGGCGGACATTAAACTGCTGAAGAGGCTCGGAGTCGGTTTAGGGGTAACGATGTTTGCCTTGGGTTTGATAGGCTGGGTTGCATTTTGTGACGCCGGTTTATTGTCACTACCAGAGGCAATGCCACGCTGTGTGGTGGTTGCACTGGCTGCCAAAGGCCTTGAAACTGTCTTTGCATTTGGTGGTGAGACTACTCGTTTTGGTGCTGGGCCATTGCTACCTTCAGGCTCTCGAGCTCGTTTCTTGGCATTGGGCTGGCCAGGGTTTCGATTTAGGGCGTGAGGATAAGGGACCTCGGATAATTCTTTCTTAACCTGTGTTGTATTTTCTTTTGTAGCAGCCTTGGCCGACTCGGATTTATTCTTTGTCGCCAGAGCTGCATTCTCGAGGACGGCTTGTGCGAGCTTCTTAATGGTCTCGCCGCCCTTTTTGACAAACCGGGAGAGAATCTTATCGTTTTTGGTCTTTTCAAGCATAGCTTGATCCATTGTTATGAATTTGGTCATCAACTACGAACATGTTAGTTACTACTTGAGAGTGTGTGGACGGAGTATCTGTAGGTACCTTGAGTATATTGACCGTTAATGCACCATCGCTATCGGCAGCGGTGTGACGGTCCAAAAGAAAAGAATAAAATGCGGAGACGATAATTGGATGTTCACCGAATCTATATATTAAACAATAAGTATTTAGGTCTTACCATATCCGACAAGATAACAAGCGAAAAGGGGGACTAATAAAAGCGCAAACAAAATTCAAAGGCTAAGGCTGTTTCTTGGGTTTATGGAGTTCCATGGTGTAGCCGAGATAACCTCAGGCAGCAAAATCCACTCAACGCTATCCCCATCCCACTCAATGGTATCGAGGGGAATTGAGGGAAATCCGTAATATTAAATTATTTGTAGCAACATGTAGTTGTATCAGTATTTCGTGAGCAATGGCCATATGTGCTCATTCAATACACCGCATGCAGCTTCTCCAAGGACTTATGCCCTTGTTAGAAATGGCAGCGTTCGTTTCTTAGATTGAGATGACATGCTGGAAGTCCAGACATTGACACGGCTACATAATAACCTTTCTCCATTTTGTTTCAAGCTTCTATCGACAAACTGACGAAGCAGCCAGCCATGAAGGAGGAGAAAAAAGTATCGAACAAGTACGTACCTTTGAACATAAGAAGGGTGGCCGTTGACAAGAGTGGTGTTGATGATGATATCCAGCAATCGTCGCTGCATGATGACCTCTCTTTTGATTGCCGGGATCTTATCCTCTTGATTTTGATTTTCTGCAGCTTTGAGAGCCTCACTCCGAGACTTCCAAACGTCGCGTACACCTTTTACTAGGTCTGAGAATAAAACCATCGCGTTTCGTATAGCGGGAGCTGATGGCTGTCGGTTCCTCGGAAACCAGACAATTTTCATTGCGTCATATTTGACGCCACCATCGAGGTCGGTAGGTCGCGATAGAGGAAGAGGCGACTGCTCCGGCGGTCCTTCCGTCTCAGAATCTGATGAGGTGTCGCTGTCGGAGATGCGATCGCCATCCTGCTTTACTATTTTGACCTGATCCTTTTTTGCGGGGGCCTTCGCCTTGGCCACAGGTTCTTTTTTCTTACGTGGTTGAATTGGCTTGGGAATCGCCGGGATTCCTTAATAGAAGTTGTGGTTAACAGGAGATACTTAACTACCAATTGCTAGGCACGGGGAGGCTTACCATTTTTAATCAGCTGCGGTTGGATGAGGTTTGCTTGTTGGGATGAGAGGACAGTGGATTTGGCCACGCTGCCGTTCCGAACCTGGACATTTCTGCCTTTGGGGTCAAAACTGATCATCCAGATTTGGGAGGGATTAGGAGGCAAGACAAACCTCGTAGTATTAGTGCGTTCAAGATCTGCCGGGTTGACAACGAAGACATTTCTCTGGCCCTGGTCAGGCTGAAGCATGGAATGTCGGGTAGCTGTAAGAAACTGAGGATCAATGGTACTGTGATAGCTAGGGGTCGGATATGTGGAGGCGAACGCAACCGGTCGCGGCTAAATCAGGGTTAGCTCACCTATCTTCAAGCCAAAAAAAAAAAAAAAAAAAAAAAAAAAGGGAAAAAAAAAGTAGAAATAAAAATAAAAAAAAATATATATATAGCAGGGGATTTTACCTGGATATTCGGTTGTAGAGGTGGAGGAGCGGCATAAGGGGCGGGGTGGCTTTCAAGAGAATTGTCTGGGACACTTTGTAGAGTCGCCCTTTGCAGATCCACCTGAGATTGTGCAAACGATGTGTTATGGGCCGGGAGAGAGTTCTGGTAATAGGGAGCTGGTTCGAAGGAGTACGTTGGATATGCCGGGTTGGGTTGTGGTGGATTATCGTAGGACGGAGGGGGGGATTGCTGAGGTGGCTGCTGATAGGTCATTCGAAAGTGGCTCTGAAGTTCGAAGTTCTGCTGTGGCTCGGTAACCACGCCCTGCTGGATCGGAGGTTGGTGCCATGCGTGCTGAGGATGAGCATACAGGTCGGGCGTCTGCGACTGAGGGTGTGGGTGCGGGTGGGAATGCGGATGTGGATGCGAGTCATGTTGCTGGAAAACGGGGTGATCCCACCCGATGCCAAAAGGCTGGTCGTGGGGCTGATTGGACGGGTATATGGAGTTCACGCTATTCCAGTAGTCGGTTGAGAACGAGGGTGCTGGCGGTTCGACCGGCGGTTGAGGGTTTGAGTCGGTCGCGGCGTCCATCGCGTCGTTTTGCGGACGATTCTGCCGGGCGGAGAGCGTCGTGGTCACGTGCTCGAGACTACACGGATAAAAGATTTGCCGAATAATGATAGGCTAGTCGGATCGGGACTAGCGGTTGGGAGCTGCGGGCGAATCCGCGCCGAGCATGTGATCGCCGTGCTTGGCTGGCTGCCTGAAACCGGGCTGGGCGGGCGAGAACGACGCTGCGCCTTAAAAAGCAAAAACAGGGGCAAAAATGAAGGGAGCACCGCAGAGAAGAGCCAGACGGGCGAACCCTGGTCGGTGCGTGGGGTTAGGGGGTGGACGTCGTGTCTCTAAGCAGGCTGCAGCCACAATTCCAGACCAGGAACTTGATGTCTGTCTCCCTCTCTCTGTGTGCCTCTCTTGACAAAACCGCCACCACGCACAGTTGTTGCAGTATTGGAGGGCTTAATCAAGGGGAAATAATGTAATAAAACAAAAAGAGGAACACCAAGGCCTTCGTAGAGGTTTAATCCATTTGCTAAGAAGAGAAATTTTGGAATGGTCAGGCGTGGGTCACCGTGAATGGGTGGCGATGGTCGATTCAGGCTGGCGATTTGCTTTGTACCCACCACACCGACTTTTTCCTTATTTCCAGGCCGCGCGCTTGGTTCCCTGTTTGTCGAGAGCTCGCTCTTCAACGGTGGCCGCTGGTTTGCTTAATTAGGGGATTTTGCGCTTCAGATTTCAAAATAGTACCTGAACAAGGCACAGTAATACAAGGCTCTCTCCCTCCCCCTCTCTCTTTTTTTTAAAAAAAAGAAAGGAAAAGAAAAAAGAAAAAAGAAAGAAAAAAAAAAAAAAACAAACGGTCTCTCAGTAAGCTGTCAAACGCTGTTAATCCAGTCGCTATGAAGCAGACCGGCGTACACCCAGGGACGAAGCCCAGCTTCCCGTTTCTCCTTCTCTATGGAGATGCTCCGACTTAACTTCTCCGATGTTATTAATCCTCCATCAGACTACCGACTTCGACGCCGAACTTTTCGGAGTTGTTTCTGCACGCGCGAGGCAAGGTGTTCTTACAGAGCGCCAAGGGGAAGGAAATTCAAGCTCAGACGTGCGACATTGCTAGCGTTTGCCTTACCGTGTAATTGGGGAGCAGGAAAAGAAGAGAACGCAGGGCACAGGCCCGGCTGATGATATAAGGACGCAGACAGGCGTTATGAGAAGAAGTACGTGTGAGAGAGCGAGGATGAAGATGAGAATGATGATGGGGAGAAGTGAGGAGTTGAGGTCGAAAACGGGCCGTCGCAGGTTTGCAGGCGTCTTTTTATCGCCCTGGATGACTAATGGCGCAGCTGGTCACGTGGAAGCCGAGATGAGGTACATAATGATTACGTCAGCGACCGCTGGCCGCGCAGCGCTGGCAGAAGAGTGGCATCTCGCTGGCAGGTCGCGGAGTCCGCGAGATGGTATCGACGCGGACGGTGCCTTGTTCGAATGATGAATTGGGTCGTCTAGTTTGAATTGTTCACTGCATCCTCCCAGCTGAGCATACCGAACGCATAACTCTTTATACTTTCCCAACCACCGTATGCTCCGTGTCGTCATCAATCCAATCCTATAACGATGGCCGCCAGCCCGTTCTCCCTGCGGCAGCGACAGATTGGTAAGTCTTGCTCTGGTCCAGGAGCTGCTGCTTGCCCTCAAGTTGATTTTGATGTCCCCGAGCTCCGCTAACTCAGTGATAGCCGCAATTGAGAGAATTTTAAACCTGAACCACGACCCTCCCGAGACCACGGAATTTGGCAACGAGCCGCCTGCAGCCAACAGAGCTATAACTCACACTGCCCCTCTCCTGAACGAGGATGGCGATCCGATATGGAAGGTTCTGGTATTTGACAACCTGGGCAGAGATGTTATCAGTAGCGTATTACGTGTGAACGACCTTCGCGGTTGGGGAGTCACCATCCATCTGTCTGTCTCGACCGTGCTAGAGACAACCCCGGTTCGATCACGTACTAACCGCTTCTCAATAGTAACGTCAATTCCCGCCGCTATCCCATTCCCGATGTTCCGGTGCTTTACCTTGTCGAACCTACGGCCGACAACGTCCAAATGATCACAAATGACCTTTCCAAGGGACTATACGCCCCCGCATATATTAACTTCCTTTCGTCTGTTCCACGGCCTCTCCTCGAGGATTTCGCCGCCCAGATCGCCACGACAGGGACGTCAGAGAAGGTGGCACAGATATACGACCAGTATTTAAATTTTATTGTCGCAGAGCCAGAGCTCTTTAGCTTGGGGATGGGCAAAGATACGTACTGGAAAATTAACAGTGCACAAACACGAGACGAGGACTTGGATGCATTGATAGACAGAATCGTTAGCGGCCTGTTTAGCGTCAGCGTTACTATGGGTGAGCATTGCGATATCGCAGACTGGACAGTCTTTGGTTGCTAAACGGCGAAATAGGCGCCATTCCTATTATCAGATGTCCAAAAGGCGGCGCGGCAGAGCTGATTGCTACGAAACTCGATCGCAAGCTTCGAGACCATATCCTTAACTCTAAAGATAACCTTTTCACCAGCGGCAGCCAGAGAGGTCTAAGTGTGCCGTCCGCCAGACCAGTTCTCATTATAGTGGATCGTAATGTCGACCTGGTTCCCATGCTGTCACATTCCTGGACATATCAATCCCTGGTTCACGACGTTTTAACGATGCATCTGAATCGCATAACCATGGAGGCTCCGACTGATGATTCGAATCCGACTAAGGGTGCAACGAAGCGCTCGTACGACCTCACAGCTAGCGACTTCTTTTGGTCCCGCAATGCTGGAGCCCCTTTCCCACAAGTTGCTGAAGATATCGACGCAGAACTTACGAGGTACAAAGAGGATGCCAACGACATCACCAAGAAAACAGGAGCTTCTTCCATTGAGGATCTTCAGAACGACACTTCGTCCTCAGCGCAGCACCTGAAAGCCGCAATCACTCTCCTACCTGAACTTCGCGAACGCAAGGCTGTTCTTGATATGCATATGAATATTGCGACTGCATTGCTAAAAGGTATAAAAGACCGCCAGCTAGATAATTTTTTCCAAATGGAGGAAAACATCGGTAAACAAACCAAGCAGCAAATGCTCGAAATCCTTGCCGACCCCAACCGTGGAGACGATCCAACCGATAAACTCCGCCTCTTCTTAATATGGTTCCTCAGCATAGAATCCGATCTTTCGCGCGCTGAATTAACCCGATTTGAGGAAGCTCTCGTCCAAGCCGGATGCAAAGACGTTAGCTCCATCGCATACGTCAAACGTGTTCGCGAAATTACGCGTATGACAATGATGACCACTTCTGCCGCCACTCCTCAGCCTCCTTCCTCCGACCTCTTCCGCGGCTTCTCATCTCTTTCCAACCGCCTAACAGACCGTATCGCATCAGGTGCACTCGGTGCAAACTTTGATTCCCTAATATCGGGAGTTAAGAACTTCCTTCCTGTAAACAAAGACCTCACCCTAACCAAAATCACCGAATCCATAATGGACCCGGCGTCTGCATCGAGCTCCGCTATAGCGAAGACTGAAAATTACCTTTACTTTGACCCTCGCAGCGCCAACGCCCGCGGCGCTATGCCTCCATCGGCATCGTTACGCAACACTTCACAGGTCGGAATACCCGGGTCTTTAGGAGCACCCGGCCCCGGAACAAGTGCCACATTTGGCCAGCGACGACAAGCGTTCAGCGAGGCAATTGTATTCACAGTGGGTGGTGGAAGTATGGAGGAATATGGGAACCTCCAAGATTGGGTTAAGCGGACTGGTGGCGGAACAGGTGCAGGCCAGACGTCTACTGGCGGTGGTGCCAGCGCTGTTGTCAGTGGAGTTCCCCAGCGGAGGGTTGTATATGGTAGTACAGAGCTTTTGAATGCTGGTGATTTCTTGAGGGAGGCCTTAGAACCCTTAGGGAGGGAGAGTTAATTTTTCAGGACGTGTGAGCAGTTATTGCATCTTGCATACACTCTTCGTCACGTCTGTCGGCGCCTGTTGACATCATATATATGTAATTACATGGGTGGGAGTTCAGCATGTTTGGTTTTCCCATCTGATGCACCGTTTCGGGTATCAGCTTTGGTGAGCGAGGCAGCAAGGCAAAAATGATCAGATAGTTCCTGGCTCAGAGGACATCATACAAGCAGTTGACCATAGAAACAAAACAATATGGAGATGATAGTTTGGATATGCGTGCGACCTCTGCACAAAGAATCCCCAAAAAATGGGAAGAAAGCAATACCAGACGAAAGTCTTCACCCACTCTAAATGGTGTATCCTCCTTTGCAGCTCTACCACCCAAAAAAAAAAAAAAAGGAAAGAAAGGAGGAGGAAGAAGAAGAAGAGAAATCAAAAATGAGGAGAGAAAGAGAAAGAGAACAAGACATCATGGGATTCCTAATTCATGTATCATCCGTTCAACAATATTCTTGGTAAAATCTCTGGCAAACTGAGTATCCCAACTAAGCTAAGCACCACCAACTTCTCAGCTCCTGGTGCCAAGTCCCCGAGAGGAAGCAGCCGGATCATGCCTTTCGCCCGGGCCAGTAAAGCGGGAGCCAAACTGGGATCTAGAAGTTCCACCGTTGGCAGAACCGGAGGGGCTGGGCTGGCAGAGCTGACAAGGGTGTATGTGGTATCCATACCCCTTGCAGGAAGTGCATGGCTCACTTCTGACTCTAGTACCAACAAAGGAGGAAAATAATTGTAATTAATTGACGTTTTTGTAGGACTCATAAGGAGGAATAACCTACCGGGGAGGATTCCCGGCACAAGCACGGCATGTTACGACAGTCGTGCCGTTAATACAGCTCTTCATGTGTGCTTCCAGCAAAAACGGCGATGTAGAGCTGCTTTGCGACATTTTCAACTCGCAAAAGTGTGTGTTATATGTGGCAATAGAGGATTCAAGACGCGAAAGGGGCAAAGTCTGTTACCAGGTCAAAGGTTGCAGCGGACCTTCCAGCTCGAGATAGCTAGGAAAGGAGAGATGGTATAAATACCAGGAGGTTCTAATTCGAAGGCAAAACTTGTGGTTTTCTCGAGGCCTAAAATTGAGAAAATGGGGGGAGCTGACAGGACATTTTATACTTCTCCAGGCCATAATGTAAAGGAGTGCCCCCAACCGAATAGTTAGGACGAAATAAGGGAAATGAGCCAAGGGTGACAGAAATTGATAGTAAGGCAACATTTCAACATCCACGATGGCAAAAGGCCGTGTGACTTCTGGTCCAAGGTAGACCATAAGATGCGACGCTGGACGGGTATATCCCGCTGTGGAAGCGCTATAAGGCCGAAAAGTATAGTGATGAACGGGTCTTCCGGAGATCCCGTCCAATCATGACCTGCAACATCTCATCCCACTTTTCTACCTCATACTCATGCCGGTTACGCGATTCCAAAAAGCAAAAGAGTCCAGCGGAGCCTTTAGCCCAGTAATGTCGGTATTGGAAAGGCAGAATATTGCTTGGAAGGGAGGACCCGAGGTCGGACCATAGCAATATCAAATCCGCTTGATATACGAGCTGATAGACCAACATTGACCATATTCACACGGGTTGTGATAGCACCAGTCAGCCATTGGCATTCATGGCAGAGTGAGGGATACGACGGCACGTGGCATAGAAAATGACGTATGGACGTCAGAAAGCTGACGTGAATATTCCTTTCTTGGTGCTCAAGCGGGAGGATGAGAACGAACATAAGATGCGAACTGACATCCGGACAGACTGGAACCGAAGAAAGGCCAATTCGAGTGCTGTGCAACCCGGAAAACACGGAGGCACATCTGGCATCGGCACCCAAGCCTAAATCGATTCCACCCGAGCGGGACCCAGTCAGCAGCGGAGAGGCTGTTATTCGGTGGTACAGGCAGCCCTGGTCAGTGTTCACCGCCAGAAGCGCTGGGGGTTATTCCCCTTTTGTATGACACAGTCAAATACCGCAATTATCATGCCACAGCTCGGCATAATTTTGTGGCGGTATCCGAGGCAGTTTAAAAAAAAAGAAAAAAAATGCAAAAGTAGCAAGGCCATTGATATCATTGCACGCCGCCATTTACCTCAGGGCCCTTGGAGATGAAGCAGGTCAGATACCCATCGGGAATGACGACAGTCCAAGGAACATTCCAACGGAGTCTTCAGGCTGGTTGGGTATCGAAATCTGTTGTATTCTCGAGGCCAGCAAAGGGCCTGGAGAGAGAAAATCATTGCAAAAAAAGGAACGATAAGAGCCCGTCAATTGGAACCGCTGCCAAGTAGCTCATATGACCATATTTTAAAGCACCTGCTCTCAGGGTGCCGCTTTTCCCTGGCTGGGATGTTGTCAGTCTTTTGACTAAGTGAGAAGGGAATAAAGACAAATGTCCAAGACGAGGTCAATAACAAAAAGACGGAATTGCCCGCTGCTCGTCAGAATTGGCATTGTGTACCCCCGAAGGTCATTAAAGAGACTGGGTGGCCGTTTAACGACGGATTAATATGGAAGAAGCGTCTGAGGCGAGGCTGAGGTGATGCATGCATACATATACGGCTATACAGACCCAAAGACCAACCGGCGCACGGGAACAGGCGATGGGAACAGGCGATGTATTCGCAGGTCGATTCAAACGCCGTTCAACCAAACCTCATGGTGACGGGAAGCCTTCCAATGGCCGGACTCACCGTGATTGGCTTTGAAACATCAAATTCCAACTTTTTCTGAGCCGAAAAGGCCAACAGGAGTGGCTCATCATAGAATGTTTCATGCAGTTATCCGAAATTGTAGTGTATGCACGCTCAAATACACATACATACTCCATACATATGTAGATGGGCAACCAGCTCGTATCATGTAATACGGTGACGTTAGGAGCCAAAAAAGCAGTGAGAGTGATCATATTATCTTCAGCAGAAGTCACACTCACGGTGTTTGAAGGGTAGAAATGGTTGTAGAGATATTGTCTGCCTAAGGCAAGCAAGGATCATCAACATGTAGTTAACTACATAGTTTTCCTGCTTCCAAATCCTCTCTTTTGCACCTCCTGGCACCTCCTGAGGTCTGTCAGTGACATGGCGTGGGATTCAGGTGCGGATTGTCCTGGTGAAGATGTCGCGGTTCGACGCTCTTTTCAGCATCTTCTCCATCGCAATCCCGAGGCAGACTAATTACATAGTCAGTTCGTTACCCAAAACCACGAGAAATATGTTGTTCAACTCACCCCATTCAGTGCAGTGCACCCAGGTCCCATCCCCAAAGTCTCAATTCCGTCCTACTCCCTCGGAAGATCACCCAAGGCAATAGACACAGAAAATGAGCCTTCCGGGTAGCTATCCATAGCCCAGGGTGTGTTGAATGATCATCTACGCCCGGTGTCTGTTTCCGCTAAAAATGTGTTTCGAAAACTAGCAACTTTATATCGATAGGGCCCAAATGGGACCTCACTACTTATCACCGTCCGTGGTGAGCTCTGTGTTTCCCATCATTACTTCTCGTCGGGTTCGAAGAAAACCGGTTCCTCCATTCGTGAACAAAGAATACACATTGATCGACACCTAAGCCCTCCGCCTGTCACAAGTCCGAGAGCCAAGGTATATCACTCGAATGCCAGTCGGTGCCCACGCGTCATTATGCTGTCTCTAAACAAAGTCCGGTGCCACGAGGGCGACACCTGACATAGCGAAGGGCAAATCCCGAGGAGCTATTTTTGCCAGATTGGCCTGGATCCATCGGAAAGCGACGAGTCTCCCAAACAAGAGGTATGTGACTATATCCTCTTGTTGATCGCCTGGAAGGGCACTTGAGCGGGTCTGTGCAGTGTGCCTGATAGGGGCCGGTGTCACCCATGAATCCGACGTCAGTCAATGCCCGAAAATAAACACATACTTCCACGCCAAACCGTTGACTGTTCATTATTCCACCACTTTGCGGTACTTTCTCCTGGAGGGGCATTTTGGTCGTATCCATGAGGATCCGTCACCGGAGCCATATCAGATCACACTGTGTACTTTGCAATGCCCGTCCCGAACCGCGGACTGCGCGTCGATAAGGACTCCGTACGCTACCCTGCCATCAGGACCAATACTCCATCGTCCGCGACCCCTGTGCATTACCTCCTTTTGGCTTCCTCTCTCTCTCTCTCTTTCTCTCTTTCTTTCCCCCCTTTTTATTTTTTTTTCTTTCCTTCTATCCCCCATCTCCCAAATTTCGTGTGACGATTGCCAATATACGGGAATATCTCTCGATCCCGATCTTAATTCCGATGGTTAGAAGAATATAAGGCATCCGCGTAATTCTCCGTTGCGGTTTTCGTGGGCTGCGTTCCCTTTTTCGGTACCGATCCTCGCTGCAATTTTCAAGCAGCTTTCCCTATTTTTCCCCTGCGCAGTTTATTTCGGTGCTCCCTCTCAAAGAAAATTTCCACTGATCTGCGAAACTGCGGGAGAGCCATGCAATCATCAACTTTCTCCGAAGGACCCTAGGATCAGTGCCTGATTTCAGCTCGTTGCTCTCTCTCTCCTTCGTCAGCCACACGACCCCTCTCTCGTTCCGTGCTCCGACGGACTCCTCATCTTCTCCCATTATATTGTGCTTCTACGGGGTGCATTCATCTGCACCCAAGAGCCTTGAATTGTGTGAGTTCCATAAATGTTGGTAACCAGAGAGCTGGGGGATAGTTGTACACCTTCAGAGCTGACAGAATTTATTAATGTGTATTTGTTATGGAGTACTCCATAGAATGTTGAACTAAATTGGTAAAAAAGACATGAATAAAAGTCAAAGGAACACCCGCCAAGATCACTAACGCCCCTCACCATCCCTCTGGAAATATGAAACTGGCGTCCGCGCCATGAGTGGAGGGAATCGAACGTAAGATGAAGAAATTAAAATTTTTTACTGAGGGATAAATTAGTAGAACCATGCAGGTACTCTGTGATAAGATAGGTGACATGAAGAATACCCATAGCAAGATTCAACTGCCCAAAAGGAGCAATTAGGTTTTTTAGCTGAAAAAGTCGGGAGGCAAAGACGCCAGGGCCACAATGGCTCCCACTCCCCCAACAAACACGCCGACCGCCGCGGTCGCCGCGTATCGAGCAATACTCTTCATCCGCGCAGGTCGTTCATTGTCAACTTTTGTTCGTTTGCTCGGCTGATGAGTGTCAACAGGGGCAGGATCAACTTGTTCCTTTCTTGCTTCCGTAGAACCCGCTTCATTACGTGGGGAGTCAAACTCTGTTTTTTTGGGAGCAGTGTCTCGTGGTTGTTGATAGGGCAGCGCTTCACCGTGAGAGAATGAATCGGTGCCTTGCTTGATCGATATGTCTGCTTCCTCAAATTTCCTTTTTAGGATCTTTCCTGTCGCTGCCCGAGCGGTTTGGCCCGGAATATTCTCTGCTTTAGTGTTGGAGTGGCTGGATTCCGCAGTATTTCCGGTGTCGAAATGATTCGCGTCTTCTTTACACTGACACGATGTTCCCCATGGCGGGTTATCGTAGTCGGCGCCCGGAGGATCTAAAAGCGCTGAAGGCCTGCCGAGATCGAATTCGAATTGGGGAAGGAGGGGGGCTGCTTTAGACGAGTAAGGCCCTTGCCAAAAATCCATGTAGTCGGGCCGGGGCTCTCTGCGAATAGCATATGTCTCCGCCGGCATTTCCCCTGGAGTACTGCCTGCAAACGGACCCTCGGTATAAGAGGGTTTCGGCAAGTCAAGGGGTCGCGATGCAGAGGGCCAAGAAGCCCAGCCGTTTAAGCCTGAGTCCACGGTTCTGAGAAGCGACGTGTGGCTGGAGTCTGTGAACGCTCGCTTTTCCGACCTTCCGCGAGTGTCTTTCTTTGTGGGTACTTGCAGAGACGGATAGGATGTGGTACTCTCCTGGTGGGATGGCTCTCTGGGGAATGCTCTTGGCCATTGTGGCAATTGACTCATGCTCGGGGACGGACACAGCGGTTCATTCTCCTCTGTTGACTGAGGCATCGGCTGCGCATGATTGGGCACAACAACAACTGACTCATCGCGTTGCATTGACTCGGGGGTAGAGGGGAGGACAGCTTCACCAAGGCGCGCAATGACGGTCGCATTTTGGGTTACAACACGGTCATCTGCATCTGGAATCTGAGGGTTACCGATAACCTCGAGTTCATCAGCTTCGTCCCCAAATTCATCCTCGGAATAGATAGACTCGACGCTGGAATCCTCTAACACGTCGGACAAGAGGTCTTCAGCAATGACGGTGTAACCATCCTTTGGCGCATCCTCTGCCGGACCAGTGTTGTTCTTGCTGACCGGGATGGCAACTTCGATGTCGTTCTCTTGGACAAATAGGCCAGAGGCGTCTGATCTTGCATATATATCTGATGAGGGTAGATTTTCCTTGGGGCATTTTTCGGCACTATGATCGATAGGGGACGTTAGTGGAGAGTCATCCTCGTCCTCATCATCACCGTCGTCATCTCCCTCCTCTTTTGAGGATAAAGGAGGCGAATGCACATTTGACACAGCATCTGGGCCGGGAGCTATTTGATGCTCGGGTTCCGGATCGCATCCTAGGTCTCTTTCAACGTCAATCTTGCCATCTTCTGGGTCGTAGTCGTCATCGGGCACAACAAATGTGTTTGTCGGTCGAGGAACAGATTTCTTCGCTATTGCTCTTTGATAATACCCGAGTTAGTAGAGCTCTGCGGGGCATAGTTTCATTGAAAGAAGAAAAATAAAATAAAATAAAAATAAAATAAAATAAAAATAAAATAAAATTCTCACTCATCACTGTCTCCTTTCGCCCAAGAGAGCCCGAGGCGTACTCGGAGGGGTTCAAATGCCTCTGGATGGCGTTTGACGTTAGACCCAAGGAGAATTCAACCTCTGATTATCTATGGACGTACCTGTGCCTCGAGTAACTCTGGCTCCAAAAGTTATAATGTCACCATCCTCCAGTAGAGCTCTTTTGCCACTCGAAAGTTTGTGATCATTCACCCATGTTCCATGCATTGACTTGGTGTCTATCAGGTACGCTTCCTGAAAACATAGAAAGAAGAAGAGTATCAGCTACAGCCATCGAGAGATGGGTTGGGAGACGGTAAGGGTACGGTACCTCCCGCCTTGCGATGATAGTGAACTCTGCATGGTTGCGAGAGAGCACGGGGTTGTCGAACCATAGGTTGTTGGCGTAAGGAACGAGGTTCTTCGCTTGAACTTTTGAAGAACGGCCAAGGACAATCCGATGGGTGTTAGAGTCCAAAGAGACGACTCGATCGGAGATTGGGTTGTGGCCACCCAGGCAGTGAACGGTCAGGGTTACTGCCGACGAAGTTGCATCAGCACATCAACACATTGTAAAGTATCCCAAGAAGTCAAAAACTGGAGCATCAACAGAGCGGCGAAGCCTGCATACATTGATTGCTCCCCATGGCTCGCTCTGCAGAAGATCTAGACGGCAAAAATCGGCAAGCAGCTACCGCGAGGCGAGGATGCGGGGTCGGTGGACTGAGAGTAGATGGGGAGGGGGAACTATTAAAATGAAGGCAGATCGATGACCAGTTAGCTGGGGAGTGGAGTGTTAAAAACGAGATGATGAAGGGGGAAAAGAGCTGAGCGTACTGATAACCCCGCTAGCAACCGGAGAGACCTCCACGTGTACGTGTGTACTTGATTCGAGGAGGGTCCGGGGCAGCGTTTGTGGACGGAGAGTGGTAATAGAGCAAGTTGATAGTGTGGAGAGCAGCAGGTCGTTCAATCTCTGACGATGGAGAGAAGAGGGAGAGAAGAAGAAGAAGAAGAAAAAAAAAAGGGAGAGAGAGAGAGAGAGAAAAGAGAGAAGATGGGAGAAGGGAGATGAGAGTCTGTGCTGATGGGACGTCGTTTGGGCGAGGTGGAGGTGGGGTACAAGGCCAGTACAAGTTAAACACCCAAAGCAGAGTTTACCCAGCCAGCTACGGCTGCCTAAAGCAGTGGTTATCTAATGGCTCGCTGCTCGACCGACTGCCTAACGTTATATGCCGTGCTCTCCTGTACATAGCTACATAACTAGGTAATCAAAGCGGCTGAGCAGACAGCGCAAGGGCGCGGGCATCGTGCTGCTCCCCCCAGGCAGCTTTTCTCCTTTCCTCCCCAAGTTTACATCATTGTGTCCACGCACTTGGCGGAGCTTGCCGGCTCAGGCTGGCAGAATAGGCTTGCTTCAGGATGACAGGCGGAAACAGAGACGAACGATGGACAGATCCAGCTTCAGGATCCATGGTGCCGTGGAGCATCTCACTCTCGCACCCATGTCTGACGGTTCACTCGTCTCCGGCGTGTGTGTGTAGTACGGCGGGCGTAGACACATCGTCGAGACCGGCCCGGCCTCAAGAGCTTTTCTATGGTCCGCACAAGTCCACCGGTAGAAATCTGAAAAGTTACCCAGACCGGGGTCTTCAACTCTTTTCGAATTTTCTCAAAAAAACGTTCTCTCCCCGTCGTTTCACCCCCTTTTTCTCCCCCAAGCTGGGTGGTGATTCACAATGACATCAGCCAGCGGCTTATCAGCTCGAAGCTGAAACCTTATCGTACCCCACGCGCTAGACCTAACTAGACCAAGTGGACCCACTGGCTACTCTCAAATGGCTTAGCGTCATTTGGGGCGGCATCGGACAATGAATTCCTCCGGGCACCTTCGAGGCAAACCTTCCACTTCCTTTGAAAGTCCAAGGGCTGGCCCAACAGGAGTCAGAGAACCGCCCCATGCTTCCCGAGCCCATCCATCCCCGAGCCTGTCTCTCCGCTTGCGGCCGACGAACTCAATCCTCACATGCCATGACCACACCTTCCACCTTCCCCCTTCCGCATTCCCCCTCTGCACCGTGCACAACCACGCATTCTCCGTTAGAGCGGTGGTTGTGTTCGCGCCCCGTCCCTTTAAGAGACTTGCAACCTGTCTAGGTGGTTCCAGGATGGATGGGCAGGATGATCCACTCCTCAGCAGAGGCCACTGTTAAATCGACGTTTTATCTTTTCATATGTTATTCCGGAAAAGATAACTAATCCCTAGAATTTTTCGAACCCTGAGTTCCAAAAGTGTCAAGGACTTGAAGCACAGGGCGCATTAAGCTAAACATGACGAAACCCAAAGAGATCACCAGACGCCTTGTTAAGAGGGTCGCCAACAGTACCCAATAGCTGATACCGCTGAATTTGACTAAACACGTCACTCATTGATACTGCCGTACGGCTGAGCGTCGCTGGAGGAGTAGCTGGGATCCGGCTCGCACATGTAGTCCTCAATGCTCCGTGCATCTGAAATAGTATTACTACCTTCCAACATGGCCGGTCGGCGAGGCTAATGTGGATAGACGGGGATCTGCCCTTGATTTGGAGCAGGACACATATATCACTGTTGACACAGGAGGCTCCAACTCGCATGTGCGGAGTCACTTTGAAATAGAATTGTCAAATGGAAATTCAACATACAGGGGGTTCACCGTAAACCAGACATCACGATGATCTGATCAACATATATGAGATGGACACAAAGGACTATATCTTGGTGGACTCTTCTGGCATGTTATTCTCTCCTGATCAAATCTTTCTGGGTTGAAGACATTGTAGCATCTGTGACGTGAGTTTTTGAATATATCTGGATCCATGCTTGGTACCTGTGTATTCATTACTGTGCTAATCAAGACCAGTACCAAAAATTCTCTTTAATTCCGATTAATCCAGAGTCAAGAGCCAGACCATAACGCCTCCATTCAACATAGAAAAAGTTATATACCTGGATATACCTAATGTACATGCGGACGTGAAGTAACTGAACCTATGGTCTTTTCAGAGTGCCGCAATGATCAAGTATACCAATGTAAACCCCAGCTTTCAATGAAGCCAACAGTCCACCAGGTATCCTGTTGACAATGCATACACCGTCTTATGTAGCAATTCATAGGCTTGCTCGCTCGGCGGCCAGTTCCTTTTTGAATCGCATATTGTTAACAACAGATCGTATTAAATCGATTGAGAACTAAAATTTGCTCACCAAGGCCACGAGCCAACCCCACTCCAAACTTCCAGGGCCTGATCAACTGCCAGCCTCACCCCGACGAACAAGAAGTCCGCAATGGGCCCCCGGATCCCGTGGAAACTCATCATGGCACGAGCCACACCCGCCACGGCGCCCTGGGTGTAACTCATCAAGACATTGAGCGAGAACATCTGGCTGTCGGGACGCGGGGTGAGTTTGAGGAGGCTTTCGAGAGCGCGGCCGGGAACAAGGGAACTAGGGCGGCCGGTGAAGTACTGCTCCACCTTTTCGCCAACGGTCATGCTGGTGGATCAGACGTTGTTAGCAGCGCAATTGATAAAGTAGTAGTTAATGTGAGTTCAGGGGATATATAAAGGGAACCCATACGCGGCAACGCCCAGGAGCCCGGCTCCAATGCCGTACATGCACATTCCCATGCAGGTGACATTCGGCTCTGGCTCACGCCGGCTGGTTGGACGCCGAGAGGTCGACATGTTTAGGAGTATTTGGGGAGCTGAATCTGTAATGCTAGCAGTCAATCGAACAGAGTAAACCTATCAAGATGCTGCAACAGCCGTTCAATGTGTCGCTGCGAGACAGAACTGAGTATCGAGCAGCAATTGGTACACGCTCTGTAAAGTATGAGCTCTCCATCTGTTCGGTCGTGGCGACGAATGACGTCAAGCTTTCCCTGCGGATATCCTATCGAGCGGGGTGTTAGTTAATTGTGGGAGACCCGGCAGGAGACCTGAAAAATCAAGATTTCTGACACGGGCTTATTTTGATGTCTGTTGACCAGTGCCGAGGGCGATACATGGAAGACAAGGTGTTGATGTTTGCTGTGTTTGGTCTTGGGGGATTTTCCTTGACTTATGATGAGGTTATTTCTCACGATAACATTTGCAGCATTGCCGCACCTATGGACATTGGTTGGCCTACCAATTAAGGCAATGCAACCGACTTCATGCTGCAGTTCTGGAGTCAATGCCCGCTCCAGATTTCAAGAAGAATGCTGCCCCTTCCGCGGCGATACGAATGTGCATATTTGGTACTCCCCAAGGTAGACCGTATAGATGACTGGTGTAGGTGTTCGGTATTTACCCGGCAGGGAACGCGTCCACTCTAACCCTTAAAGCCACGGAGAGAAGAGTCGTTCGATTAAAATTCATTTTATACACGGGCAGTCCTTAAATATTCCTTCCCACCACAATCCGAGCCGTATCCCCCTGTTTAGTTTGTTCTTTTGGAACAAGAACGCCCCGGCAAGGGAAAAAAAAATGGATCTTTTAAGAAATTGAAAGAACAGCAAAAGGAAAAGAATGTAGCAAGGTAAAGTACAGCAATTCATAATACAAAATCTGAACAAGAGAAGTTGCGGGGAACATATCGTTGGGGCAACATTGCATGTACATCTGTGGGTACATACAGATAGATCACTAGGCAATATCATAAGGCCCACGCCCATGTCACAAGCAGATCGGAACAATAAAAGAAGCTCAGGATCAGAGGCAACAAGAAGCCAGGATAAAACAAAACATGGTTTATTAAAGTACAAAGTAGCGCGAGGCACCTCCGATCTGCTGAGAGTCTTGAATCTTGATATCACTGTATTCACACCATGGGCTTAGAAGACGCCGCCGAGACCCGGAGCACCGCCCATCTGGGCCAATCGGGCTGCCAGCTTGGGATATCGTTCCTGGACGTCGAGTTGCGCGCGGGTGGCTTCAGCGTAGGAGATGGCATTGACCACTTCTGCTTCGGTACGTGCTAATTCGGCTGCTCGCTCGAAATATTTAAGTGCCTGGGAGACTTTGCCTTGCTGGAGGAGCAGCTGGGCCAGAGTGGCAACAGCGATGTCGCATTCGGGATCAACTGGAATCAATTGTCAGCATCATATGTAAAATGGGTTAAATGATGTGTGGTGGAGTGTGCATACTGATCAATGCCTTCTGGCAGAGGTTTTCAGCTTCTTGAAAGTCATGCTTCCACTGGAAAAGAGCGAGGGCCTTATTGATGAGAGGAAGCACATTGATACCCCAAGGCTTGTGGCTCTTCTCTAGCTCAACTGCTCGATCGAACTTTTCGATGGCCTCCGAAAACTTCTGCTGATCGAGGAGCAATTCTCCGTAGTAGTTATAAACATCCGCAACGTCTTCAAAGTTCTTAAGGGTTCGTCGGAATGTTGCCATAGCAGAAGCGACAGAGCCCATCTTATACTGTGCCACACCAAGCTGAATATGTGAGTAGATAAAGTCCCGGTCCAAATCTATTGACTTTTGATAGTCCTTGGCGGCTTCGGCGAGTTCACCAAGGATGAAATGTAACTGGGCACGATGGTAGTAGATATCAGGGTCATCCTTGTTCTGTTGCAGGGCCAGGTCAAAGTTGTCCGCGGCGGCTTCCCGGTTGCCCATCTCCAGATGTAAACTGGCACGTTTGATGTAGCTCTGGACCAACGACGGGTCGAGTTCGATACTCTTGTTCAGGTCTTTCATAGCACTGTCAGCGTCACCGGCTAGGTACGTAAAAGTTGCACGCATGTTTAGCGCGAGAGCTTCAAAGTCCTCCAATGCACCCAATTCTAGGGCCTTCTCAAAAGCACGAGCAGCCTCTTCATAACCATCGCTGGTATGTTTGGCAATGCCCTGGAAGCCGTTTCGTAGCTGGCCCTTGCCGCTCTCTTCATCCAGCTCTGCCTCTTCACTCAAGCCTTCTGGAGTTGCCTTGGGTCGGAAGCTCTGGAGGTAGTTGGAAACAAAGGTAGCACTTGGAAGCTTTTTGCCTTTACCCTCCATGATAACTCGGGCCTTCTGTTCAGCAAGCTTTTTGAGCAATCTTTCAACGGCTTGTTTGCTTGACTCCTTGGCAAAACCGTCGATGATACAGCTAGCAGTGTAATCCAAGAGCGCATCTCCATACTTCTCAAGCTTCTCGTAGGCGTTTGCTCTTCTATTCATTGCTTTGACATATTCATCGTCCATCGCAATTGCCGCCGTCGTATCCTCCACTACTTTGTCCCATTCACTCAGCGCGTTATAGCAAGCAGCGCGGTTAGAATAGTAGACGGGGTCGGGCTTGCACAAAATAGCCTTTCCATAGAGTTCGATCGCTTTGTTGTAGTCTTTTGACCCGAAAGCTTTATTGCCTGCAGCCTTTAATTTCCCAGCGTAGAGGGCCAGGGTCTAGGAGTAGCTTGAATTAGAACAGCACTTCAGTGTAGTCCTTTACCCATACATACCTCTGCATCCAAGGCTTGAACGGTTGTCTCATCGACTTCTGGAAGCTCCTCCGATTCTTCTGTTGGTTTCGCCTCTACAAATCTCAAGTCAGTTCAATCAAGAAGTGGTACGATCATCTAAGAATTTGACAGAGCATACGCGATTCAGAAAGCTTTGCTGTCTCGGCCTTTTTCTCCTCCTCGGCCTTCTTCTTCTCTCGCCTCCGTTCCTTCTTGCTCTTCCGCTTTTCTGTGGGCTGGATAGCGGCCTGCACTCGTCCGGAGTCGGACAAATAATACACAACTCCAGCGCTCGTTACAACGACGGCAACACCGGCAATCGTATAGACGAGGGCTTTGTGTTCAGATGCCCACTTGGAGACGCGATCCCAAAGCGAAGAGGAAGATGATGAGACGGGTGTGGTGACGATGGTAGTTTCCGCGGCTGGAACCGGGACGACTGTGGGCTGGGAAGGCTTAGCGGAAGACATGATGTGAGCCTTAGAGATGAAATCCGGATTGGGAGGAGCTCAATTGGAAGCCAGAGGGCGGCCGTGGGTTGCGATGAGGGTGCCAATGAAGGATGGATAGAAGGAAGGTAAGACAAAAACAAAAAGAGGATTGTGAATTAACTCCAGCAACGGATCAGAATTATATAACGCATAAAGGGTAACGCAAACACGCCAATTGGGGGCCTCTTTGAAAGCAAGGGGAGATGACAGAAGCACGGAAACCACTCCTTGGTCTTGAAGGATATGAGGGATAGTTGATATGTTAACACAGAGCTTCTTGTTCCTTGAGAATTCCCGGAACAACGAAAAAATTGCTGCGATGCTGCGCGTGATTATGTAACCCACCTACGTAGTTGGTTCACCACGCTCGCGACTCCAATTTGCCGACCACAAAACGTCTTGCCACTCAGTTAAACAACACAGAGCTGTGTTGTTATCTTGTCTTTTCAAGGCATAGGTTTGGAGATGTCCTTTCTGTGGAATTTTCAGTGGGAGCTTAAATAAGTCATCCTTTGCGTTAAAGAAAACGCTGAATAAGTAGCCATCGAATACCGAAACAAAAGCCCAAAGACATACCACCAACAGCGACTCAGGGCCTCGCAGAGCAAGCAGAAAAGTTTCTGTCATCTCAGGTCAGCCATGCCAAGCCAGAATTCAGCATGTGGGATTTAGACCGGGCAGGGTCCAATCCAAGCCTAGTGCTCTTTGCAGAACAAATACATCTAACGAACGGTCTTGTGGGCAAGAAAAGCAGCATACAAGATTTCCGGAGTGGGCGCATGCTAAACTGAAGTCAAACAGGCCTTCTCCGTACTAACTTGGGTGGTAGATTAACTAGGAAGCGGTAAGAAAGGCGATGCACCAAATCCTCAATTCGATTCGCGATAATTAATAATTGTGGCAGTTAATACAAGATTCCGTCCAGAGTACTTTGCCTAGAGCCTCTGTTCGAAGTTTCTGTTTTCGATATGGCGGATAATGACCCTCCAGTCGGCTTTCACCTTATCTCTACCCTTTGCTATGACCCTGCTCTCGCAACTCTGCGCTCGTCCAACAATTCTGCCTACTACCTGCTCCCTTACCACTATGACCGCTTACTATCCGCTGCAACCGACTTTCAGTGGACAAAAGCAGTGTCCCGCCTGCGAGAGTGCGGGCACGGGGGCCTCTTGAAGCTCTTCGACCAGAAGATCCCTTCGCAATCGCAGCGGTGGCGGATGCGGATCCTGCTTGACCAGGAAGGTGATATTAAAGCCGAATTCACACCACTGACAGCACCTCTGCCAGGCGCTCTCTTTCTGCCCACCCTCGATGGACCATCTCATCCATTCTCGTCCGCACCTTCATATCAGTCCTGGGTTCTCAGGCTAGACTCACAGCCCACACAACCCTCCCTTTTCACACGACACAAGACTACCCAGCGTGAATTGTACGACGCCGCACGGAAGCGGGCAGGAATCAAGTCGCCCCAGCAGACAGTTGAGGTACTACTATACAGTCCATCGGGAGAAGTGATGGAAGGGAGTATTACGACTCCGTACTTCAGGCGGAGCCGGATCCACTCTGGCCGCCATGGGCACGGACAGGAACTGGAAGAGGTGTGGGTTACGCCGCCGTTGAGCAGTGGAGGAAACGCGGGTACAACGCGTCGGTATGCTTTGGAAGAAGGACTATGTGTTGAAGAAGTTGTTGGGGTCGATGATCTGGTCGATGGCGAAGAGGTTTGGTTAAGCAATGGCGTGCGGGGCTTCATCAGAGCCGTTCTCGAGCTTGGATGATCCAGCTACACATACGGAGTACACAGTGCTTACATATATTTAACCATGGAGGACTATGGATACATACATACATCTGCATTGGAGCACACACGTGTATAAATCAAGGCCCCTTTCTTGTATGCTTTCACCTTATAGATACAGCTGGCCAAGGTATTGAACATGTGGAAATTGTACGCAGCACGGACTACTGTACATATACATGCTTCCTCTCGACCGTCGCTTCGACCAACAACTGCATGCAACGCCCAGCCTAGCCCAGCCGAGCCCCCCGTGGCGGGTGGGGCCCCGGGGTGGCTTCTTTCCCGAAACAGACTAGCGGGCCGCGATCTCATCCAACCAGGACATCCAAAGTCGTCAGCGAGGCTTCAAAACTTGTTATTCAGCGGCCGGAGTTACTTTTCATCCGCCCACGCTGCGGTCTAGTCCAGATTTGGCCTAGTCCCTACACCGATTCTGGAAGCTCAATTGGACAGCCAAAAAGCAAGAAAAAAGTGAGCCAGCAGGGAATACACCGACAAGCACGCACCAACTCGCACTCCTCGCCCCCAATTGATCAACTGCCATCCTGTCCATCGTTCGCCTGCTCGACCCTCCGCCTCGTCGAACAATCTCTTTCTCTCTTTCCCTCTGTGGGGAGAATGTTGATGGCTTGAAACGATGAAGTTCTTCGAGAACACTTTCAATTACGACTACAGCTTCCCCGCCGTCTCCCTCGCCTTCTTCCTTCGCTACCCCAATCCCTACTCTCGTCATGTTCTCACCTCCGATGTCATTGACCGCTATGTCGACCCCGAGACCCAGCGGCTGCACACCACTCGACTGCACCTGAAGCGGTCGAAGATCCCCTCGGCGATGCTCAAGTTGCTGCCCAAGGGCATTGGCGGCGCCGAAAATTCTGGACAGAGCTTTATCCTGGAGACCAGCGTTGTGGATGTGAAGGAGGGTTGGATGAAAACTGAATCTCGAAACATGGAGTGGACCGGCATCTTGAGCGTGGTGGAGAAACAGGTCTATCGGCGTTGTCTTCGATCGGATGATTCTAGCCCTGGCACGCCAGCGTTTTCGTCGGCTCTCAGCATCGACGACAGACGGGACGAGTGGACTACCGTCAAAACGACGGTCACTTTCCGATCTCGACTCGGCCAATCGATGCTCAACCGCTCCACCAAGGCCGATTCAGCGTCTGACTCCGACGAGGACTCTCACAAGAAAGGGTTTCTTGCCGCATGGTCCACGGCCGGCCTCCAGCGAACCATCGAGCTTATCGGTGTGAAGCGAACCCGAGATGCGGTTCACAAAAGCAAGCAGGGTATGAACATTGTGCTGGAGAGGCTACGCCATGGTGGAATCGTAGCTGTTCTCGAAGGCATGCGCCAGGATCGCGAGGCCGCCACTCTTGGCCATCACCATGAAGGTCCATGGAAGCGAGTTTGGCTTCACGGCACTAGCGGTGGCGACCTCAACGAAAAGCATTCTTTCCCGCACGTTGAGGTCGATCATGCCGAGGACGACGGGTGAACGAATGCGGGGCCTTCCGAGAGGCATGCGAACCGCTTCTTAACTGATCACGTCTTTTTTTGATGTAGCGCGGCGTTTTTGGGTTTTGGGGTTTGGCGACGGAAACTCTCCTATTTCGTTGAAATCTTTCTTCATTCTACATCTCCTTTCTTCCACTGTCTTATATATTTCTGCTTTTTCTGGGGTTAACTACCTGTTCCCCTATTCTACTTTTCAGCTACTAAGCACAGAGCTTCTCGTTGCAGGCGGCATTGTCGGAAATGGATGATTGGGCAATTCGCATGGACAAAACATAGCGGCATGTATGGGAAAATGGCAGAATACCTACCATACGTATGTACAGTAAATGCTGTTTGATATGTGATATGGCATGGATTAAAAAATAATTAAAATATTGAAAGTCTTGAGGATATCAGTGAGCTTTTAGAAAAGAGAAGCAAACCACAGAGTATTGGGACGTGCAGTTTGATTGCCTTTCTTCCTTAAAAAGCCTTGCTTCATGTGACTGAGTGGAAGCAGCCCTCTATCTATTCTGCTCCATCGCTTCAATTTCCCAGGGCATAAGGAGACAGATCCTTATTGATGCTACAGCAATTAGAGTGAGTTTGCCGCAATAAGGTCTGCTGAACATGTCATTCTGCACCAATGAAGCTGGCTGCTGGCATTGTGTAACTTAATGGCATCTCAGGGTTACATACCCATAATTTGGGCGAGAGCTTTCCTGTCTAAGTTCCTTCACGTCGGTGCTGTTCAATCATAAATTAGTTGAGAGCTTTTGTAGCTCTAGTTAAGATGATTGCACAGAACGTCAGTCAGTATAATTAACTTACGTTGGTTGTGGCAGTTTTGGTTTGAGAGAGAAACTCTGGTTGTTGGGCGGTGGAGAAAAAGCATGTTGGTTCCAACAAAACAAACGCCAGTGGAAATCGCCGTCAGGAGAATCACGTTCTTGAACTCTCCCATTCCCCTAAGACCAAATGCACAGCAGATTGCTGGCAGCATCTACAATCATCTAAAACTCAGACAAGCTGGTATGTGAGTGCATCTCTTTGCTTCAGAGTTCCCCAAGAGCAAAATGAAAATTGTGGGGTTTTTTCAAATCTCCGCCATTGCGCCATCCCACTTTTGACCCGTTACGGAGCTCACCACCCTGCAACTCCACCTCCAAACGATTGGCCAAGGGCAAAAAAAGAGGCATTTATTGATGACTTTTGGATAGCTGCACACCATACATCCTCCATCAATGGGCATCAGGTCATCCTTCTTGAGAAAGCGATTACAGCAACTCTGAATCGGCGCTGCCAACCCCGCTAGCCTACGGCTGTCATGGCTGCGGCCTTCGACGATGAAGACCTCTCCATATCTCTCCCGTCCTTTGACCGAGACGGGAAAGATGATCGAACTCCCCATAGCCGTCCCTCCATGCCACCACCCTCGAGACCCTTCACGGTCCCTCCTGAACAGTCACCTGCGACGGCCCGAGACATGCAGCGCTTGGAGCAGTACAAGACCGTGCGGATACTCGGCGAGGGGTCCTTTGGAAAAGTTAAATTGGCGATTCACCAAGCGACCGGCAGGGAGGTAGCCTTGAAGATAATTTCAAGGCGGAAACTCTTATCAAGAGATATGGTCGGACGAGTAGAACGCGAGATTCAGTACCTGCAGCTCCTTAGACACCCGCACATTATTAAATTGTATGCTTCGCTGCGTGCTTGGAAAAAAAACAAAAAAAGGTTTTGGGGATCCATTTACTGACTGTTCGATTTGCAGATACACCGTCATCACTACGAAGACCGACATAGTCATGGTACTGGAGTACGCCGAACGGGAGTTATTTGATTACCTTGTAAGTCGCGGGAAATGCAACGATGACGAAGCACGTACATTCTTCCAGCAGATCATTTGCGCAGTGGAGTATTGCCACCGTCATAAGATCGTGCATCGAGACCTCAAACCGGAGAATCTGCTGATGGATAGAGAGAAAAATGTCAAGATTGCTGATTTCGGATTGAGCAATATCATGACGGATGGGAATTTCCTAAGGACCAGCTGTGGCAGTCCTAATTATGCAGCGCCCGAAGTTATCTCCGGCAAACTCTATGCGGGCCCTGAGGTCGACGTCTGGAGCTGTGGTGTGATCTTATACGTGCTTCTGGTAGGAAAGCTTCCCTTTGACGATGAATACATCCCCAACCTATTCCGGAAGATTTCTGCCGGCAATTTTTACATGCCATCATACATTTCCACCGGTGCCGCCAATTTGATCAGGCGGATGCTGCAGGTTCATCCTGTTCACCGGATCACTATTCCGGAAATTCGCCGGGACTCTTGGTTCAAGAAGGACCTTCCACAATATCTACAGCATCCTGCAGAGGAGTTTGTCGCAACTGGAGCTGATCCGAATAAGGCCATTGACCTCCGTTCGATTGCACCTGGGAAGCCAGCTGCGGTTCGAGAGCGGATACGGGAAAATGCGGTATCAAAATTAGAGAGGAGAATGGGGTATGGTAAAGAGGATATTCAAGAAGCCTTACGAAAACCTGAACCTAGTGCTATCAAGGATGCGTTCTTTATCGTGGTGGAGAATGAGATGATGCAGACAAACTGTGAGTTTGATGTTTTCTATATTTCAGCCTCTCGCATGTTACATGGCGGGCGTAACTTGAATTGGCGTTGAGACCATGGAACTGACAAGCTTAGCCCCAACGGAGCTGGATGGCTGCCCTTCATCCCCTCAGCCTAGAGAAGGCCAAGATGCCTCCTCCCAAGGCCCTGGCACCGCGGCCAGACCTGGATTTTCCACTCCTCGCGACACACCTATTACGCCCCTTACGCCCTACCGCGTCACCCCGATTAACACCCCGGAATCTCGTGTGAGCCATGTGAGAATTCTCCCCACCAGTCTTCCATACGTTCACGACCAAATCATGGATCAACGAACCAAGGATATGACTGCTCGTGCTGCTAGTCCGCCACAGGATTATTCTCAGCACATTGAGGTAGCCGACCTTTCAGGGACTCCTAGAGAGCGCTCGCCCGAAGAACAAGCTGCAACTGCTAGGGCGCTCAAGCCCCACTCACGAAGCGTGGTCGACCTGGAAAAACTTCAGTATGAACCTCCTGAGATGTTAACACAGGTCCCCAGTCAACCCAAGCGCTCTCGCAAATGGCAATTCGGTATTAGATCGCGCAATTTGCCGTATGAGGCGATGCTATGTCTCTATAAAGCGATCCAGGCTGAAGGGGGTGTCTGGGAAATACAACCAGCAGAGCCAGGTAAGTTCATTTTGCATGTTTCACTTTCATGGGTTTCCATGTTCCTCGCTTATCTGATGCTATAGACAATCATGACGACGACCGAGTTCCGGAGATGACTTCTGAAATCCCTGGGCCGTTGCAGCGTAAATATCGGGACGTCCCATCCGAATATTATATTCCAAAAGATTTGTGGTTCATTCGTGCTCGTCTTTTGAAGCAAGGCGTGTTGGCTCCTGGCCCCGCAAGCAGTGCCCACAGCAGCAGGAGTGATTTAGAAGAATTGCGCCGGCGCGTAAGCCTCAAGGGTGGAGTGCTACATCAGGAGGACAGATCTGTTTCCGGGAGTGCGGGGTTTGGAGCTGGGTTGTCAGCAGCTTCTTCTTTATCATCCCATTCGGCGACCTTGAGTTACGGCGTTTGGGTGTTTATTGATATTCAGCTCTACCAACTTGAACGGGACAATTACATGGTCGACTTCAAGTGTGACGGCTATCAAAATGTCGTGCGCATTGAGGGTGATGGCAGTGCAACTGAATGGCGGCCCATCAGCAAGCGGTTCCGGAATAAAGAAAAGGAAATTACGAGTCCATATCCATTCTTAGATGTTGCATCGGATTTGGTGGCGCAATTAGCGGCAGCGACTTAGATCGTCCCCTTTTTGCAACTTTCTGTTTCCTCATCCAGCTGGCCTTTCTTTTTGGGGTGGGGTACGGCGTCGCTCAGCCAGAAAAAGGTTTGCTTTTTGAGTGTCTGTTTTTGTTGGTACAATGGCATTATGATGAATGAGCATCATGATACTGATGACTGTTGGGCCTCGTGGACTAACATGCTTTAAATTGGGATATAAGGGCATTCGTCTTTGTTTTACATTCAACGTCATTCTTGGCTACCTGTATAACACAACGGAGTATATGTTGGTTTCTTCAAACTGTCCCGAGCCGTCAAACCTAATAATGGTCGTCATTTCCACGGCCATATATCGGTGCGAGGACACCATCAAATTAGGGTTACGGGCAATCAATAAGCTGCGTGTTAAGATTTTTCCCACATGGCTTTTCCTCCACTTGACAAGGAGCCTCCAACGGTCCAAAGCATCTCGTGCATTGGTTTTTCACTAGATATTCCACTTCGGGGACCTTGTTGCAACTCGACAAATCAGGGTTATGACAACCACTGGTCCTCTTCTATATGCTTCTAAAGGACAAATCTACTCCGTACGCTCTGATGAATAAAGCCACGTGGAAAAGTTTAACAGAGGTCGCCGAAAAAGTTTAGTGAGTCGGCCAGCATTTTTGGATTGTGAGCAATGACGTATGGGAGCCAGGTTGCCCATATCGTCATGACTGGTCCGCGAGGTCCGGAGTTCGCGCGGACCGGGATAAAAGCTCTGCACTCTCCTATTCCCTGATTTCTGGTACAGCTCGTCCGACGAGTTCTTTTTACAAGTTGATGCAATTCCATTGTCGGAATTTGAACGATTCGCTTTATCTCAGTGCATTTCGGATACTGCGTACAAAAACCGATCACTCTAATTCTAGGACGATTTCATCACAGTCGATACTGTACTTGGCTATAGTGAGCTACTCGCTATTAATACCGCCAACATGGTCCCAATGAAGCCATTGAATTTGTTCCTCAGGGCGTTGCAGGTATGCACTTATCCAAATTGACCGTGATTACATTCGTCGTAGCTATGTATGGGTGTTTTGCTGATGTACGTGATTCTATTTGATCTAGGTTGCATTCGCAACCATTGTGATGGGCCTGATCGGTGATATGTTGAATGACTACGATGACCACAGTCAGTCGACAGTGAACTATGTTATGTTCTCAGTAGCTTTCTCATTGGCAACGCTATTCTATCTCATAGCTGCTAATGCCAGTGAGATGTTCATGATTCACCCAGTCATTTTGTTCCTTGTGGACTTGTTGAACACACTTTTCATCTTCTGCGCTGCTGTGGCGCTGCCATCGAAATTGCATGTGCCAGATTGCAGTAATGATGTATGTTCATGATTACCTTGGGGAAAAAGAAAAAAGGCGAGGAGTTTTGAAAAATACTGACGCCTTTCATTCCAGGATGAGCTCCGTGACAACTCTATCACGAAGAAGTCACGATCCCTGTCGAAGACTTGCCGCGAGGCCAAGGCATCAACTGCTTTCCTTTGGTTCTTGTGGTTTACCTTCCTCCTCACCACGATCTTCTCAGGAATGACTATGACTGGGGGATGGATGGGTATTAGACGCCGGGCGCATCGACGATCATCCCGAGTTGCGCCGCAGCCAACCATGTCTCAAGTCTGAACGAAAGTATTGCGGGCTATGGGTATATGGTTGGCAGTGACTGGCATGCTCGATCACTACCTTCTAGAACCAGTTGACTGCTTTAGAAGAGGGGAGATAACGCATAAGATGGAGTTGGGGCGGAAAGGTATCTCTTCGTATAAAGTTGGAGTTTTGATATGACTTTGGTTGATTGGATGTGGGTGAGTTGTACGAGAGTCATAGGAAGACTTTAGGGGAAAAAAAAAAAAAAAAAAAAAAAAAAAGGGAAAGGAAACTGAAAACATTTTAAGCATTTGTCATGATACTCCCCAGGACAGAGACGCAGGCTCTTATGTATTATTTGAGCTCTTCTTTTTTCCCCCATTCGCATACACTCTACTCCCCTTGGCATATTCGCTCGTTGTGGACTGGTTTCAGAGCTTGTGAATTTCGGGACTCATGTTGTACTAATATCTAATGATTTTGCGTCTCGATTTTCTTCGATTTGTGTGTAATCATAACCAATGCAGTACATATATGTATGTAGTTTCATGAAGTTAATTCCATTCATTCTTAAAAGGTTAATTGGATCTCAACATCAGCGATGTTGTGGGGTGTTGTTACCTTTCAATTTTGAGTGCACAGTTGAGAGCTGTAGGTCGAAGTCTTCTTAACTGGGAGCCTCCGTTCAAGGTTCAGGATGATATGTGGCTCTGGTGTTTGACGTGCGCCGTACCAAGCTCTTTCCGCTGTCACGAGTCATGTGGGGCCGGACGCTAAACACCATTGTCCAATGGCAGCCACGGAATGACGATACAGCGCGGCCACTGGTTGGAGCAAATGGATTACATCACAGCCACCCGCTGGGAAACTGCGCCATTGCCAAGGTCGGACATCCAAAACTAGTGTCTTGGCATATGACTGCTTCGAGCTTTCTCCGGCTCCTTTCACCTTCAACCTCAATGATATCTAGAAATTCGATCGGTTACTGTCTCATGACATGGGAAAAAGCAGGTCTAACCCCCTTGAAGAGGTCCATTCAACTCCTCGGGAGAAGAAGTAATACGAACCCACAGAGTGTTTGGTTCCGGGATACGGAGCGCCTGGTGACTAGCAGTTTAGGGACAACACAATCCACATTAGCGTTTGTGGTACCACGCGCTATTTCCCTGGCCCACCGGGAGCACAATCAAAGCTGAGCCGTCAATATGGTGCTTCACGCGACTGCCGAAATATCGTGCCCAGATTCTTTATTTTGGGACAGAAAGTCACCAGGCCTTATGGACTTCTGATTCCATAATCTCCCCTGCGCTGGGTTTGTTGGAGCTTTCCCAACGATAGTTCGGCTGCCGCTTTTGCTTAGTTATACCCTGCCTCCTCAGCAAAACAAAGTCTGCGTAGGCCTTTTTTTTCTCCCCCTTTGGTCTCGCAGAGTGGAAAATATGAAAGCGCATACCATCCTGCTGTGTTGCTTCGCGGCTGTTTGCGCCGCGGATCTCATCCACATCAGAGTCCGAACCAGCAAGGACAAAGAGGTCGGCCTTCTCGCGAATATGGATGAGTTGGAAAGAACACATCGTATGCCACCACTTTTCTCCGATGCACTGCACTCTTCCTGGGAACTCACCTTCGTTTCTAGGCTTTGCTGCCTCCGGTATCGGTGCGTCTGTGACCGACAAGCACGTTTACTGCCAGGCCTTCAGTGACCCTCACGGCCGCGATGAGCTGGGGGACGCCTTCTCTGCGGCCAACGACGCCACGTTCACTTCGTCAAAGGACGCCGAAGCAGTTCCTATCGGCTCATTCTACTGCTCGGACAGCCTGGACAAATTGGAGGCGCCGGGACAAAAGCCGTTATCGCTGAAGAAGTCGGACGGCAAAAAGACGGACAAGACGGTGAGAATACAGTTTCGGACGGGCTTCGACGACTTCACGCAGGGAGATGTCAAGCTAGGAGAGACTGTGCCACTTGGTATGCGAACCGTATCGGTCCTAGAACATCTGTTTCGGCTAGCGCTAACCAGACGCGTTGTAGGGAGACATTCCAAACTTGGCAACAGTGTGCTTGAAGCAATGGTGGTCTCGGCGACTGGCGACGTGAACTGGGCCAAAGTGCAGTGCCAGCTCTATGAGGATACAGAGGGCAAAGAAGAGGTTGGCAAAGCGTTCTCGATGTACGGCGAGACTTACGGAACGGAGCCGGAGAAGGTTGCGGCCGTAAGATGCGAAGAATGAGAGATAGCTAGATTCTCAATAGGTCAATTCCAGTTGGAAGCAATTTTGAGTCATCTGCTCATCCAAGTCTTCAATGGTTACGTCTGACTCGTTTTCCGAAGATGCTCACAGAAAACGCAACAGCAAGCTTATGCTGCGCCGTGCAGCCAGCGGTTGAACCTCCAGCCTGCCCTTCACGTTCAGCCGCAGCATTGAGTTCGAGTGCGGGCGGCGGTGACATAATCCTGCCTGACTCATCCAAATTTCAGCGATCTGATTGGATAGGACACGCAATGCCCTGGCGGCGTCGGAGTCCCGATACGGTTTAGCGGGAAGACGGGCGTCGCCTGATTCGACTCTCCGTTTAGCCCGCCAGCGGTGGATAAGAACCTCGCGACAGGCAGCCATCTGCGCCGGCCCTCCCTCTTCCTTTTCCTTTTCCTCTTTTCCTCTTGTTCTTCATCTGTTTTCATCTTCTCCTCTCACTGATTGTGTGTCTTCAAATCGAAAACTTGTTTTAGGCTGGACATAACTTGTAGAAGAGGATCAGGAGAAACAACCCCCTCCGCATAAGTTTATCATTCGTTGCGACATCAAGTTCCTCCTTCAGTCGCATTGCCGTGCCCTATCGCTGCTTAAAAAAGCGGGCCCTCGGCGCCTGGTAGGGATAGTCGCACACGACCTGCTTGGAATGATTCTGAGTAACCGATAACTATTCGAGATTCTCGGACAGCTCCTTGCATCCACCGCCCAACACGCCAATTAGCCACCTGCCGATATCTGGTGAGCCTGGTACGTGAGCAGCCGTCGGCGTACCAGAAACGTAACCCGACTAACCTGTTATTATTCAGATTCTACACATGTCACAACAGCTCAACATGGCCATGGAATCGACTTTCTCTACTCGCCAAGGAACCGATGCTCAGCCCCTTTCCGAAATGAGCGGCTCATTTGTCTCCAACCAGTCAAACTACAGCGGCAGCCCTGTGACTGAAACCATCGTTGATGTTGAGCCGTGGATGCAAGAGATGCTGAACGAGGATCTCTTCTCCACTCCTCCTTTAGACTTTGGCTCTGCATACCCTGGGTTCATGGCCGCTGCCTCCAAGACTTCGCCCTCCGCACCCTCAATGAACGATTCTGACTTGTTGGCACCCAACACATGGCCTACTTTCGCCACCGACAACTACGGCTTTGTGCAAGACGGAGACTCCGCTTTTGTGCCTGAAGCTGCAGATTTCCCTTCGTTCAGCACTTCGACGGCCTTTGACGAAGAATTGGCCTCTTTTCTATCCGGACACCAAGCCTTCGATGACGGTGCGGCTCTCGCCGAAATGAACGCTCAACAAAATTTCGATGCGTTCCCTGAACCTTTGCCAACCCTCGGGAACCGTGATGACAATTCGCAGACCGCTTTTAACCAAATCGCAGCTGCTTTCCGGGATTTGGCCCGTGCGAGAGCTGAGGCTGACCCTCGCCCGCTGTCCCGCAAGCAAAAGCAGCGCGATGCGTCAATTGCTTTGTATTTGGAGAGACTACGGGATGCGTGTGATGACGCCGTCGCCGTTATTAATTCCTCCAATGCTTCCAACCAATCCGATAATGGTTCCAGCTTCAGCTCACCAAACATGAGTTCACTCCAGAATTCGTTTCACAACGACCAGGTTCCAGTGGCGTGGGGACAGGGTTCAGCGAGCGAATGCAACTCCGCCCTTTTCGACAATGTCATCCTAACAGACCTCACTTCGCAACAATGCTCACCCGGCGAATCCTCCGCAGCCTTCACCACTTCCGTTTCCACTCCAAGTTCGGACGTCCCGTCAAAACAACAACCAGCGGCAAGGCCCCCAGTGACTGGGGGGTTGGAGTTGGTGATGGACCTAAATATGAATGCTGCCACAAGCTTACCCCGCCGTCATCGCCCTCGAACCCAAGCACAGCGAGAGCGATACCTTGCGGTGCGCAATCGTGGTGCATGCGAAAAGCATAAGAAGCAGCACAAGAGGGTAAGGAACCTTTTCAATTTCGTCCCATTTTGGTTTTCTGGGGGAGGTTGGCTAACGAGACCCATAGTGCACCTGCGTCGATAAAGAACTCGCCTCGAAGCAAAATGCCGGGCAACGCGTGGTGAATTCGAAACTTGGCGATGCCATACTCCGCAGACAGTCCTCAACCGTTCATTCTCAGAACGTCGATTCATCTCGATCGACGACGAACTCACCCACGGACGGCTACGTTTGGCGTCCGGGAGGCAGTCTAGACCCGAAGGGACCGTGTGAATGCACGAGTTGCCATGAGGATATGCTTCGTTGGCAATATCTCCAAAACCTCGACAAAGCTGCTGCTCTCGACCCCATGCAGAAACCTGTGCATACTCAATGCCAGGCAAAACAGAAACGGTCTTGTGTCGGGAAAACTTTGCAGTCTGGGGAAGGCAGTGTGCAGGATGCGTCACCCTCTTCATCCCAAAGACCGGCTAATCTTCCTCTTGTTGGCACCATCGCCCATGCCAGTCTAGCCCAACCCTACAGGGCCGGCGACCAGCTACAAGCTGCTGCGCAGAGCTCGCCATGCATGCCAACCCACACCTCGCCAGTCTCATCATTCAAACTTGGACGCACCACGAAACAAGGCACAAATACACTCGCAGACGCAAGAACGTGGTCCGTTGGTGTCAAGGTTGACACAGACAATGTCCACGTGCGTTACACGGGCCATGCTACTGTTCAGCCATCCGCAGCTCGCAGGACCCTGCTTGAGACGTCCGCTTCAACGGAGAGCCACGTACTTCTCGATCAACATATTCCGGAAAGCTCTACCCCCAACGCTGCTCAATCTTGTTCACAACGAGTTGTCAGCGCTACCGTGCCGTCGTCCTCTTCATCCCGATCCAGCACTGCCCCCCACGCCCGCCAAAGCCCCACTGACAGCAGTAACCTCTCCAAACTGGACCAGGCGTCAGGCTACACGACCACCTTCCAACAAAAGTATCGGTGGATCCTCGAGGGGAGGACCACAGTCGGCGAAAGCCGTTTTACTGTGGTGATTCAAGCCACCACGTCGATGGTACCAAACAACATTTTGGTGCTGGCTCATTGGTTTGCGGAACTTAGTTGCAGCGTGTCACGCGCCCTTCACCTCGAGCCCACGCACAAGGCTCAAACACTTCGTGCCCACGGTTCGTTCCGAATCTGGTTGGCTATTTGGGCATTCGCCGTGGTCTGGACGTCGTTCCTCCGAAATGTGTTGGTATAACCTTGTCGTTTGAGGTTACCGGCCCCACATCGGTCCCCTTCGAATGAGTCCGCCGTGATCGAGCAAGGGCATGTCTATCTTTGTACATGATTTTCATTTTGGAGCGTTTATTTTCCAGAAAGCGTGCATCTATTATGTCTTCTTCATCCCTCTCTTTGCTATTGTTTTGCATCCAGCTGGTGGCTCCTCGCCGCTCGATACCCCTGGATGTTTGGTACATGGTTGTATTGCCTGATATGCTCAGGATGCGAGTTTAGACGACTAGATGAAAGCATAGGTGAAGTGTCTAGCAGAAAAATGCGAAAACTTTTACTGCTCTGCCTGGTCATGAACAGTTGCTTCCGTATCCTTAGTACTTTTCAAAAAGAAAAGGTCAAAATTAAGCTAAGAATGTGAAGATTACAATGCGTAGATGGCACCAGGTTAGCCAAAGGGGATCCTCTCCAAGTCTCGAAGTGCAAATTTTCACAATGACAAACCATCGGGAGTCGCTCCTCCGTCTTGTTACGCTCATCATAAGTAGCCAAGTGAATTGATGTATGTAGGATCGCTACATCAAAAAGCTGCCTGGTTAGCTCAATCGGTAGAGCGTGAGACTCTTAATCTCAAGGCTGCGGGTTCGAGCCCCGCATCGGGCTTTTCCTTTTTGACCCTTTTTTGGCGAGTTTGTTACAGTTTTGCTGCGAGCGACCACCGACACAAGATGTCAGAATCCCTTTTTTTCTTTTTTTTTTTTTTTCCCCTCCGTGGCTCACGTGCCTCAAGACATGGATGAGTTTTGCGGGCAACAAGTTCCTTTTCCCATCTTGGTAAAGGAGTAGCGCGTTTTGCTCCCAACGATCTCGCAAACGCTATCTGGGTGACAGAAAACGGCGAAAGATGTCGCTCGATGAGTCCGTATCCTCAAACAGGCGGATATTCTGGCGATGATAATAAGCTGCTTCGGCAAAAATGGCGTTTCTCTCATCGTTAATAGCGATAGCGCTGCACTATATCCCTCCCGGATCGAATGCGGATCGGCCACTCCGGCAGACCCCGCGCTGTGACTCCATTCTCACCCTTCCAAAGGTTGCAAGTAACTTCGCCGGCTATTTTGATGCTTGCCAATATACCGCTTGAGGTTGAATAAACCACTGGCGCCGAGAGCTTAGGTCATTACCTATCTCGAAATCCACAAACGGATAGCTCAATTGACTCCTCACGCTAAATTCTACACTCCATGTGGCCTGTCAGCATCCCTACGAAGCCCTGAGCTACAAATCAATCGGGTCGTTTTCCCAAGAAGGGAAGCTTGCCAGCATGGAAGGATTTCCGCTTGAGGATATCTTTAACGGCTGCTGGCAAAAGGGAACTTTTCTCTGCGCAAGATATACTCAAGGTCTTAGTATTGAATAAGCCGAAAGGAGCTAAGGTCTTGGAGTACGGAACTATAGACACATCACCAGATCAAAGACACATGCGATGCTGAACCCTCGCTTCCTAGAACCTCCTCTCCATGCCCTTCTCTCCCTTTCGCCCTCAGTTTCAGCTTGATGGGCCCAATCCCTCTGCTGGCCAACCACTGCTTATCTTCTGCACCTCGCTCTCCGTGCACCCAGACGGTACACTCGCTCCCTTCACCCTCCACTGGCAATCCCAGCTTAAACACGCTGCCAATTCCGGACTCGCTCGCACCCGGCTGCGTGGCAGTGAAATTGGCAAGTAATTTGAGGTAGTTTGCTTCGTGCGAACTCGGAACAAGCACTTCAATCTGATCTACACCCGTTGCGCCACATGGATGTGTCGTCCGTGATGGATCTCCAAACCGCAGTCTTGTTTCCCGAGGTGTCCCGTCGTAACATAGGAACGGCGCATCTAGACGTCCTGTGCGAAAGAATTTCCCTGCGTCCGGTGTGTTTGCTGCGTCGTGGAATTCTGGGTTTGCACGCGTCCAATGGAACTTCTTGCCTTCTGGTGTCGTTCGTCCTTGGCTGGTCGGTATTGGGTACCGTACCCCGAGCCCCCCATCCCCATCTTGACTTTCGTTTACACGCATGTCGATGCCATGGTAATGCTCATCCCTACTCTGCGCAGATGTGCATGAGATGCTCCAGTCAATCAAGCCTGGCTCTTTACGGCCCCAGCTGTGGTTGCTTGGTGGCGGTCCCCACCAGTTGAAGAGCTCTAGGTAGGTACCATCCTCAAAGATTATGAGCTTCAGCTGGCTAGCCTGGCCTAAACCGGTTCACAAATCTCTGTGTCAGCGCGCTTCTTTCTTCTCTTGTTGGAGAAGTGGTATACGAACCGGTATGTTTACCACCCTCGATGATAGTGAAGTTCTCGCTAAGCCATGGAGGTAGGGTTTCAAACTCTTCTTCGGAGAGGATAATTGTGATGTGGTCAATCCTTGAAGCGGTAATAGAACCCATTGTTGAGCAGTGACGCTGTCCGGCTGGCCGGGGTCTCTCTCTCTCTCTATAAAATTTTTGTGGTACTGGAAGTGAAGTGATATCTCAGCTCCTGGTCTGACCCACTCAAAAGTGTTTGAAGAAGTATAGAGGTAGAGGTTGGAAACGGCGGATACCACCGGTCTTATACATCCTACTTGAGAAAATGGGGCCGGTGTAATATGCAAGCCCTTCGACACATCACTTCTGCACGCGGATCACCGTTCCCCGCTGCCAACAACATTTTCCCGCTAACATTCCTCCAATGGAGCTACTCCACCTTACAACAGTCCTTACCGAGTATCCTTTTCCTATTTTACTAAATTTCGAAGCGTGATGCTAGAAGTATTGGCATTTCCTCGTCACAGAACAGGTCTATCTGCTTCGAAAGACAGCTTTCTTGAGCCAATCAGCCAATACTACCAATGACGCTTTATCCTACTCGCTTAATTTCACAATTTCGGGAACCTACTTTCTGGGTCCCATCGCTGTTTTAACTCTCTCAATCTTCTAACTCTTTCCACTCCTTTGTAACGCCATTCAAGAGGATCTTCCCGATTACTGTTGGTGTACGAAATATATTTGTCTTCTGCTGAGCCCTTCCGTCCAATGCGGGTGGCTTCGGCTACGAAATTTGCAACCATTGCACGACTACTAACATCTCCATACCAAGTAAGGAGATTCCTTTACGAATGTCGGGTCGCCGTCAGTTAGAAGGAAAGAAAATGGAAACAGGTGAAGGAGAAGGCTTACAGCCAAAGGAGGCGACCTGCATTTCCAAATGCGGTATCAGTTACCGGCGCCGAGGAACCTGACGCCCGCCAACCGATGATTACCTGAGTCAACTCAGCATCTGGACATTGGGTAATGAGTTCTCGATGTAGCGATGCAAGAGCGACGAACTTCTCAGTCGTGAATTCGTCCAGAGCACTCAGGTTGAGACGTCTAAAGCGCCTAATACTATCTTTGCATAGGGGCTCATCACCATTATTTTCAAATGAAATTTTGCGACAGCTTAATTTCATTGGACCGAGATCGTAGAGCGGTTTGAATGAAAATGCCCCGGCTGCAGGGTTTCCAATATAATGGGCATTCACCACGATGATCTGCTCAAATTTCGGCGGCTGAGCCATGATCATTAAATGACCGGCAGTAGGCTGCGAGCGGTTCCGTATGATGTTTTCCATCACGGCACCAACCTCCCTCACTTTGGAGATTGGGAAAAAGAACCGACTGAAATAGTGAGTTCCTATCTCACTCCCAATTAAGGAGAGTGGGTACGTCCTAATCGTCAATTCGGTCACGATCCCGAAAAATTGCCCAGCGCCGCGAAGTGCCCAGAAGAGATCCGAGTTCAAATTGTCGCTTACATGAAGTAGGGACCCATCGGCCGTAACAATGCGACCGGAGAGGATGTTGTCGGACCCGAAGCCGAAACGACCAGAAAAGATGCTGATCCCTCCGCCGATAAAGTATGGGATGACACCGATATTTTGTGCATCTCCAACAACTACATACACACAGAGGAATGCTTTGTCAGTACCCACACCTAGGCCTTTCGTAACTCATTACGGTAGATAGTCACCTGTGCACTGGCCTTGACGAGCTAAGGCCGCCTGGAACTCCTTATGCAGGACACCACCACGGACTTTTACAGTGCGGGCAGTTGGGTCAACGTCAATTGTGCTATATGACGACATGTCAATGATAAAGCCGTGTTTCTTAATGGAAGACCAGGGGCTGTGGCAACCAGTAGCCACTGCGAAAGGCGTTGACGTGATTTTTGCATATTTGACCTAATACCAAGGTGTTACCGCTATCACATCAAGGCAACTCTGTTCGTATAAAAAGAGTCACTCCGCCCTCCTTGAACTTACTATTTGAATAACATCATCTTCGCACCCAGGCCTTACAATCGCTCCCGGGACTTGAAACCCATCATCTGACCACCTTTTCTCCCAGAACGTTGAATCAAACGCTCCGGTGAGCACTTCTGCTCTTTCTGAAAGCCGGGTTTTGATTACCGACAGAAATGTATCGAGTGTCATATCCCCTGATGAAGAAGTTGCAAAGTCGTCCGGTCGGGTTCATTCAAATTTGGGAGCACAAAACCAGTGGCTTTCCGAGGGATCTCCCTACCTCGTTTCCGCCCTCTTTATAGACTGATGGCTCTGGAATATTGAGGGTCAGCAGCGATATATGCCTCTGCATATGCTGAAAACCTCTAACCGATTCATGATTGAGGAGTGGAGCGAAAATACTGGATAAATGTGTCAGTGGCTTGTGAGATGCAACCTGTGAAAGCGCTTATGCATGACATTTAAGAATTGAATTGTTTACCTGCTTTTCAACCTTAACTACGGAGTACTCCGCGGATCGTGCAGTAAAGGAAATCCTCGACGCAACGAAACCCTGTTTTCCAATTTGAAGTATGCGGTCGTGCCACGAGCTTCTGAGACAGTAGAGGTGCATGTCTCCAACCTTGAGCTCCGAATCCTACGGGGAACTGCCATTCCCTACCACTTCTGTCTTTACAGCAGCGACGATAATAGATGTGCCCCGTATTCGCATAAAGACGCTCGACATATGATCGTCATGTCTACAGTTAGAGTTAGCTGACATCGATACGGAGTACTCTGTCGATCTTTTAGTGACTGGACAGCGTGTTGTGCCGAGCAGAGGCCGCTCTTGCAGCATTCCTTAGTAACAAGGCTGACATCTAACTAATGCCACATATTCTGGAGGAAAGAGGAAATAATACGTACTCAGTACATACTCCGTACATGTACTATACTCTGAGCTTCGAGTAACGCCCGTAAACTACGCAGAAGGAAGTCTAAACGAAGAACGGGACGCAGCCTTTTAGCGTTCTAATTTATTTGGCTCCAGTATATCCAGCCAGCCACCTCCCAGCAGCGATCTCCTAGCTTGAATATCTTGCATCAACACCACAAACTTTGAAGGTGCATACTTTAGCGTACATATGGAAAAGATCATCCCCTTTTCAGGGGAAGCCACTCGCATGTTCTTCCAACTTAGAGCTCTCTGAGTGGATGAACCATGTCCCAACAGTCTACATATCAACTGCTCTAGTGGCAGATTCACAACGTATGGAGTCTGCTTCCTCGAGGCTTTAGTTTTGTGACGCGAGTACTCCGTACACCAGCACCCCATTGGATGTGCCGTTAAATTGCTTACCGTGCGACTTCTATCAATGGCTTCGCTTCACTCAATAGACGGCCCGAGCACCAGGATTCCACGAAGACACGTATTATCATCAGTCCGGATAGAGAGCAGTGAAGAAGGCTGTCTAATTCTAATTCGGGGACTGCGATATCGGTATCTATCACCTTCCTTTGACTAGAATACGCCGACATCGGAGAAGCACCGGGCATCAGGCTAGAAGAAGCGACGATTCCTCCTTGGCTGAATGGCTCTTTCGTGATGTTCGATGCTAATATTCAACAAATCTAAATCTAGATTTTGGCCGATAGTTATCCATAGACTCACCAAAACAAAGGCCACAAACACAGGTAATATGTCATAACTGTGAAATTGTCAAGATGTGGATGAAGGTGGTGGCGGTTGCACATAACTGCCGCAGCGGCCATGATAGCATTTTAAAAGCTTTCCCATCTTGGATTTGATATAGTTGGTGGTTGGGTTAAGTACTTCAACGGGATCCAGCAACCAATATTGAGAAAACATGGATAATGGGTATGATTGATCTTATATTAATATTAATGCATGCCTAAGAACGATACCAGGTGCGATTAAGCAGAGCTAGTTCAAATTTTGCGGAGCCGCAGTAGGATCAACTGTGCATTCTGGCGGCGGAGTCCAGGGCTGGACGGTTCGATGTGGTGCTTGACCAGGCTTCTTTTCAACTCGTACAAAAACGGGTATCACGGCTCCGGGAGGAAGAGCAAAATCCCTGTGTCCAACGGCCCCGAGTATAGACCTAATCGTTCCTGAGTGAGCCGTCATAGAGATAAATGTGTTGTTGTCATGTGTGAATACATCACTGAGAAGGGTTCGCAGGCGCTCTCTGTGCGCAGTAGAAGATTCACGAAGATTAGGCACCCAGAGAGAATCAGACTCGGCGAATCCTGGCTCGATGATATACGTTGGGTAGTTCTCCTGGATATATGTTCGGGAGCTACGTCGGTCGCATGTGTGGACTCCAATAGTTTCCCGGAGGAGCTTACGAGAGAATTGTTTTTAGTTAACTTCTTAGGGGAGACTTAGACTCATACCAAAGGTTAGAGTATGAATATACATACCTCTTTTACGGTAGGAACGAATGGTTTTGACTTGGGGAGGTCTAGAGTGCTGAATGTAATTTTGGCAGTGTCTAAACAGCGAGAGAGGGGGCTCGTATAATAGGTTTGGGGAACCGGAATTCCATTTTTCATTTGAGTCACCCAGGTTTCGTTCGCAACTTTAGCATCCGCTATGCCTTGATCCGTGAGATGCGCATCTGCCCAATTGGTGGTTCCGTTTCCGTCAAGCATGGACCAGTAACACTAATGAGGTCAGCTCTTCAGAAATTTGAATCGATAGAAGTGTATCAAAACGCACGTCCCAAGCAGCAGTTCCGTAGTGACTTTCCGCCACGTTATGGTAGCCCTGACCATGTCTCCCTAGATAAAGCAGGGCATACCTTACTTCTGGTCCAGCGTCGCGATTGAGTGTCAGGACTTTATGTTTAAAGCGTTCCCATTGGGACTTGCTACGATCGGGGTCAAATAACTCGTCAGTATCGTAAGTTTGGTTGATGAGGCCAAAGCCTGTCGATGCCTATTGCGAATGAGTAATTTCCAGCCTCTATGCGGGAAATATTTCCGCATACATAGTCAAATTTTGTGGGATCAGTTGCAGGGTCGTCTTGCAAGAAATATCCCGTCACAGTAGAATACTCCAGGTGGGAGACGGGCGCTAAGTCTCCCATCCTAACGAAAGAGGGGGTGATAAGAACTGTGGAAACAAGAAGAAAAGGACTAGCCAGCATTGTGTCAGTCCATACAAATACTGCACAATTAAAGGAAAACAAAAATAACTGGGGCAAGCCCATAGTCCTAAGAAGAAATGACTAGCTGCTGGATCACCAACAACTACCTTCAAGAGTTATCATGCTTTCATCACTTTAACTTACATGACAAATGCTATCCGGTAGCAATTTAACGATGGTAGTCTCCCCGGCTCTATTCTCGGGTGCATCTATTAAACATCCTCCTGTCGGGGAAAAAACGGTGTACCCGTCGGCAGAGCGCGGCGGAGCAACTGACCCGCCAAACTTAACTTGCTGTCGTTGAAATAAACTACCAGAACAAGCTTCAAGTGCCCCACAAAACTCGGGAATCCACAGGGGTATGTACGTTAACTTGTTACAGTAGATCCCCGCTATAGCGAACCCCCATACAACGAATTCCCCTATATAACGGACGAAATCTCTTCCCAAATTTGAATCTCCTTACAAAATTCGTTAATCCCCGATAAACTGAAATTCGCTAACTATTTTGAATATTTTATAGGCAATTCGTTATAACAAGACCCAATGCCGCGCCGAACCGCTATTCCAATTGAGCGAAAGAAGGCCCTCCGGGCTCACAAGCTGCAGCATTCAAGCCTCAGCAACAAGACTTTGAAGCAGTGGTTTGAGCAACACTATAATCAAACCATTGCCCTATCCTCTGTCTCCGAGATCCTATCGTCACGTTATGATTATCTTGATCAGACTGCCTGCCGCTCAGAGCTGCCTATCTGGTTTATTGGCACAGCTAAACGACCACATGCCTTCCGCGCTGCTGGCATCAAAATCGAGAACCTGCCGCTCAAGTGGAGATCGAATAAGAAGGCCTGGATGACAGGGTATATCATGGAGGAATGGCTTTGCTGGTTTGATTCTCAAATGACAGGCCGTAAAGTCATGCTCCTTATGGATAATTTCTCTGCACATGAGCTTGCGTTTGAAAATATCCAGCGGAGCCCCTATCCCTTGCTGAATACCTTGATTATTTGGCTTCCACCAAATGCGACAAGCAAATATCAACCACTGGATCAAGGGATAATCTATACATGGAAGCAATACTGGAAGCGGCAGTGGATTCAGTATATGCTTGAGGAGTATGAGCCTGGCCGGGATCCTCTTGCTACAGTCAATATTTTGATGGCACTGCGCTGGGGAATCAAGGCATGGCATATAGACATGTCTACAGCCTCAATTATTCACTGCTTTGACAGAGCTTTATTTCCCAAAAGACCTGTACAGTTGGATCCTGAGAATGATTCAATTATGGAGATCACCAGCAAGTTCCAAAGACTCTGCCTTCTCTCAGCAATTCAAAACCTGATGGATATTCAGCACTTTCTCAATCCAGCAGATGAAGTAGTAGAGGATTCTCCTGAGGCTATTGAGCAGCATGTTATTGCGCTGCTAGATCCAGCAGATGAGAGCAAAGAGGATGAGGATTTGGCTACAGAGATGCTCCCACCAATTACACCTTCAGAGGCTCTAGATCTAGTTAAACAGCTCCGGCTGTATGAAGAGCAGCAAGATCAGGGAGATCAACAGCTAATTCAGCAGCTCAACAGCTACAAGAGCAAAATAGCAGCAAGAAGGCTTCAAACTCAGCAGCAGCAAGATATTCATGCCTATTTTCAACGCGCACCCCCTATATAGCGAATTCCCCTATATAACGAATCGAACAAGCTTCCAAATTTAAATCGCTATAGCGGGGATCTACTGTAGTCGGTTTTTATGTAAGGCTTAGGGCTGGAATGAAGGCGAATACTCCAAGGAGCGCCGGCGAAGAAAACCAGTAGGGTGGGGGCTCAAGAGCCACGCCTCCCACCCGTTGGTTAGTTAGTTAAACTAGTTAACGGGTGACAGCCTGAAGCTGCCGCGTTGAAGTAACAACTCTAAACTCTTGGTTAACTAACTAGTTAATCTAAAATGTTTGTTTTTAGTCATCCTAATCAAGGCCTAAATCCACTAACTATACTAGAAGTAGGTAATATTATATCCCAATCCTATATGCAGGCTTGAGCCCTGATAGAAAGGTATCGAGTGGTAGTGAACGCCTGAACCCAGTAGTTTCGTGGTTTCCTAGAGGTTCCCCGTATACGTCACATAGGTCCTCTGAGATGGCATTCCTAGGTCCTTCTAAAGGACCCATGAGTTTTTGATTCGTTTCGTCGATGCCAAATCTCAGCTGTCAAGTTCTTTGATTTATCAAACCCTCCTTATGAGTTGCTTCAATCTAGGCAACAATAAGGTTTTCACATGTCTGCAGGTTATACCCCTCTCCCGACGGATATATGTTCATTCTCCGCTTCAATTCCAGGAGATGGAGTAATTGGCGCGCTGGAAGTGGTCTCTACCCCACCAGACCGGACACATGGCGGCACCAAAACTTCCCGAGCTTAATAAAGCTTGCTGGCTTGACAGCTCGTAAGAAGTTCATACCCATTCAAACGTGGGAATCAACCTCGCCTTCTCTTCACAACACAATCGTCACTATGCAGCAGCATTCTGCTGCCTGTCAGGATGTCCGTGATATGGCACCTATATGTACCAAGGCCAACCGCAGGGGGTTTGCAACCTTTTCAAAAAGCAAATGACCTGCTAGGTTGGATCTCTGGTAGTTTCAGTACAAGCAGGAGTATTCAGCACCCGCCAACTAGCACACCACTTGGATAATATTTTATGCATGTGTGGTATACATCATACCGAAAGAGACTATAGCGTGTTGTATTTGCGTTGTTTGAAGCAATAGACTGCGTGATTTCAAAGGGCTCTAGACCGAACTTTGACAATAGGTGATTAGAGACCGTACCAGCTTCTGCCGAGCTGGCACTTCTTCTTCGCCGTTGCATAAATATATTTGGTGAATGCAGAAGGTGACAGCACCATTCGGCGGCTTGACAACACTGGGAGTTCGAAATGTAAGTCACTTTAGGAAGAGTAGGGCTGTAATATCGACAATTCTTCGAGATTCGATACGAATCATGATTTTGTAGGATAGTTCCAGGGAAAGCCAATAAGGCAATATTTAATTTGAGTTGGTAGGTATAATTTCAAAAATTTGAAGAATTTGGACTAGATTCAGCATATTTCTATAGGCCCGGACAAGATATATCGTGCGTTACCCTTGCTAGAGTGTTTTTGGAGGTCCCAAAATTATTTGTTAAAAGGAAAGATGGAAAATTAAAAAAGGTACAGAGTTAAGAGGCTGCGGAGTCTTATATATTAGCGGCGATTGCTGAATGAGTAAGCTGAGGGGTTGAGAAGGTGAATAGCTGCCTGTACAGTGACATGTAATGACCCATTCAACATAAAGTGAATATTGAGTGAAAAGAAAGTAAAGGTTGAAGTGATAGGATGAGCAACAGAGCTGTGTCTGCTGTAACTCATTCATTGACATTGAGGTTACTTTTTGACTGCTCCCCATTAAGTCATGGAGCGTTGCTATCAAGATCGAAGTGCCTCAACGGTCCGAAACCATAGAGCTCCTTTACTGTCAATAATCACTAGCTTGAGCTATTAGGAAAGTATACTGCTTTCCATCCCAAGCTAACTGATTGAGAATGCGCCTTCTTGGTGCTAAGGGCTCTTCGCCAATTTGCACTGAACGGCCATCCCACTGGTCGAGTTGCAAACCTTCCGGTATTGCGGCTAGCAAAGCGTACTGGTGTATCGATCCAGCGTCAGGATTTGGCTTCTTTCTTTATCCCTACGCTTTCTGTGTTTGTATCCTCCGTAAAAGCACGTTTCTCCTCCCTAGTCGATGATCCGCCCTGAGTTCCGATTTTCAGAAAGAATACCAAGACAAATCCTAATCCTGCGAAACCGGCCGAGAGCCAATATGTAGATAGATACGGCTCGATATTCGATGGATCAGGATTCTTATGGTCCATTGCAACATAGATCGCAGTAGTCATGCCCAAACCAATATTTTGGCAGAGTTTCGTCAGGGTGTTGAATATCCCACCAGCTAAGGATTGCTGGTCTGTAGGTAGAGACGACATTACATACATCTATCGGCGCCTTTGTTAGGTAGCGGTCAAAAGGGACACATGATGTGACGAAGACTCACATTAACAACATTAAACTCAATATCAGCCCCCACCACCGAAAGTAAAAGGGCGGGGAACATAAATGCCCAGTAGGTCACATCTTCTTTCATAAAGCTGAGGATGAGAAAACAGGCAACATATGAGAGTGCACCGATGCCCATCAAAAGCTTGTTGTTCACCCGATGGAGGATTAAGCCTGCGACAATATTGACCAGGATTCCGTTGATAACCTGGGGAAGAAGATAAAGAGCGACTTGAAGCGCGTCTAGGCCTTTGATTCGCTGAAGGTACAGGGCCAGCCAGAACGAACCCGATGAGAATCCCATAAATCCCAAGCCGAGAATTATATTCAGCTAGAAACAAAAAGATACATTAGCTTGTTTGACACACGACTGAGAGGTACAATATTTTCCTTACTAGAGAAAAATCTCGGTCCTTCCATATATACAATGGCATCAATGGATACTTAGCGACAGACTGCCAGAACAAAAACCCGGCGACAAGTACCACGCCGACAACCAAAAGGGCAATAACGTATCCTGTTTTCCAGCCATCCGGAGCATCTCCAGCAAGTCTACCGCCCCTTTCGTCAGCATCTTTACGGTAAAAGCGGAGTGATGTGAAACAGCAACTCACGTCAAGGAACTCGAGAATAGGGCCAACCCGGTGACGATCAACATCGACCCCACCAGGTCAAATTTCTTCAACGCCTCCCAACTCAGCTTCTCCCTCGGGTGCGCATCTGGCGGGACCGTCCAAATCGTCATCACAGAGAATATGGCATATACAGCCGCCAACGCCCAATACGACGCCCGCCAGTTGTACAATCTAGACGCGACACCGGATATTATCGCCCCACCTACGAAGCCGAGCGGGTTACCTGCGCTAAAGCAGGAAAAAGCGATATTTTTCCGCTTCGAGGGCTTATCGTAGGCAGCTCCCAGGGCGCCTACGGCGGGTGGGACGACGGCTGCCGAGCAAAGCCCGACGAGGCCGGAGAAGATATCGAGAAACAGTGCATTCGGAGCAAAGCCGGCAGCGAGAACAGCAACAGTGAAGGCCAGCATAGAGGTGACGAACATGGCCTTTCGGCCAAAGAGGTCGGCCAATTTGCCAAAGGAGAGGAGAAACGCCCCGCTGCTGAGTCTACATTTATACGGAGGTGATCAGTGGAATGTTGCCAAACTGGTGAGATGCCAATGATACGTACGAAGCCCCCGCCGTGATCCAAGTGATCTCCGCAGATGTCATGTTCAGAGCGTTCCCGATGGAGGCTGAGATACCGATATTTATCCCGGTGAAAAAAGTTGCCTGTCCGATTGCCATTGTCGTCGTCGCGACAAAGATACACTCCTGGATGGTGGACCTGAAGCAGGCTGGCCGCTCGCCCTTGCTCCCGGCTTTGATGGAATCATCGTTTGAATTTGAGTTTGCTTCCTCGTCTATTGGCTGACGGGAGGATTGGGCGCCATTCGACTCCGTATAAGTTGCCATCCCGAGGAGAGATAGAGGTGAAAGTGCACCGCGAACTCGATCAAATAAACCCAGTCCCTTGTGAACCAGGCGCCGTTCCACTTCAGTTTTGCTCGAATAATTGATGCTGAGAGAGGCCGACCGGCTGCGCGCGAAACCTTCCAAGATCGACCGTCCCTTGTGCCTGCCAAGCCGGAGACTCTCGAACGGCGCCTATCATCCTCGCAGAGGCCGGCTGATGGCTTATATATATAGCCATACACACATGGCTCAGCTCTAGGCCGAGGGAGAGTTCTTTTCCCCAGTGCCCCGAACCACGATCATAGGCGGAGTAGATGGTCCGACTTGCAAATATTGAGTAAGCATCAGCGGTGGAATTCCGCGGAAGCCGGTCCGTCTCGGCATCCGATTGGCTGGTGCGCGTGTCGGGTGGCGGGTCGCGGCAATCTTATCTGATCGGATCAAAACTATTAATCAGCGCCTGGAGCGGCCCGTGAACGATGAGCGCCGGCTGGTTGATTTGATTTAACTATGTCATTCTCACTGGACATGCCCGGCCACTCGTCCCAGCTCAAGCCAATCAAGGGGTAGACCTCCAAAACACAATCCTCACACCTAACAGACCCAATTCTGACATAGGCTCCTTCATCCGCTGACTTCACATCCACCACATACAACATGGAAGAAGCTCCACAAGCCCTTACACTCTCCAACGCCGAAGAAGCACAATGGAACGGGGACGTTCTGCTGGAATTCAAGGCCACCTTGGAAGGGAGTCCGGCAGTGGATCTAATATTCAATGTTCTCTGACTCATATCATCGCGAGCATTGAAATGCCCAGTAACCCCCAGCTGTCTTATGCTGCAAGGATCAATCTCGAAACACTAAACAAACTCAATGACACCCTCAGGTGTGAGCCAGAAGTCAATCTGCTATCACCCACAGGATCACAATGACAACAGTGCTACAGCTTTGCTGCCTACAGAGAAATACATTTCCAATGCATGAATCAGTGTTCACACACAGTGATGTCAGAACTGATAATATTATGGTGCAACAGGATCCCAACAGCTACTTATTGTTACTGGAATTATTGACTGAGAGTACTCCGTATAGTGGCTTTTATCCTGAGTACTATAAATGCACTGGGCTAACTCGCACTTTGAGTCTGGTGAAGAAAAATGATTGGTATCTCTATTTGCCAGAGAGCATATCCCCATTGCAATTTCCTCTATGTTGGCTAGTTGATTGACTTTGGGGCATCCATCTCAGAATCATATAGCCCAGACCAGAATTGAATGCTGAAGAATCTTCTCTGTGTATAGAATACCCATCAATGCCAAGAAAGCACATAGCCAATCCTTCTTGTAAGATGTGTGTAGTAAAACTTATCATTATGCTTTGCCTCAAAACATTGCAAGTGGACCTAGGGCTTAGGAATGAATGAGTGTAACAGAGAGGCCATACTATCCACTATTCAGAGAAAGGAAATCAGTTCCTAGTATATAAGCTAGGGTGCGGTAACAAATGAGTGACACAACACTTCAAGAAACGTATTCTATCAGAACCTTTCACCTACACCAATCCCTCCTGCTTGCTTTGAACAACTTTCTTGTTATGTTTATAATTGGTCTTGCTCTTGTTGATAATATTCTTCTTCTCCAAGTCACCCAGAAGCTCAAGGATATAGTCCTGGCAGTTATAGCCTGGATATTTGTTGTGGATAACCACATTTTTCGCAGCATTCTTAATTGTGCCAATTTTAGAAGTGTCCATGTCACACAAGTGAACCATTATGAGTGTTTGAGTTCCTCATGTTGAAATGATATCTGGTAGAGGAACCCATGATTTGGAGGAGGGCCTTTTCTGCATCTGTTGGCCTGTTGATGAAGAGACTTCAGTGATTACATACACCACCATCATCAAAGATGGCAACATATAGTGCAATAGTTGAAGACATATTGAGTATTTTCCACTATTGTAGGTTTGAAAGCTCGTAGGCCTGCCGCAGCGACGCTGAAGTAAGGCAGCCTGAGAAGGAAGTCGTTGAGCAAACAGATCACCTAGCGTTACCCTGGAGAATTTTGGATGCTTTTATGTTGACTCTCCCGAGGCTCCAAAAGAAGTGAGACGTTGAGACGTCCTTAGCGTGACGTCAACGGGAATAATGATATCCAATCTTTAAGTATCGAGAGATCTGGATGTAACATTGGCTGGTTTTTGACGCCGCACGGCGTTATGCTAGATGCATCTTGAGCTCCGTGCGAATGCGAAGTCGCATCCGATAGCAATGCATCACGCATTTCCTCTTAAACATACATGAGAAATGCATCAGATCTTAGCTGACCACCAGGTATATCAGGCTGCAGCCGGGGAGTCCAACAGGACGTTGGATCTAACGCAGAAAGGACGCAGCGTTGCCTATCGTATCCCCCGTTTACGCAGAACCGTATTTCATCTACGTATGGATGACAAAATTCTGACTTGATAATAACAGCAATGAGCAATGGTCTAAAAAATCGAGACCTGTAAGCACAGCAGATGCTCGAAAGTGGTTCTTCGGTAAAAGATTAAACCCCTTGGTCGGGTGGGATAGACATTCTGCAGTCACTGCTTCGAATCCCAGAGTGTGCTGAGGGAATCCTTGGCGGGTTAGCAGCTGGAAGCGGCTTCAAAACCGACCCATTTTGGCCGGGCAGCTCGCTAGTTATATGATCGTAGAAAGTAGTAAAACAATATAAAACAGAAACAAAAGAAAAAAAAAAATCAATCCCTCACAAAAAAGGATAAGCCCGATGCGGGGCTCGAACCCGCAGCCTTGAGATTAAGAGTCTCACGCTCTACCGATTGAGCTAACCAGGCAGCTGTTATTAGTAAGCTCTAATTTAAAAACTTCAAAACTAGTTAACTAAACTGGATTACTTCGTTGGATTGACACCAGGAGAAAATCGCGAAAGGAGATGGATGAAAGTGGGAAAAAGAAGGCCCATGGCACGTACTCCGTATTTAGATATGATACTGGCAAAGTTCGCGATACTCCCATACATAGAACATCCAGAGCCCAAAACCACAACTCCCAACTCCTCACGCTTGAAGTCTTCCTCCCATACCGATATCCGAAACGATCCTTTTCAACCCCAACAAGCGAGAATTCCTACAGTTCTTAACCAAAGCCATTCGAGCTTGCACTCGACGATCCTGCGCCTGGTCCGTATCCGAACCCCTGGCTACTGCTAAAGGTTGGTGTTTGAGCTGTATCAGAACTTGCGGAAGAAAATAACCCAGGGCTCCTGAGAGGCTCCGATGTCCTTAAGCTCATCGAACTGCCAATTCTCGATCCGCCTACTCCTGACGCCGCAATCGTGTTTATGCTAGCCATCGGCCGAAGTCCCGGGTTCGACTGCTGCGTTGCACTGGTATTGATGGCCAAGGGCTGCTTCTTCGTGCTCCCAAGCCTTGCATGCTTCGGGTTGTCGCTCGTGGGACTCTGTACATATGGGAACACGGACCCTTCGTGATAGAAATTATCCGGAGATCCCGTGAATGGGTCTAACATGTTAAAGTCGACAAATCGCCGTGCCAGAGCAACTGCCAAATCGGCTGCAAATTCCGGACACTGAGGCAGGAAATTCATGGCACTAGCCGTCTTATACCATTCAAAATCGACATGCCACACTAGCCACGCAACTATTAACTGGCGCAGTGGCGACCGGACCCGCGTGTTCTCATAGACGTATGAGATGACATCGACCTGCGGAGGCTTGCCTGGGCTCAGCTTCATGAGGAACATCTCGTTGATTATGTTATGCTTCAGCGCGGGTACTTCAAGCTTATCAGCAAGAACATAGAGCTGTGCAAGCTGCAGATATCGCTCGTCTACCTCCTCATCGCTCCCGATCCCCGACAGAACATATGTACCTGAATATACCCATTGCAGAAACCGTTCAAACGTATCTGGATCGTCTTCCGGTAGGGTGATGGCGTGTTCGGCTGCCTCCTTAAAATCAGAGGTGAGGGCGCCGTTGAAGAATGGGGATTTCTGGCATAGGAGGTCCTTGTGGGCTTGGAACTGAGCTTCGGACTCGCCAACAGTGATCGTAATCACGGTCACGCCACGAAACCTGCCATGCTTTAGTACAAGCCCGATCACAACCAAAACATAAGAGACCATTCGGTCAGAAGATGGAACCTTAGGGAAGTCATGCTGACGTATTTCTACGCGAGTAGAAATGCTGTGGAATGTGGGGATGCTCTAGGCGAGGACCTAGGAACAGGCAAGGGCTATGCGAAGGAAAATGTGTTCGGGAGGGCTGGCAAAGTATTCCAGGAGTAGGTCCGGAGTATGTATGTGCAAAGTCACTGATGTCAAGTAGATACACCTGCACAGGCTCATCAAGATGCCAGAATTTACTGGACCTGTTTCTTAAATACACTGAAATCTTCTAATTACTTCCAACGATAAGTTTGTTGCAAGTTGGGCGGCATTCAAAGCTGTGATGAGCTGTCATCAGGCTAACACGGAACAACCCTGTTCCGCAGCAAGTGAGGCTGCCTCCTGGGCAACAAGAGCAGGGAGAAAAGTTACCTTTGCCCCAGAGCAATCGATTTGACGGTGGATGATTCGTTGCGTCGGATTCGAGGATGGATATTGGTTAGTTACTCGATGGATGATTGGAGGATGCAGGTATGCATGCACCACCATCGCCGTTGGGTCTTCGATAAAAAGCAACATCAGATCTTGAAACGCAAATGAATAGAGGCAAAAAACCGGATCGGAACCAACTGGGCGTCACAAATTTATTTAAAGCTAGGACAAAGAACAAGAAAAAGAGGATCAGGAAAGCTAGCCAAGCGCCTGATTGTTAGTATCGAATAATGCGACATCACAGGATTATCACTCCTTATTAAGATCAAAGCTGAAAGCATGAATATCCACCGCTAGAAAAAACAAAGATACACCGATCGGAAAATGGTATACGTAGAGATAGAAGGAGAATCATTAGGAATTATCGGCAATCAGTTCGTATCCACCCTCGGACGGCAGGGTGCGAATGGTCATATAAATGATGACCGCGTTGAAACCAGCCAGGCACATGCTGACCACACTCATAATCCAGGATTTATCCAATTTCCAGCCGGGATAGAACCGTTCATCGTTGTCGAAGAGATACGACTACAAACGCAGAGTCAGGAGGCTGACCTGAATAACGGCTTGACAAGGACAGACTGTCGCTCGGACTTACCACCAGCGCCATCGCGGCGCATTGCACTAGGGTTATAAATACCAAAAACAACGTTAGAACTTTCCACCCGGTTTCTCGCATTTGCTTTCCACCCGCGAGAATGAAAATGTATGTGATTAGTGTCATTCCTTCAAGCACGATCGCGAACGACATCAGGAAGGCGACGGAGCGCCACATCGAGCAGAAGGACCCGTCATTGTCGCCGTGACAATCTTCATATTGTGGGAATGGGTCGCAAGACTGGGTAAGGGAGGAGCAGCGGCGATGAAGGCCATAGGAGTAATGGAATTTCATGCCAGATGGCTAGATATTTAACGACCACACAATCAGTCAGCGAGCTGGACACGCTCACTCTAGCGAAGTAGAGAAAGCGAATAATGGGCAAAGCAGGTAGATACACACCGTCTCACTGTAATAGCTGACCCATTTCGGCACGATGATTGACGCCAGCGTCAGTGCAGAAGCTGCCCGATCCGATGCGTCAGTTTCAAGTTACTGATGGGTTTTTCCTGCGACGCAGGCCGGGGGAGGCGGATAACGTACCAGTTAAGAAAACGAGTAAGGTGGCAGAGTAGAGGATCGTCTTGGTGACGAATCCAGTGTAGTTCCTTCGCCCTTCCCCGGGCACCAGATGGAAATCCAGGATGGCGGCTGGTCTCACAGTGTATGTTTTGGTCGGTTGGTGATGGCCTTCCCTCCCAACGTTCGAAGAATACACACTTCAGAGAATCTGTTTGCCAGGCGAGTCGACTGGCGTTGAGCGAAGGAAGGAAGGCCTTTCCGGTGAGAGCTATCCCCGGCGACGACGACGATGGGGGCAAAGTCGTCAACTAAATACCAAGGTGGTGTGGACCCTGAAGGTCAGTGGTTGGAGGAACACAGTCCTCGTGAACAACTGTTGGTGGGATCGTCTTCAGAGGGGGTTTCGGTGCACGGATGACGGCACCAGGACGCTTTCAGTTACGAGTTTGCCATCAAATAGTTGAGCCAGAAGCGACGTTGCGTCGGCTGCCGTAGTTGAATGGGCGGGACGGCGTGTAACAACTCTGCGCTATTTTGCTGCCTGCGCTTTGAGGCGCCGCCGGGCACGGATGACGCACGTGGTGGGATGATCCATGCAGGTTGCTTCTAGGTATCCGGTACCAAAAGAGTCCACCTTTTCGTCGCCAGTTTTCAGGTTAGCGGTACCTGAAGGGTACTCCATTTTTATGCACTGAACATACCTCACATTGTTCGTAAATATACTCCGTACGGAGTAGACTTTTTGTAAAAAGCTTTCTACAGAATACTCCATATATATCGCTTCACTCAAACTACTGGATATAATGCAACAACTCAACGCTGTATTGATTGCTCTAGCATCGCGACCACACCCCTGAAGGGCCATGTAACTCGCCAGATATTTGCATTATAACTCCTTTCTTAACTGCATGATCATCATGTGGAGTTGTGAAAGCACTTCGTAGCGTACATTATCATGCTCCAAAACAAAACCAGTTTGCGAAAAAGCACTTTACTCCCCCGATGCGTACAATGCGTTTCGGAATTCAAGGAGGCAGAATAGAAAATAACTAAATGCAAAGCTGAATGTTTTCCTCCCCTCTAGCCCTTTCACCTCCATTATCATTCAGAGCCGAGTAACCCATGCCACACGACAGGAAAAAAAAAAAAGGACAACATGCGAAGGACACAATAATACTGCAGAGGATTAATACAGGGGAGTCACAATTTAAGAAGAAAGCTTTAAAAAAAATTGAACAAAACACATATGGTAAAACCTTGAGGTGTGCTGAAAAACAAAGCATCAGGGGGTGCAGATGAGGATTTGCTGGAATGGGTAACATGAACAAGAATACACTAGAAAAACAAAGGCAATATATAGAGAAACAAAGCCTGCAAAAATTAAAAGAAAGATAAAACATAGCAGTAGAACAAGATCAGGTAGTTATGTCATGCCATATAGAGAATTAAAAAGATGATGAAAAAGGCAGGGATGGGGAAGTAAAAAGTCATACCGTCCACCCATCACCAGCCCTCCCGTTGTGCCAATCCCAGCCAACTGGCGTCTTCCGCCTTTTTAGGGAGAGAATAGACGGGAGGCAAACCACATTCCGGCTGCCGGTGGACCATTAGCAATTAAAATTTTTTGGGTTGTCCTTATTCGCGGTCTCGTTTTCCGTTTTGCCATTCAACTTCTGTTTTTTTCTTTTCCTCCCTTAACCAGCCCGAAATCATTACTTTGTCACATAAAAAAATATATATATAATAAAAGAAACAACGCCAGCGCTGACTGGATAGGAGAGCCGGCAAATTCATGATTTTATTTGTGCATGAATTTTATTCATATCTCCTCTGACTTAGTCTTGGGTTGACTTAACATGACTCGGAAATCGTCATTGCTCTTTGGCTTCGGGGCCTCGGATAATATGTGATCATGGGAGGAAATTCGATCTGCAGAAGACTGCTGTGCTTCTGCTTTCGTGGCAATTGAAGCGGGCCCAATTTTCCCGTTGAAGGCGCCTTTCTTTACACCTAATCCGCCTCTTCTTCCCGCACGACCCTGTTGACCAGGTCTCGAAATGGGTGCGGCAGGCTGGACCATGAGCGCCGGCTTTTGCTTTTGCTTTTGCTTTCCAACTTGAAGACGATCCACTTTATGCTCGGGCGGCTGCTTCAGCATTTCTGATACTGGCCCAACGCGAATCTGACGACCCGGTGCAATCTCCTGGCCGTCGAGCCCAAGGGCCGCCTTTCCAGCATCACCCACGTCCATGAACTCGACAATAGCACCTTGATGGTCAGGGCGAAGAATTATCTTCACAAGAGGTCCATACGGCTCGACTAGAGTACGAATACGGGCATCGTTGACGGTGTCGGGAATATTCATTAGACCGAGAGTGCGAAGGTTCCTTTCACCAACTGGCAAGTCGGCTTGATTGACCGAAGCGGTGGATGGCGAAGCCCCTCCATTTGGTTCCATGGATGGAGACTTGGACCGCCCAACGCGCGAAATTATGGTAGTAGATTGGCGTTTTGCGCCGGTGTGCGTAGACAGTCTGACACGGAGCGGTCGGGAGCGAAACTCTTTCTGGTCCATCGCCAAAGCCGCATTTGCAGCTTCCTATAGCACTGTGAGTTAACCCAAGTTTGCTCAGGGAGGTATGTTGCACCCGGATATGAGCTTACCGGTGTGGAAAATGCTACAAACCCAAACCCCTTACTGCCACCGTCGGCCTTCGTTGGGATGCGCGCAACTTCGACTTTGCCAAAAGCCGTAAAGAGCTCAATTAGGTCGTCTTCAGTAGCCTTCCAATCAAGGTTTGAGATATGGATTTCCCGGCCTTCCTCGAACGCACCAGAACGAGCTTGGCGTTTCGAGGGGTCGGATATCTTCACCACGAGGTTCAAATTTTTCCCCACGGACTTATGATCTAACTCGAGTGCATCATGCGCATCGGCTGCAGAAGCAAACTGCACATAACAGAACCGCCTGTGGGTATTAAACTTGAGAGACGGGAATCGCACCTCAACAATCTCACCATGCTACAGAGACCATCAGCACACAGCCAAGGACCGGGAAGGCATTCACGAGAAGCAGCTTACTGGGCTGAATATCCGTCGAATGTAGGACTCGTCGGCTTCGGGTGGGAAGTTTGTAACAAAAAGTGTTGCTTTGGTTTCCAATTGGACGCTAAGCACACGCCCTTCCAAAACCTTTTGATCCCGCGTCTGAGCAACTTCCGCATCATCTTTCGAGTCGAACTCGACGATCGCAGAGGCAGAATCACCATCCGCCGGGAGGAGTGTGACGGCGTTGATTTTCCCACACTGACAGAGGTCAGCTTGGTCAAAAAGAAAAGAAAAAGAAAAAAAAAAAAAAAAAAAAAAAGGAATTGCACAGCTTTCACAATAGACTCACATCACGGAAAAACTGCCGGATTTTGAGGGTTGGGACATCCCTAGGCAGGTTTTTGACCGAAACACTCGAATTTTCCCGGTCGCGTTTGGGAGCATGCTCCGCCTCTGGTTCCGCAGGTTTGGCTTCGCTAACCTCGGCCTTTGGTTTTTTGCTAGCCAAGCCGTTGACGTCTGCGGATTCACGTTTTCGCTTTCCAACATGCACCGTGTCTTCAGCGTTATTCTGAGCTGCCTGCACTGCCTGAGCAACCGCTGCTTGCTGCTGAGCCGCTGCCTCCAAAGCTTCTTTTTCTCGTCGCTTCGCAACCCTTTTGGAGACCCTTCGGATCTCGACGATGGCCAGCTGAAGCTCCTCAGCATCTTCGTACTGCTCGCAATGCGCGATATACGTATCCATTATCTTTTCGGGCCAGTCCAAGTCATCTCTTTGCAGCGCCTGCTTCAGCACCGCCGTCGCGTAGTGAGGACTGGGGGCTTTCCGGGGACCGTCGCCTTGTGTAAATTTACTCCAGCACAAGAGCTCCCACGTATAAAACATGAGCCAAAACTCGTAGGTATGACCATGACGCCCAACCAGGCCCTTGAATGTTTCTCTGGCACTATCCCAGCTACCGCTTTCGCTCAGATAACGGATATATATCCGTTCGAGGCGGAAGAGAGGATCGTTCGGGACCGTCTTGTCGCCTTTGTCGCCTATAGCTTGGACACTCTCGATCGCGGACCGCATCCCCACTTCTGCCACGTCTAAATCCTCATCCGTAGAATTGGACTGAAACGGCAGCCGCCGGAGGTAGCTGCACCAGGTGGTGTGAACTTTCAACACCTCATCGACACCTGCAGCCTCGAGCAATCCGGTACGGGTGGCCCTATGTTTCAAATCGGATATGTCCTGGAAGGAATAGCCGGCTCGCTCCGCGGATAATAAGAGTTGAGACCAGAGAGAACCGGACCAGGGACAGTGCCTTGCAGCACGCTCTAGGATAGGAATGACGGGCTCATTGGTGCGGCGATGCATCGACTCATTGACGATGTATATGACGTAGTCATCCCAGAGGTTCGCATCAGTCGGGAATCGCAGCAGAGCACGCTGGAACAACGCCGTTATCAACTGAAAGCCGTACAAAGGCTTCTTGTACTTGTGCGTAGTTTCCAACTCGAGATACTGGGTGTATGCGGTCCATTCAGCCGTAGTGTCATTCGACTCGACGGCACGCTGCAGGGCCAATTCGCTTGTCTCTCTGGCATCACAAATGGCTTTTATTTCCCCCGCTTTCGCATTAGTACTGACCATGATATCCTCATAGTTGGCATTGTAGTAAGTTGAAACAAAATTGGAAAATATTTGAAACGTCTGGTCCCAGGCCATGTGAGGAGTCTGCAGTCTGCTCTCGAACAAGGCTCGGACTTGGGATGCCTTTTCGGAGGTGGGTGAGCTGGCAAGATCTCGCATGGTAAGCTCGAGATATCGATTCCAGACGAGGTGGCTGTCGCTAATACGCCATCTCGTGGCCTCGGCGCCTTTCCTCCACACATCCATAACCGACTGCCAGCCAAACACCTCACGACCCACGACCTTATCCTCCTCTGACCATTGCGCCTGAGAAGCCGCCGGCTCTCCAGAATTGGAAGCGGAATTGTAGAGATATAACATCCAGTCCCCATAGATAATCCAGAGTCTAGTACTTCCAAATTCCTCTTCGACGGATCTCTGACACAGTTCCATCACAGAGATGCGTTCCTCTACTGTGCGAGCAAGCAGGCTCTCGTCCTGTATCCATTCCACCCAGAGGTCCTCGCCGATCGCGAATAGGTTGTCCAATTCCTCACGGGCTGCGCGGAGGTCCTTGAGGACATCGTACTTGTGGGGATCTCCACGAGAGCCAGGCGACGACGGAGGGTAGACGTGGTCAACAAAGCCCTGGTGGAGCAGCTTGATGAACTTGACGCGGGCGTCGTAGGCATGGGGATTGCGCTGGACCTCGGCGCAAAGATCGGTCGCTTGCTTACGGGCATCCGGGGCGAGGCAGGTGTTGGAATAATCTCTCCTCGGTGTATCACCGGACCCATCGGCCGCATTGCTTTCAAAGGGGCGAGGCGTCGGAGTGGTGTGGGCAACCGGAGGTACGTTTGGGTACATCGTCGACGGAGAGAGCTGGCTTTCGTAGGATTCGGCATTCCTCAGTCTCGGGGCGTTAGACCGCTGTGGCTGATGCTGCTGCATCGAGGCGAGATCAGCGAGGGTATCCATTCCCGGAGTCGACGCCTGTCTGGGCGGAGGCAAATCGGAGGAAGGTGGAGTCCCGCCGCTGGATCGCACAGGCCCAATTACAGGACTGATGGCAGGCGGGGACGGTTCGCGCAGATTCGAAGGCGTAAGAACCTGGTGAACGAGGGGAGAAGAGGTCATGTTCTGCCTCGCTGGGTTGGAGCGAAGATTGTGAGACGGCCTTCTGCGAGGCGAGTTGGCCGACGGATTACGAGCCTGACTCGAGGGCGTCGAGTCGTGGGACAAGAGCGAATTTATATCCATGATTGAGCTAAGGCAGTTCCCGGCGACCGAGGTCTTGCACTGGAATTTTAGCAAACGGAGGGGGGGAAACAAAAAGGAGAGAAAAGAAAAGTGACAAAACAAAGATATCAAGACGAATCGCCGAGACCAAGGTAGGAGAAAGCAACGCTTCAGGCGATTGTCTACGGCCCGTAGGAGATGGAACGAGGAGCAAATGATCCAGTTCAGTCTGTGAATCAAGCACTAGTGATATTCTCCAAACTGGACGTTCGCAAGGTCCATGATCCTCTCGCCGTCGTTTCCAATGAACGTCCAAAGGGTCCCAGGACAGGGAAGGCTCTCTCGGCTTGCTTTTATACTTGTTTGCCTTTTTTTTTTCTAAAAAAAAAAAAAAGAAAAAAAAATTCTTTTTAGGAGGTGCCTCCAAAAGCCTTTTTCTCGAGGTGGTATTCTGCTGCCAGAGTCGCTCGCGTGGCTATGACCTCGTCGGCGCAGCCTCGATTCGACGGAATTCTCGCGACGGCGGCAGAATTTTTCGACGTCAGATGCTCACGCCGGGGAGAAACCTAGCGCAGCGGCGGCAGGGCAAGGTTGAGCGATGATCTGCAGGAGAGATCTTCGGAATGAAGCATAAATGCACGGGGCAAGAGGGCGAGAGGAGAAGGGAAACCGTGAAGGGGAGAGGGGTGCGTGCGTGTGTGTGTGTATGTGTGTGTGTGAGTGTGTGAGTGCGACGGTGGCCCGAGTGCCGGCGGAGGGGATGCGAAGGCGTTGCGGAGGGCAGGGTGAGAAGGTCGGGGAGGGAAGATGGTTGAGGGACGGAGATTGAAGAGATAATTTGGCGACAGAGAGCGACGGCGACGGACGGCAGAGTTCGAGGGGATCTCGTCGTCTGGGGTCTCGGTGGGTCGTGCTTCTGGACGGCGAGCAGGAAGGGCGGCGGGTTAAAAAGGGCCCATCGTGCAAAGAATTGAGCGAGGAGGAAAGGGGATGGGGGGGAGGTGATGTGCGAGTGAGAAATCGAGAGCAAAGAGGGTGGTGTGAGAGGGAAAAAGTGGATAAGAAAGATGCCACGGGGATTGGTGAAGGGAGAGGATGGCGGACGATGAAGGTTGGCGATGCGAGTGATTGTCGCCCAGCCGGTCAGTGCCAGCGAAAGCGTGCTCTCTTGAGTCTCTCCCGCCGCCCGCAAGGAGGGAAAAATAAAAATAAAAATAAAAATAAAAAATAAAAAAAAATAAATAAAAAAAAAAAAGGAAAAAAGTTCCACCACATCAAAGCCGCTGCGGTCGACTTTCTTTTGCTCTGCCCTGCACCTCTCGACAGAACGATATTCACATCATCAAATCACAGAGCAAGAAGAGTATTTTAAACAGAAATTCCAAAAATGACTAGATATGACTTTTACAGATGATAGTTATGTAGCTACTTTGGCTTTGTCCGTGCTCTCTTAGGTTGACGACTCCAGCTCAACCCTCCCTCCGCCGTCCACACACACACAGAGAGAGAGAATGAGAGAGAATGAGTGTGAGAGAGAAAGAGAAAGAGAGAGTATCTCCATACTAGCCGTCTCTGCAGCGAACATCCATCGACCAGCAATTCCTCGATGATCCAGCAACCCCCCGTTCCCATGACCCCCTTCGTTCCTCAAGCCATCCCGGGCTCGAGCCCTAGTCAGAGCCGGCCGGCCGTATTCTAGACCGTCGCGCCCGAAGTCACCGCGTCCGGATCCCTCTGCTTCTCCTGCTTCTGCATCATCTGCAATCTACGGAGTACAGCCTCTCATGTTTTTACTTTCTACGTCTCCCTCTCACGTTTTTACTTTCCTCGAAGCAACCGTAGCAAGCCAGATCAACTCACCTCCGAGGAAGTGAAAAATACCACATACTTTCGGCGGCGTTTTTTCCCACTGCTGAAACAACAAAAGCCACTCCACAGAGAGAATGGAAAAAAATAAATAAATATATAAATAAATTAAAAAAATTGAAAAAAATAAAAATAAAAATAAAAAAAATAAAAGCTTAAGAAAATCAAAATTGTAGATTGCGGGACTTCTCGGCGCCGAACGAAAAGGAAAGCAAAGAGTTCTCCTCCCCCAGCTTTTTAAGTGTTGTTTTTTTGTCCGTTATCTCACTAGGTAACTAACTATCTTACTCCGGACGTTGGTCAAGGGAACCCAGCTCTCGATCCCGCATGGTGTGTGTGTTTTAACTCCAGCATCACCTTGGTAACGAGCATCTGCCAGCGCCCTTGCCGCCTCCAGCGCTGCCGAGGGGGGAGCACAGACGGCCGCCGGGCGAGAGAGTCCGCCTATTCGCCAAAACAAAAAAAAAGTGCAGCCCGTCGACGGTGGAGAAAAGGGAGATATGGAAAAACAGGACTTGATCCGTCGCCCGCGTCCCATCCCCCATTTCTCGCTTCATTGAGCCAGTCACGCTCGGCTGATTTTTCAGTCGGAGGGGGACGTGAGTGACGATTCGCCCGTCTTTCTTCGTTCACTTGGAAATCATCCGGCCCGCGGACAGCTGTTGTGAAGCTCTCGGAGCTGATCGATGTTCGCGTCCGCTTTTCTTTCGACGTCATCGCCGGTATCCACAGGCAAATCGAGTGCTGATCCTCCGAAACTGGCCGCATTCGTCGCCAAGCCCGCTGCTCTACGATACTTAACTACCTCACTCCTGCAGAATAACTACTTATCTACATGATTCCATCTCAGCGAGTTCTGCGTTGGTAGACAAAAGTAAAAGTCTCCATCGTAGTCAGGCTGAATATCCCAATTTCCCCAAAGGGCGCAAGCCCCCTTTTACGAGAAGATCCAGAACACGAAGGCATCCGGTTCTTTCTAGAAAAAAAAGAACAAAGTCGGAAAAAGAAAAAAGAAAGAAAAACAAAAGAAAAAGAAAGAAAAAAGTAAAAGGAGAGAAGAAAAAGAAAAAGAAATGAAATGAAATGAAAAAGCCTCCTTTTCCACTGCCCCTTCGCAGGTAACGAGATACATGTGTACATCAACGGCCTGCCGTGGCTCTGCCCTTTATTTATCATCCACGACTCTCCAACATTGAGTGGATGTATTCTCCTACATCAAAGGCTCTTTCGAGAGTTAGCTATCTCATACATACCATGTTCTGCTCAACCTTACTTCTATTGAGCCCAGAACGCTCCAAGAGATCTTTACCCAGATTTCCTCCGTAGGGCTTTTCACAGGGCTATTGCCACTCAGCCACCACCCTCTTGCCCTCCCCCCTGAATGACATACCCCCATGCTCCCATTGGGCAGTTAAATTCCACAGCGCGAAGTCTGGACTGGCATTCATGGGAAGCAAGCCAGTCAAATTTCACATCATCAGGTGTCAATTTGTCCCCATTACCGGGGGGTGACGAAAGGCTGCAATCGCATGGGACAGGTGAGATGCCATGCAAATGAGACTTTTTTTTTGTTGCAGGATTGCAACGTCATCGTGTTCGCCAGCCACAAAATCAGATTGCTCCTCGGCCCCCTTTTTCCTTGTCAGGCCTGGCCAGTTTCGTGCAAGATCCAAAAGCCAATGACTTCCCCACAATCGCGGCGTCTGGCCCTGTTGTCTTGAAAATATATATTCTCCGTATACGGAGTACTCCGTATATTTAAAAAAATAAAAAAGGAAAAAAAAAGGGAAAAAAATAAGAAGTTGGCGTAGAGGAAGTAAAGATTCGACGGCCTTGGATCCTAAAAGCCCGCGGAAAACACTAACAACGACACCACCACCCCACTAACATGCGGGACGAATGGATGTCGAGCGTATGCTAGCTCTTCCGTGTGCGGATGGCAACTAGGGCTTCTCCGGGGGCTTTTTCAAGGTGCTCATGCAATGTAGGCGTAAGGTAGCTGGATTGGATATATGGCTCCCGCCGTGACGTTAGCAATTGGTCTTTCGCTGATGATGGTAAAGTACCTAAATATGTACGTCATACGAAGTACGGAGGAGATAATTCACAGCCTGGGAGGGTAAAACATTTTCTGTCCCGGGGAGAAGAGCAAATGTTCCGACATTCACACCGTACTGCGTTTAACCTGTGGCAGGTTTTGGCAAAGATTTGAATTTCGGCAACGCCGGACCAGCAGCCCGGTCTTTCGCAACTTTTTGATGGCTATGATGATGTCGACAAATGAGCTTCCCTGCGTGTCATATCTCACGCCACAACGATCTAGAACCACTCGGCATGCACTTGGCCGGCTGCAAAAGATGGCCAAACTGCAGCGAGCGCGCCCAACGGAGCACGGAGCACGAAACGCCAGTTCCAATTGACCGGAACGGCGAGTCCCGGCCCGGCACGGCGCCAAGACTTACATAATGACGCCAAGATGCAATCCTGCTGATGTAATCTATTCGACGATCCGACTAGCCGTCTCGGGACTAGCGCCATGTTGACCTTTTTCAAAGTCCGAGAGCAAAAGCATCGAAGAGTGCAACGAAGCACGCCGACTCGCCAGGCAATTGTGAAAGAGTTCAAGCGAGAATGGCGGCCGTGTGCGCTGCGTTCGCTTCTCGCCAATTGGCTCGCTCAGGTAGGTACCATATGTCCCCTGTCAATCGCCACGGTTGCGCAGCCTGCTAAAGCTGCTTTCTCCGGTTCCAGCGAGAAATCGACTCCCCCAGATCTCCCGCCGAGGATTTTTATCAACCCCCTTCCTTACCTCAACGGAGCCCTCTACGTCGTCAGTTGATTCTCCGGACACGAAATCTGGGCCCAAGGTCTCCTTCCGTCCTCCCCCTGTCAAGCGTGGCTCCCTCGCATCGGGCTCCATCTTCGCCGATGGGGAGGATTTCCCCAAAATCACCACGGGAGGCCGAACCCCCAAACGTCGCTCAGAGGCGGCTGCTGAGGCCGAAGCACAGGATGGCGAGGCGCAGACGACCATCGTTGACCTGAGCGAACGTGACACCGCGAGTCTCGAGAGATCGCTCAACCCCCACCCGAACCGCCGTGCACGATGGCAGCGCAAGATGATAATACGGACCATCCACCGACGTGGCCGGCTAACGCGAAAGGAGAAAATAATGCAGTCTGAGCGAGAACTGTCCTCCAAATCACACTGGTTCAAGACCTCGGTGAAGAAACTCGGGCCGCTGGCGAGGCAGATTGCGGGCAAAAATATAGACGAGGCCATCCTGCAGATGAGATACAGCAAGAAGAAGGCCGCCAGGGATGTAAAAGCATTCCTGGAACAAGCCAAGAACGAAGCTATTGTCTCACGGGGTATGGGCTTGGGTCAGGCTGAGGCCCAGGCCGCCGCGACTGAAACCGCCGAAGGAGAAGCACAAGTCGAAGTAACTGCCGTTGCCACCGCCGACGCAGCTAGCCCCGTTACGCTCACGCTGAAGGATGGCAAGCGCCTGGTGGTGACAGATCCAACCTCCATCTACATCGCCCAGGCATGGGTCGGTCGGGGCCCGTTCGGAAGAGAAGCCTCCCCTCGCGGCAGAGGCAACACCCACATCTTACGACCTCCGTACACGTCCATCAGCGTGATACTCAAGGAAGAAAAGACTCGCATCCGTGAGTGGCAGGAACGTGAGCAGAAGGATATCAGGCGGCGGAAGGCAAAGGTCTGGAGACAGCTGCCAGATCGACCGTTGACAATGCGCAACCAGTATTATGCATGGTAAGCGAGGCGGGGCTTCGGAGCTACTACTACATGCTTGTACGAGTACATGTGTGTGTGTATCATAGATTATCCCTTTTCTTCAGCTCTTTGTTTGAATTTTTTTTTTTTATTTTTTTTATTTTTCTCTTTTTCTTTCTGTTGAGTTTTCACTTCCTGTTCTACAGGCGTTATATAAATGGAAATGGCAGTCAGCTATCATTATCGGTAAGCTTCAAACATTCAACTACAACTCTTGATAAATTGATTGAATTTGGATAACGGGGCGGTTGGCGCCGCTTGGGGTCTTTGCCCTCCGCAGGAGCCTCCTTGATATCGAATGAGGCAATGCATACCTCCAACACTCACATTATAAGGTGTTGTTGGGAATCCCGACAGTCGTTCCATTGTAGCCAGGAGAGAAGCAACTGGGCTCCTGTTCATGATGGCATCGACTCGTTTAGCATTGCTATGTGAAGCGTTATATTTAAAATGGAAGGGCAAGAGAACAACGTACATTTCTCCGGGTCCATTATTACTATTGAGATGTCGCTGCAAATCATGAACTGGCAGGGGCAAGTGGATAAAAATCTTCAAGAAAAACTACACAGACGCACGACACAGAAATATCAAAGAAATCTAAAAAAAAAGGCAAGAAAAGAAAAGAAAAGAAAAATAACAGGATGAAACACCCCGAAGCCATAATCGCCCATAAACCGCCTCCAAGACCGTGTTCGAAGATGCCAGAGCTTAAAACCGGAGACCTCGAACGGGGGTATCTGGTCGGGAGAACATAAATTACAAAGAAGAGGAAAGCCAGAACCACGAAACTATCAAAGCCAAAAACCAATATACCACAGAAAAAGGAGAGCAAGAAAATAAAATAAGCAAAAAAAAAAAAAAAAAAAAAAAAAAAAAAAAAAAAAAAACCACGAAGCCCAATAATTTCAACACCGCGCAATTTAGCCCATAGCAGTTGAAATTACGGGTGGGCATGAGGCTGGGCCAGAATAGGCCGTTGAGGATCAGTCAAAATCGATCGCGGCCCAGTACCTCGAAGACGGTGCTATAAGGAGAAGAGAAAATATCCTGCCACTTCCTTGAATAATATGCCACGATCCCTCACTTCTTTACCACTTTCGCAACGGCACCGCGAGAAGAGACCCGCCGCGATTTGCTCGCAGCCGTATGGAGTGGAGGGGGCCGTTGACGAAGATTGGGTAAAATTTCGATATCCGGGAAGTGGGCTTCATAACCATTCTCGATACGTTGCTGGAGATGTTGTCGAAGATCACGGAGCACTTGAAGGGTCTGACTGAACGTCTTATGGTTCCCAATACGGGAATAGAGCCAGTCGGGGACGGGGCGAGGTATGATCCGTGGCGAACGCTTTTTAGGCTCCGAGGACTCCCCAGGTTCGTCAGGGTTGAAGCCACGTCCGTCTTTAACAGCAGCTTCAGCAGAAGAATCTTCATCGTTGGCATCAGCATCGTGGGTAACGATGGACTCCCCAGTTTCGTGACCCGTAGATTGCACAGTAGAGTCGTCTTCCTCGAATTGGCCTTCGTTTCCCGTGCTTCGTTGAGTCTCTCGGCGGCGAAGTTGAAGATTGAAATCCTCTACTCCACCCCAGGCACGCATGTTCTTGATCGTATCGATGGCGAGGTCGCACTGTCTGAAAGGCCATTCCCCAGTTCGATACCGCGCACGTTGATAATGCTTCCGGCAATAATAGATCCAAACGAAGTTTGGGACACCGATTGTGCAGCGCTTATTTCTCCCGAAGATATGAGATATGACTTTGCGATAGTGAGGCGACTCCGTGGAGCATGCCTCCCCGCTAAATTGGCAACGGGGTTGTGGTGGTTCTTCCGAGTTTTTCATTATGCTACTCTCACACTGACGTTACACTCTGTGAGAAACTGCAAATTTCAATTTCCTTTTTCTCTGTTTTGTTAAAATAGTTCTCTCTTGTTGATGATAGCTGGTTTAACAATCCTAGAGAGAAAAAAGGAGGCAAAGAACTAGAGAACACTCACCAAGAGGCGGAGGTGAACAAGAATAAATACCGGAGGGTATGGGGGAAGAAGTGACGGCAACTCACGTTGAGCGGAGGTGGTGAATCCCGATAAGGGGATCACACAGTGGAAAGTGAAGAGACACAGCCGAGTTCGACACCAAGCGCCAAGATAGAACTGAATAAGGCGAGAGACTCAAATAATCTGGAAAACGGAATGGGAGGATTAGAAAATCAAGAAAGAAACAAGGCAGTCTCGATGAACTCAAGTATGGCGAGGTGCTGGATATGAAGGTGGAACGAGATGCAGGCTGTGATTCAAAGAGAAAGTCAAAGTCGACAAATGACTCAAAAAAAGGTCAAACCGTGGAAAACCGAGTTACAGGCAGATGACTGTGAAGAGGAAGAAATTTCTTCGCTCTGTAAGGAGGTGAATAGGGGCACAATAGTATTGGTCAGAGGGTGAATGGGAAGAATCGAGTATTCAATGTCGGAGGGGGGAAATTAATACAGGCTGTGAAAAGTCGATATTCGCCTGATCTCAAGGCCACAGCCGGACAAAGACTATATCAGGAAATTTCCGGTTCATTCGTCCCAATATGGACCGGAAGAGGGTTTTACTCTCAAGACCTGAAGCAATTCAGAGGTATGTTCCTTCAGGATGAAAGGATAGCGCCAACGATGAATGCATTACGAGATGGAAGTGATATCAGAAGGATAAGGGTGAGTGCGGAAAGGTAGGTAACAGGCGTGGCATAGGGAAGATGAGAAAACTTGGAGAGACAAAAAAAAAAAAAAAAAATATTGCTAATCAGGAGTTGCCCTGGTACCTGGCCAAATGCATTCAAAAGATGAAAAACATGGTCGGGTGATAACTAGACCAAGATTCGAAACGCATCTCTATTTAATATTACCACACACAGGGCTTCGGACACGCAGCATCTTCTCCTGCTCAGCACTGGTTTTTCTGTACTCCCAGTAGGCTTTGGATTGCTATACAGAAGCAAAAAGGGGGCATTTGGCGACTACAGATAAGACAATGACTGACGAGGTTGGATGCTGCACGAGATCTTTCAAGGGATAAAAGGGGCATAGCTGAAACATCGCGTAAGATATTTCAAGGCCGGGATAGGCGCCTCGCATCTCGTTTCCATATACCGTCTCGTGGTACGTTTCCCGGGTGTCGGGAGAGCGTTCAGACCTAGCATGGAAGACGTCAGTTGAAAGGATTTCAAACCATCGACCCGGGTATCACGAAGCATGCCACTTTTGAAGAGAGGAGGAAGAATGGTGACGAGGGGAGTCGGCAATTCATTGCTACCTGCCCACTTAAGAAGCGCTTTTGGGCCTCGGTTTCGAAGTCCTGCTTCCGCTGGAGCGCGTGAGGGCTCTACGAGCACCTGCAAGTGTCGAAGAAGGATTAACGCCATTCAGCCATATACCTGAACGTTGACAGTTGTAAATAAAGATTCAACCGAAGCTGCCTAACTGGGGAAATGGGGGCAGCGGCTAAAGACCAGAGTCCGGCGGAAGACAATGAAGAGCATGAAGAGAGGGAAGAGAAGAAAAAGGAAACAAGCACTGCTTAGTCGTGCGGCTTGTCCTGCATGAAATATACAGCACGATGCTTTATGCACATGGCAATATACAGGTGTTCCTAGCCATAGTATCCCAAGTACCCAAGGCTGATGGGACGAAAGTTAACAAGTGGGTGCACACGTGATGCCATTATGATGATCAATGCACCTCCATCTATGTGTGCAAACTATTTACTATCTTTTTTGAAAGATAATAAACCAGTACTCTGTATGGTTGTTTTAAATTGCAACACTACCTCCTCTCGCGGGCAGTGTGTTTGTTGGTGGTTGATGCGCTGTTGGGATGAGATGAGGTTTGAGGTGAAGGTGAGGCTCTCGGCTTCTTGGCGCAGTGGCCCTGTTGCTGTGTGGGGCATGGCACCTCCAGCCACACCCAAACATACTGTAACGCACAGCCAGCCTTACAGTACACCACCAGTGCGTAAATTACACTAGTTAGTTTACGGTAACGTACTGCTTAGCTAATCCTGCGAGTGCCGCTGCCACCACTCCGCGGTCGACTCTTCTCTGTCTCTCACGCTCTCACTCTCACTCGGACTCTTCACCACCACAACAACAATTCATAAACACCCTTGCAGGCCAGGTTGAAATCCGAACAAGGTGATGGTCCTCTGCAAAATGGACACCTGTTTTGCCGCATTCCCATTATGACACCAGAATCTATAAAGACTGCGGCTTCTGCCTCGATTGTGATGCGCCGCTGTATGTCAGCCCAACTCACCTCACTCCAAACTCGGAGGCATCGCGGCAGTGTAAATAGTAAATACTGACCATAGAATAGCTGGGAACTTTTGATTCGAGGCCATACATCTGCTGTGGTCGCTGACTTAGATTTCCTGCAGCAGCTGATCAACTTTGTAGGATCACTGTTTCTCATACACAAAAGGCCTGTCGACTATTTTCGTTAATCCAGCATATGATCCGTTTTCCTTTCTTTTACCTTTTTTTCCTTTTTTTTTGGGGGGGTGAAAGAAATATCATTATTTTAGATCTACATGAATCTATGTCCCAAAAATGTCGGCACTTAAGCCGTTCAAGATCCCACCGCGCAAAGCAGCCATTCGCATCATCAACCCTGCTAACGGCGAAGAAATCGACGTTCCCACGGACCAACCCGGCGTTCGGACAGCAGAAAGCACGATACCACCGCGCACAGAACTCCCTCGAGGCCAGACAAAAAGGCTCCAGAATGGGGACTATGCGCACGAAAACCGAGACCCGCAGAGCGCAGCCGAGTCGGGAGCCGGAGAGCAAGCATCGCTTGACACCGCAGCGGACGAGGGCTTGACTGCATCTTCCCGCGAGAATGATACTGATACCTTTGTCCAAGGAGGTCAACGTTCCCCGCAGACCACGACTCCGAAGCAGAGTGCTGCCGTCCCTCGATCATGTCGCACGGGCTGGAAGCCGGACATTAATGCCCCTCCTTATATTCCCTCTTATCTTTGGGCTATCCAGCAATCTCCTGTGATGAATCGATTCTCAAAGCAGCTAGACTCCATCGACTTTGGAACATACATCCAAAGCTTTGCTGGTACCCGTTATCTGAAGCCTGTCCCGGAAACCCACCCAGAGCTTAGCAAAGTGCGTGTCACTCTTTCCCGACATCCTAGGAACCTTGCTGTCGACAACTACTTTGAATACTTTTCGGAGTGCCTTAAACTGGAGGCATTTGCCCATTCCGCCACTCTATCGCGCCTAACTCTTTTCAACACTACGCTCGAACTGTCAGACCGACACCAGCACCTCTACGCGCTTAGGGTTCCGGGACTCAGGGATAACGCTCCAAGTCTCGATATCGGTGATGCAGTTGCTGTGCGGCAGTTTTTCCCATTTCCTCACATTGCCCAGCAGGGCTTGGAATGGCTATCTGAAAATGAGAATGGTTTAAATGGCTCTATCTCGCCCGGTTTCAACGGAATCCAAATATACTCCTACGTGTGGGGTGTTTCGCGGGCTACAGAAACTGTTATTCTTCGAGTAGACGGATTCTTCCCATCGTCGAGTTGCTGCAATGCCTCTTTCACCCTGCCGGTTGATTTGTATACCGCCCTGTGGCGAGCGATTCGGAGGGTCAGTGGGGCGGCACCCTCAACCACCACTGCTATTCCCGGGGATCCTACTGCGAACCTTCACGATGAACGTAGCTGGGTTCGCCACATGCTATTCCCAAAGGAAGCTGACTGTGTAACTCAGAAAAATCTACCAAAAGGCTCATTCGACCGCGAGTGGTGTGATTCACAGCTCAACTACGAACAGCAAAAGGCTGTTGATTCGGTTGTTTCTCGCGATTATGGGAACGTCCCGTTCTTGATATCGGGTGTCCCAGGATCCGGGAAAACCAAAACTGTCGTCGAATGCGCGCTTCAGCTGCTTAGTTGTACTGTTGATGTGACACCGCATCTTCTGATATGCGCTCCGTCTAATCCAGCGGCTGACACTCTTGCCATCCGCCTCTCAGCTCACTTAAATCCCTCCCAGTTGTTCAGACTGAACGGGTGGAACCGAACCTTTGCCGAAGTCCCAGATCAAGTCTTACCCTATTCGTATACGGAGAAAGAAGTGTTCTCCCTGCCTGATTTTCAGACGATGATGAAGTACAAGATTGTGGTTACCACCTGCAAGGATGCAGACATGCTTGTCCGAGCTCGCTTGACCAATCAGGACTTGATGAGCCTAGCACACGAAACAATATCTACCATAGCCCCAAGCGCCCAGGTGAAGATGGAGAAGCTGATTCACTGGACCGCCCTTATTGTGGACGAGGCAGCTCAAGCCACGGAACCAACAGTGTGTGTTCCACTTACAGTGGTTTCAACTGCCATGCCTCTCGACCCAAAATTTACTACGAAGACCTCACTGCCCCTTTTCATCATGGCCGGTGATGAGCACCAGCTAGGGCCACGAATATACAATTCTGACACAGCACTATCGGTATCTCTATTTGAACGGCTCTTTGCGCGGCCGATTTACTCGAACCATCCATTATCTCGTCGAAACATTGGACCCTACAAAAAACTCACGAGATCCATGCTTCCGATGCGTCGCCCAGCTTTTGTCAACCTCACTCGCAATTATCGCTCTCATCCCGCAATTCTTGCCATGTCCTCTGTCCTTTTCTACAACGATACCTTAATTCCGTCCGCAGAACGTACGCATCCACTGGGACCGGTTCCTACCTGGCCAGATTGGCCGAGTCGCTACCGTTGGCCTATCCTATTTAACTGTAACACTTCGCAGGATCAAGTGGAAGATGTCCTTACCCACGGTCCGGGTACAGGTGTTTATAATGATACTGAAGCCGAGATCGCCCTTCGCTATGTCCGCTCGTTATTGTCACATTCGTCCACGATCGACTACACATCCCAAGACTCGAATCCTCCACCAAGACCAATATCCCAGCCGGAAATTGCAATAATCACCCCTTTCCTTGCACAAGTGACCCGCCTCCGTGAACTATTTCGCGCCCACCATCTTTATGACGTTAGCATTGGGCCTTTGGAAGCATTCCAGGGTTTAGAAACCCGCTTCTTGATAATCTGCACGACACGCACCCGCTCAGACCAAAAGTTTCTCGACATCGATCAATCCAGAGATCTTGGCCTCGTGGGTGCGAGACGACGATTCAACATGGCGATCACGCGAGCAAAGGAGGGTGTTATCATCATCGGAAATCCAAACGTACTCGTAGGGACAGGCAAGGACGAGACATGGCGCGCCTTTTTAAGTTTCTGCGCGCGGAATGGATGCTGGGCTGTGGAGAAAAACGCAGATCAATCGACAAAGAGTACATCTGAATACTGGTTCAAAACACTAGGAGGAACAGACGGGGATGGGCATGGATTCCACACGGATTTTGATATTACCGATGTTGGTTATGTGAGTAGGTTGGAAAGAGGGCTGTTGCATGCTGATTTATTAGCGAGAATGGAAGAAGGCAATGATGGAGAAGTGAACGGGAGTCTGACCAAAGATGTCAAGGCTCGCCGACGAGAACTAGGGGCTATACAGGCGGATGAAGATGCAGCGATGTGGACTGCCGGACTTGCAGCGGAGGAGGCTCTCAGGGGCTCTTTGGATGATGAGTATACTGCATAGATGCTTCGACGAAATAGAAAAATTTTTTGGCCCCAAGATGTACTTTGAGTGTCAAGGAGCCGGCGCAGATGACTTCACAGCACCAAATATTTAGCGTATTCTTTATTCTGCAGCTAGTTCCCATACTAGCGAAAGGGCAATTGCCATACAGAGTGCTCTGTGGGGGATCATCGTTT